CGCTTTCTGGAAGAAGAACACTGAGGAGGACGGCGCCTTTGTCTGCCCTGATGAGTGGCTCGACACCGACATGCGCACTGGTCTCGCCTCCAGCGAGATTGAGCACCGTCGTAAGAAGGGTGGCTGGAACGAGCTGACGACCGAGAAGACCAACTTCTTCGTTCAGTTCATTGGATATTTCCGTGGTCCTATTCTCTATGGTATGTTGGCATGATCCCAGGAATGCAGGAATTTTCAATTTGCAAGAATACAATACTGACGAGCTTCGTTTCTTCCAGTTATGGAATTGGCTGTTCTGCTTGCTGCTGGTCTGCGTGACTGGATTGATCTCGGTGTCATCATTGGTATTCTTATGCTCAACGCTGTTGTCGGTTGGTATCAGGAGAAGCAGGCTGCCGATGTCGTCGCTTCCCTGAAGGGTGATATCGCTATGAAGGCTATTGTTATCCGTGATGGTCAGGAGCAGGAAATCCTTGCTCGTGAGCTCGTCACTGGTGACATTGTAAGTGGACTGTATCTCGTATCGGAATTTTTGCAATTGCTAATCGTTGTCTGCTATTCAGATCGTTATCGAAGAAGGTACCGTCGTCCCCGCTGATATTCGCCTGATCTGCGACTATGACAAGCCGGAGATGTTCGAGACCTACAAGGAGTACCTCGCTACCGCCAACGATGACACCCTCAAGGAGAAGGATGATGAGGACGATGAAGATGGCGGCATTGAGGCCCGTGTCGGTGTCTCCCTCGTTGCCGTTGATCAGTCCGCCATCACTGGTGAATCTCTCGCTGTCGACAAGTACATGGCCGACACTTGCTACTACACCACCGGTTGCAAGCGTGGCAAGGCCTACGCCGTTGTCACTGCTACCGCTCGTCAGTCTTTCGTCGGTAAGACCGCTGCTCTTGTCCAGGGTGCCAAGGATCAGGGTCACTTCAAGGCTGTCATGGACAACATTGGTACTACTCTGCTGGTTCTCGTCATGTTCTGGATTCTCGCTGCCTGGATTGGTGGTTTCTACCGTCATCTGAAGATCGCTACCCCCGAGGACGAGGACAACAACCTGCTCCACTACACTCTGATCCTGCTCATCATCGGTGTCCCCGTCGGTCTGCCCGTTGTCACCACCACCACTCTCGCTGTCGGTGCTGCCTACCTCGCCGAGCAGAAGGCTATCGTCCAGAAGCTCACTGCCATCGAGTCCCTGGCTGGTGTTGACATTCTCTGCTCTGACAAGACTGGTACTCTCACTGCCAACCAGCTGAGCATCCGTGAGCCCTACGTCAACGAGGGTGTTGATATCAACTGGATGATGGCTGTTGCTGCCATTGCCTCCAACCACAACGTCAAGAACCTCGACCCCATTGACAAGGTTACCATTCTCACCCTCCGCCGTTACCCCAAGGCCCGTGAGATTCTCTCCCGCAACTGGGTTACCGAGAAGTACACTCCCTTCGACCCCGTCTCCAAGCGTATCACCACTATCTGCACTTGCGACGGCGTTCGCTACGTCTGCGCCAAGGGTGCTCCTAAGGCTATCCTCAACATGTCCCAGTGCTCCGAGGAGGAGGCTGCCAAGTTCCGTGAGAAGGCTGCTGAGTTCGCTCGCCGTGGTTTCCGTTCGCTCGGTGTTGCCGTCCAGAAGGAGGGCGAGCCCTGGCAGCTGTTGGGCATGTACCCCATGTTCGACCCCCCTCGTGAGGATACTGCCCACACCATCGCCGAGGCTCAGGTTCTCGGTCTGTCGGTTAAGATGTTGACTGGTGATGCCCTCGCTATCGCCAAGGAGACTTGCAAGATGCTTGCCCTTAGCACCAAGGTTTACGATTCTGAGCGTCTGATCCACGGTGGTCTTGCCGGCTCTGCCCAGCACGACCTCGTTGAGAAGGCTGATGGTTTCGCTGAAGTTTTCCCCGAGCACAAGTACCAGGTCGTCGAGATGTTGCAGCAGCGTGGTCACTTGACTGCCATGACTGGTGACGGTGTCAACGATGCTCCCTCTCTCAAGAAGGCTGACTGCGGTATTGCCGTCGAGGGTTCTACCGAAGCTGCCCAGGCTGCTGCTGATATCGTTTTCCTTGCCCCTGGTCTTTCCACCATTGTCGATGCCATCAAGCTTGCCCGTCAGATCTTCCAGCGTATGAAGGCCTACATCCAGTACCGTATTGCCTTGTGTCTCCATCTCGAGATCTACCTTGTCACCTCTATGATCATCATCGATGAGACGATCAACGCTGATCTGATTGTGTTCATTGCCCTCTTCGCTGATTTGGCCACCATTGCCGTCGCCTACGACAATGCTCACTACGAAATGCGCCCCGTCGAGTGGCAGCTGCCTAAGATCTGGGTCATCTCCGTTGTCCTCGGTATCTTGCTTGCTGGCGCCACCTGGATCATCCGTGCTTCTCTCTTCCTGGACAACGGTGGTATCATTCAGAACTTCGGTTCTCCCCAGGAAATCCTCTTCCTCGAAGTCGCTCTTACTGAGAACTGGCTCATCTTCGTCACCCGTGGTGGTAAGACCTGGCCCTCGTGGCAACTGGTTGGTGCCATCTTTGTCGTCGATGTGCTCGCTACCCTCTTCTGTGTCTTCGGATGGCTTGCTGGTCCTTACCGCCAGACCAGCCCTCCCAGCCACGCTGAGTTCTCCCCCAACGGTCATGTCGACATTGTCACCGTTGTTGTCATCTGGGCTTACTCCATTGGTGTCACCATCATCATTGCGGTTGTATACTACATCCTGACCATCATCCCAGCCCTTGACAACCTCGGCCGCAAGACCCGCTCCAAGGCCGACACCAAGATCGAGAACCTCATTGGTCACCTTTCCAAGCTCGCCGTCGAGCACGAGAAGGATTCCAGTGGCAAGTCCTACTACACCCTCGGTGCCCGCGCCGAAGTGGAGGAGGATGAGTAAACGCTTGATTACTCTACTAATATCTCATCTGGATATCACTTGCGCATACATGCATAGGGCTGGGCTACGGCTGGTTACCTTTTTTTAACCGTATTATAGACCTTTTTTTCTTTTATTATTTTGTCTCTTCATAGAGTCAATTTCTTTTCTTTACATGTATGTATGTCATTAATAGTGGTAAATTTACTCAATCAAGCCATTTCAAGAAGCTACTTCTCTGCTCCATTCTCATAAGTCATCACTTAACCAACTATCGAAGTCTTTCCTCTACTAAGCACAGCTCGCATGACTTGGGTAATCCCAGCAGACTTTCAGCTTGGTGACGCCGGTTGGGCGATTGTCTGGCATCCCAGCTCTCATCTCCCCAGCTCCGAGCTTACCCCTTTTTTATTTTCTTTTTAAATCAGATAGTCCGTCGTATCTGCCTTGGCCCACTCTCATGCCGATAGTAGTTCCAGTTCTCCAGTAGCCCACAGGCTCAGTCCAGGAACAAGTGGGCGCTTACCGGGCTAAAACTGAGACGATCCCACTTGGTGTCCGGAGTTTGCCCGAAAGAGCGTCTGCCGAGGTAGCGTTCCAGTTTCCCAGCGGCTGGTCTGATCGAGCTGCAGCGCCCGATCGTCATTTGCGGCAGTAGTGCTCTGCTAGTCGGTGTCTAGCTTGAGAGCTCTCAAGTAGCTCCAGTGGACCAGCTCGCTGTGTTCGTTGGCGCATTCCGACTTCAGAGTTTCTGTGCCTGAGTTGCAAAAATAGTGAGCATGACGCTTGGGTTTTGTGATTCGCCGGTTGAACATGGGTAGATAGCTCTCTGCTTGGGGGCTTGAGCTTTTTCTCCATTTTAGATTGCGTTTTGCTCTTTACCCCCACCTGGTGGTTGCGTGACTATTGGACTTGGTCGTAAATGAGGTGGACAGGTGCAATTTGCCTATACTGTGTACGTATGACTATGGAGGGAGTCGTTATTGGCTAACCTGTGGATAGGAACCAGGAAATGGCCAGTGAGGAAATCTTGAAAGTCATTGATTGCGACTTCTCGAGCCGACTGAGCCGTGTGCCCGCGTCGGTCAATTTGGGATTGATTTGACTGTCGATAATGCCAGGAAGCAAGATAAGCGTAGTTGTGTGGTGCGGATGTCTCAAGTACAAAGTGTTGCACGACTTGATTTGGTAACCGGGGTCATGTGTCGATGCACTCTGCCTGAGGCAGCCAGGCAGAGCCGCACAAGAGAGGAGATCGATCTGTTTCCCGTCAACAGTCAATTCATCTCCAGGTTCAGCTTTACAATGACAATCATCTCTGTCATCCAGAACCATCGTTACCTGAATTCGCTGGACAGTATGCATTGACTCAAGACTTACTAGATTTGCCCTTCGAATTCGGAATGAAGGGTCTGAGCCCTGATCTTAAGCAACCATGGCTCAATCAATGCTTTGAGCTTGACAGTGGCTCTTCTGAGATTCTCCAATGAATTCTGTGCTTCTAACGCAATCGTCTTATTCTAACGAGACAGGAATGCCTCACTCCAAGGGCAATTCCCACCCATATGGTCATCATCTCCGATATGCCAACATCTAGACACAACTCAGTGTGATCAGCCTATGCTTGGACTAACCTGCGAAGTACAACGCATGAAACTTCCTGACAAGGACGGAAGATGACTTGCTACATGTCGTTTTGTGAGCGTTGTTGTCTACCGACACCGCTGCAATTGATCTCCGTGCTCACAGCCTGAAGCGACAAGGGCAGCAGAGAGGCTTTTCACCCCCGGGACGAGGAGTCTACATGCTATTGGACAAATGGCCCTTTTAACCTCTACCCCAAAGCCTTGAGAATGCTTGTAACACTGCCGAAGAGTCGTCAGCGTACGCCTCGAGATATTATGAGTTGGGGCCTCTTCCCGACCTGCTCAACCCCATTCTGTGCCCCCGCAATTTCTCCAGAGCTTCATTCAAGCGCATTGATGAATAGCCGCGTATATCGGGGTATATAAGGGAAGAGATGGTGATTCGATTGATTAGCAGGCTCAAGCTGGAAATGCCAACATCGGACTCGGACTCTGGTGAGGTCTGCATTGTCGAGGCAAGATGAAGTTCTATCTCTTTTTACTTCCGGTGGTTCTGCATGCTCTTCTTATCCATACGGCTGCTTTGCCGCCCTTGTCGCGTCGTGTTTGCCAGTCTTCCTTGAGAGATTGCCCCGAGGGAATTATTATTGTCTCCAAATCCCATCCTAGAGCCCACTTCTCTACCGCTCTGGCCGCAATTGAGTCTCTGCCCAATGATGAGAGCAAGCAGATCATCCTTATTCAGGCAGGTAGTTACACGGAGCAGTTGAATGTCACTCGCACCGGTCCCATCACTCTACTTGGCCAGACGGACAGCGTCACCGATGCTACCAAAAAAAAATGTGACCATAACCTGGGCACAGGCTAATCATGACAACACCGGGAAGAGTGTGGACAACGTCTTCTCGAGTGTGCTTGTGGTTGCACCCACGCTCGTGGCCAGCTATACGGGCTCGGGTCCGACGGGATATCCGGTGCCGGAGGATACGCCGTTCGGCAATGTCGACTTCAGGGTCTATAATATTGACTTTAGAAACACATGGGCAGATTACTCTGATGGGCCTGCGCATGCTTCCAGCCTCAGCCGAGCTAACGGTGGCTTCTATTCCTACCAGGATACTGTAAGTTTCGTTTAACCACTAGACTACCGAAACAAGATCTAACCGCGCACAGGTGTACGTCGGCAAGCTAGGAAACGCCTATTTCTATAAGAACATCATCGCAGGACAGACTGACTTCTTGTATGGGTTTGTTACCGCCTGGGTCCAATCGTCGGACGTCCTTCTACGCAACTGCGGTGGAGGTATCACGGCGTGGAAGGGCAACAACACCACCTTTCAAAACCAGTACGGCGTGTACATCGTACTCGACCGTCAATGCGGCAAATGCCTCCATTGCCCCAACCATCGCCGGCAAGTGTGCGCTTGGCCGGCCATGGAATAGCCTGCATCGGTCTATCTTTGCCAACGGCTACGAAGACGGCAGCATCCAGCCTAGCGGATACATTGACTGGGTTGTCTCGGGCGTAAGCCGGTTCAGCAATGACACGGTCATGGCTGAATACAAGGCCTTTGGCCCCCGGAGTCAACGCCACGGGCCGCAAAGAAGGCGGCGTTGCGATCGTGCTCGATACGAAGAAGTACAAGCGCTACAGCTCACCCAAGAGGGTATTCCAGACGCCAGATGGCAAGCCCGGAAACATAGACTGGATTGACTGGCACGCGGATCGCGCTTAGTTTCAATTAGAGGCGCGCACGAGACTAGTCCTAGGCCATCCAGTCTATACATTTCTCACTCGCCAAATGGCAATTTCTTTCTCTCTCCCTTCCCCTCCATACACCCTCAACCCCTCCCCTCATAAGCCCTTAGCCCCTCCCCAATCATATTCCCATGCCCTGACCTCCTCCTCTCCATCGACGACCTCGTCTCCTTGCCGCCATACTCCCTCTGCACCTCCCCCAACCGATTCATTCGCGCTAGATACGCCGCCCCCGTATCCGCCCAGACGCGGTACTCCTGCACCTTCAGCCCTTTCGCACCCCCACCCCGGCTCCCATGGTTATTGTTATTGTTATTCAGCCCCAGCTCCTCCGCCAACCCAATCCGATAACAGAACGTTTCATCCCAGCCCTGCCCGGTCTCCTTCCAGGTGAAGCGCGCCCGCCCACGCAGGCATACCGCCATCGCCACCGCATCCACAATCCACTCCTCCTCGCCGTCGAAACTCATGTTCTCGAACGAGAGCAGGTCCGAAATCAGCTCGAAGTACCGGCCCACCCCGTCGGTGCCGGTGAATGTGCGGCCCAGGAACGGCGCGAGGATCGGCAGTCCGTGCTCCTGTACCATCGGCAGCGGGTTGGTGGTGAAGTGGCTCAGGAGGACGGGGACGGGGGCGGCGGAGGCGAAGGCGTCGCAGAGGGCGGCGACGGGTTGGATGAGGGCGCTGCGGGAGTAGGTTTTGGGAATGTTCATTTTGGGGAGTTGAATTGGGGAGGTGAAGGTTGGTGAAGTGTAGGTTGATGATGATGGTGCTGTGTTGTGGTGATGGGGGAAGTTGGAAATCTGACATAAGTATGACGTCGGGTGTATACTTTTGTAGAGTTGTTGTTTGAATAGAGACACAGAGCCCGTGTTATTGCAAAGCAGGATATCGCAATAGTAAATCGTCTGAATCAGATCAAATCAACTCATTGGAGTTGGTTTACACAATTCAAGCCATGGCAGCGCAATCGCAGTAGGATTCATATCCTCTATCTACTCAATTAGCTAGCCCAAGAGAGGAAGGATCTTTAAGAAAGTAAAAAGATAACACCAAATGAAACATTCATCATGGGACTTTAGCCCTCCCACGCCCATGATGGAACCAAAGCAAGATTCCGTCTTTTTATAAATCCACTCAAATAACTCCGTGCCTGCCGGCAAAAAGACCACAACCACCTCGCAAATCAATCGAGGCAAACGGAAAACGAGACGCAAAACACCGGTCAGAAGACCGGGTAAGCAGGCAATTACTGCCGCCATGATTTTCCACAGTTCATACACGTACAGAACAAGGTCATCGGTTCGTCTGCACTGCGCGTTTGCGCCTCGGTGTAGGTGACCTTGCGCTGTCCGCACTTGCCGCACTGCAGACTGGTACTGATGCTGCGCTCGGCCTGCGCGACCATGGCCTTGTCCATGTTCTCCTTCTGGATCTTGCGGTCCTGCTCCCGCTGCTCGGCCGACTTGAGCTCGTCGTACGTCATCTTTACGAATTGTTCGGGGGTTACGTCGTTCGCGAGGACGCGTGTGCGTAGCGTCGGGTTGGACTTGTTCTTGAGATTCTGGTACAGACTGCGGATCTTTGTGCGGTATTGCTCCTTGGTTTCTGGGCCCAGGGCGCTGAACGCCGCCGCTTCCACCGCGCAGGCCTTGGACAGAACTGCGCGTGGGGACTCGGTGGAGTTCAGGCAGAGCCCGTCGTACATGAGCCCGATGCAGCTGTCGCGGATCTTGTTGGAGGTCTGGTTGACATCCACGCCGTCCGCTTTCCAGGTCCGCTTGTCCGGGGGAACAGACAGCTTCGACATCTTATCCGATGGCGTTGTCCCGGCGGGCGACGCGGCGCCATTCGGGGCGGGACGCGGCGATCCGCTCGATCGCTGGCTGACTGATGGCGACCCGCTGACCTTTTGTTTGTTGACCTCGTTCCGCCATTTCGAGACGATCTCGCTAGATAGACGGGCGACTTCGGGCGACTTGTGCTGTTTAAACTTGTTCACGATGATGCCGACGCGAGTTGACCGCAGGAGATCCTCCGTTGCCTTCACGCCTGACTGTAGTTCCTTCAGCAGTGATACGATGGTAGCCGCTGGCTCATTTTGCGTGGCGGCCTTTGTCAGAGCTTTAGCCTTAAGCTCAATTTCCTTCGCTTCGAGCGCCATGGTCGAGAGCACGGATGTCGTTGAGAGATGAAAGGGAGGGGAACTCGGCGGCGGAACTGCACCTGCACCATATTTAGCATGGCCATTCAAGGAAACCTCCATCGCGCATCATCGAAAATAAGGAAAACAGAAATCAAAAAAGCACTATCGCGTAAACAACAATGAAAACCATAGATACATGCGTGCCATCTCAATGAATTTCCCCGCGACAAATGTACTCTTCACTTTCACGGCACATCCAGCAGCACATGCCCTCACCTGTGCGTCACTGAGTACAATGGCATGCCCCAAAAAGAGATGCGCCTTCGATATTCCAAGTACAGCGCACAAATGGAGTGACAGAAGCGCACGAAAATAGCTCGATGAAATACCAGAAGAAAAAGGGATTGCGGGACCGACTCACCTTCAGTGACCTAAATGGCAGCCGAGAGTGGGCGGGCTTCCAGCAGAGAGAAGGGCTGGAGTAATCGCGACTAGGTAATCTGACAGATTTATAACTGACAGGCCAGCGGGAAGGACAATGTTGAAGGATATGAGAAGCCGGCGGACAGCGGACAAGTAGTTGAAGATGAAGCAATTGGCGAATCTCCGCGCCAAGACCGGCGTTGCTCTTTTCGGCATTTCCCACGTGCCCAGTTGTCATGTTGAGGCGGTGGCATCACAGACAACCCCGATCAGCAACGAGCCATGTACGCATCAGATCGTCGGATGAGGCTCAGTGTCTCACTTTTATGCTTCTAGGAGACGTAAATACTCGGTAGATATTGTTTTTGTTTCGGCTCCTCAGTTACTCGAATAGAGAATACTGTTTCAGGCTTCGAGAGTGGATGATTCCATCTCCAATGGCCGTTGCACATCTATTCATTCGCTTTTCACCATTATATACATAAGTAAGGGTAGTAACATGAGGCGTGGGATGGTCAAAAATGTCAATGGGCATAATTCTATCCACCTATCTGTGCAGAATCAACACGGTGTGAACGCTATGGGTAGGGCTTCAACGCAAGGAATGCGACCCGAATGTGGTCGCATACAGTGATGACTCGCAAGCGGGAAGACGTCAAATGGAGCTTGCAGTGAAGGGATTCAGCTGTCTTGGCTCCAAAGATGTCCCCGACTCGAGGTCGGTCTGAATATCATCGGTCAAAGTGATGCAGGCCTTTTCAGACCATGTCATCGGCCATAATCAGAGATGAACGACCTTCAGGAAGCGAGCCACCAAACTATTGCAGAGTCGGGGAATAAGGGGGAGGGTAAATTTCAGGGTCGTAGACAACGAGTGCAGGGCAAGCTGTACTTTTAAAGAGCAGTCTTTCCCAGAGCTTCCGCGAGCTCGTCGACATCCTTGTCCTGTCTTTGAGCGACCTTCTCATCTTCGGCCCGCACGTTCTCCTTAAGGAACTTGTCGGCCTTGTGCTCCTCCTCCTCCTCTTCGGCCTCTGCCTCAATGTCTTCGTCCTCCTCTTCACTATCCTCTTCGAGCTCATCCAGCTCATCAACGCCCCACATGTCCTCCGGATCATCGTCGGTGCCGTGCTCTTCCTTGCGAGCCTCCAAGATCTCTTGCAACTCGGTCACGTTCGGATCGTCTTCGAGAAACTTGTTGCCATTGAGCTCGATACGGCGCAGAGAAGGCAGGGCGGTCTTGGTGGCGTGCAGGAACTGCTTGACACCCTCAGCAGTGATGTCGTTGTATTGCAGACGCAGGGTCTGGATCTTCTCGTTCTTGCCTTCGGCCAGCGCCTGTGCGACCTTGACACCTCCTCGAGCGGAGAGCAGACAGTCGCCAACACCGAGCTCGCGCAACGAAGGCCATCCAGCGACGACACCCGCAAGAGCTGTCGATCCCATGACGGTGAAGGTGTTATCCTGCAAGTCCAGAACCTCCAAGACGCCAGCGTGGCGAAGACCCTCCTTCAGCAGCAACGAGATGCCCTCCTGGCGGATGCCGTTCTGAGTCATCTTGACGGAGCGAATGCCTGCAGCATGTACCTTGTATGCACGTGCCCATGCCTCCATACTGCCATTCTCCAGTCGGTTCCGTCCGCAGACGATGCTCTCCAGAAGAGGGACCTCCTTGCCAGCCTTGCGGGCCTCTTCCTTGCGCTCTGCGAGCTTTGTGAGCGCATCGGCAATCAGTGTTCCGGCAGCGGGACCCAGACCGTTGTTGTTCAGGATCAGATGGCGGAGAGGCACGTGGCGCGAGAGAAAGTCGACGAGGGGTGCCTGGGTGTTCAGACCGAAGGCATTGTCGGAAAGGTTGACGGTGTGAAGAGTAGATATCTCGAGGAGCGCATTGAGGAGCGCGGCAAGGGCTTGAGGGATCTCGGAGAGCAAACGTGAGGTGAAGATATCGGCAAGGTCAGCGACTTCGAGGTTTTTTTGCGCAACAAGGACGGAGGCCAGACGCTCGGAGGCCGGTACACCGAGAGTGTTACCACCAAGGCGGATCTCAGTAAAATCAGTGCTATCGAGCAGTGGCTTGATATGGGTCTCGATATCCTCGGCGGTATCCAACTTGAGGCCTTTGCCCTCAAGCGAAAAGACCTTTGGAGGGGCCATGGTGGGGTAGAATCAGGAGAAGACGGGGGATTGACTGAATGAGATGCAATCCAAGAAAAAAAACACTGAATGATCGCTAATGTGTATACACGTGGAGCAGCTCTATTCCAAGTCACTGACAAGAGAAAAACAGGTTGAGTGGGAGAGACAACTCTGCAACTTGACGGAGGGGCAAGAGAAAGAAAATCCCACTTGACTCCACGATCTCTATTATTATTCTTTTCGCCGCCTCAAAGAAAAGGCAAAAACAAAGAAAAATCCCCGGTCGGGCTCTCCGGCTGCCCATCCACACCAACTGCGCTGTTTCCGAGGCATTGCGGCCATTAATCAGCAGTCCAGCATTTGCTTCCTGTCATCATTTATTGCCTTGCAAGCGTGCTACATACCTGCTGAACACTCCTTGATTCATTCATTCCCTTCATATTTCTTTTTCTGACCAGACTTCATCTCCAATCTGTAAAAATGTCGTGGCTCTTCGGCTCCTCCAGCGGTAAGTGCTCTCAGATCTTTCTCCGCATGTATCACCCAGAACTATATCCCATCACCACATCCACCGATTTCGTCCATACGCTGTCGGAACGACACAATTAACCCAAAATCCCCTTTAGGCACCGCCGAGAAGGCTTCCGCGCCGGCAGCTACCGAATCAACACCAGCCGAGAAACCCAAGGTGAGCAGCGCACTATCCATCCCACCATCTACGTCTGAGCATCCCATCTGACCACTGTTCCTCACAGCCCTGCTGCGTCTGCAAGGCCGAGAAGACGGCCCGTGACGACTGCATGCTGTTCTCGAAGACCGACGATCCGACGCAAGAGTGCAAACCGCTTATTGAGCAATACAAGGCTTGCATGGCTGGATACGGCTTCAAGGTTTAACCGATTGATACCTCTAGAACGGACTAGGTCAAAAGTGGTGAATGTTGGCCGTGATACCAGCATTGGTCGTGCATGATCTGTATCTGAACAGCGAGTCTGCGCCGGAGCTTTTCAAGCGACGGTCGAATGGATATATGCGGCTATACTATGCCTCGGGTGTTATTTATGGCTTTAGTTTTATATTGTATATTAGCATCTTGTTTGGAGTTATTGTCGATGCGCATGTCGGATTATGTACACTAAGGTATAGGCTAGAGACGCTGTGTCTGCTGGGCATGTGAATAGATCATCTCCCCTATGTAATCCAGAAGAACCGAAGATTTGAAAGGACAATAAATTTGCATTTGGTAATTGTAAATAAGGGGGTATCTTTGAAGAATCCTCTAAGAGTCCGAGCAACCGAGCCTCCGTAGCAATCACTGTTTCTTCTTGCGGCTCTCCTCTTCAGCGACCCTGCGCTCCATCTGCCAACACCGTGTGATGAGTCTGCACATACACCAGAGATAAGCAATCCCAAAGCCACCGGCACCAATGAGAACATTTAAAACAACCCATAGATCGGGCTTGCCAGGCGGCGGAGGTACAAAGGCCTCCAAAGCATGCCAGGTGATCATAGCGAGATAAAAACAGGAATGTAGGAGTTTCGTGAAGATATGAGGTTCGGAGACATGTCCCGATTCATCCGAGGAAGCTCGACTGCGGTATATCTCGAATGAGGTTGGGGGAAGACCGAGAAGGTAAGCCCATAAACCCGTCATGACGAAGTATGGGACTCGGAGCTCGTCGCGTTTGAGGAGGGGATACATCGTCCAGCAGCCAAGGACATTGGCCCATCCAACCCACGCGCGTGTATCCTTGGCCAGACCACCATCGCTGGCAAGGAGAAGTGTCATTGGGAGTAATGGCAATAATACGCTCTTCTCATGGACCTGGAAGGAGAACAAAAAGAAGCCCCACGCGACACTTGCCAACGCCGGAAGCAGCAGTGACGCTCGAGGATGGCGGAAAACAATAGCGCAGGGAACTAGAATAGAGGCGAGTGTGGCGCCCAGCGACACTTGTTGAAGAAGCCCAGCCTCAAACCGGTGAAGCTTGTAGAATGTGTGGATTGCGCACCATGCGTTGGCAACCTTGTCTTCAAACAACCCACGGGCAAAAGGGAACACACGATGGATTACCTGCGCCAGTTGGAAAACGGGCGCATAGAGCACCGAGTCTTTATCCAGCTTGATCGGGAAAGCTTGAAGCAGAGGTGGCTGCGGAGCAGCACTTAGATAATCTCGGGTTCCAGTACTAGTCACCGCTACAAGCATTGGAGCGAACAATAATGCGAACGCAAGAAGTGTGATGATGGCTATGCTCAGAAGACGAAGAATCCGGATTCGGGGGAAGGTGCAGATGCCGAGCAGAAAGGCGAACATAACCGGGGCGTAATAGAGCGCCATCTGCTTGAAACCCAGAGCACCGACGAAGAAGAGACATGCCCAGAGCATGCGTCCAGCTAGTATAGCGTCCAGGCTCGCGACAACAAGACCCAGCATCACAGTGTTGTACTGGAAATGGCCATGATCGATAAGCATGGTAGCTGGTTGCATGAGGATCGCAACCAGGGCAATCGAGGTGGACCAGACCGGTACGCCATGCATCCGAGTATAACGGCGAAGGAAGTTCACGACAGCCGGAATGTAGACAAGATATTCGGAAGCAACGACAGTTCCTCGCATGAACACCTTCAAGCGGGGATCTTCGAAGCCACGCGACGCATCCAAGGCGAACCATGAGGGATCAATTATGCTTCCACTGCTGACAGTCAGAAACAAGCACCACAGGTATGCACAGAGCGATCACGTACATCTTTCCAAGCAGCCAGCTGTGATATGCGGTCAAGGGGGGATAATCAAGTCCCCAATATTGCAAATCGTAGAGGTACCATTTCGACATCGGGAGGTGAATGGTAAGCTCCATCCAGTGTCTCTGCGCTTCGAAATCACCATGCATCGGAGGTACTTGAAAGCCTATAGCAAGATATCAAAGGATATCATTAGCACGATGGTCTATTGTGTCTTGAGCACGGAGCATCGCACGAACCGGAGTAACCCCATAGACTGACAGCCCAACGAAACAGGCCCACTGCCATCAGGATCAAAGGCAGAACAAGCCATTGAGATACCCCAGCGCGAGCAGCCCATAGAAACGAGACCAGAGGAAATGCAGGAGTTGATTTCCCGCTCTCATCCTCAAGGATGAGGTTATTATTCGACCCTGTGGGAGAAGAGAGGAACTTTCTCTTCTTTCGCGGACGATGGGAAGATGGTGTCGGGGGAGCCATAATGTCGAAGGGCAGCAGGACAGAATGTTATATCACCTGCCTCCCATCGATTCGATATGATGGTTGAGAGGTATGGAATTGTGGAATGAACAATTGCTTGGAATACGGAGCTCAAGCGGACAGATTGGAGTAAGTAGTTACTGCTTAGAGAGCTTGTAGTAGTGGTGGAGCACGGTGGTACCGGCGAGTGACACTCCGGTTCAGCGAGCGGCATTAGTATTATTGCATAAATCGAGTACCTGCCAGGTACCCACTTTTTCCTGCGCACGGGACTGCTTCAAGTAGGCGGTGTATGGAAATCTCTGCCAACCTCCAATTTTTTTTTTTTTCCCGTTTTGCTGAAATCTTATCGAAGCTCATAAGAAGATATCTTTCCCTTCCTCCCCCATTCTCACATTTTTTCTTCTCTCTTCAACCATACCTTACACCTTGTTTTCCTTTGGCTTGATTCACCAAGCCAACCTTCTTGATATTATCTCTCAAGGTTATATAGTTATACCTGACGCAGCAACGTGGGCCGTACTTGCAAAGTACACTTCAACAGACATCCTGTGGGCTTGATACACCGAGGGCTTTAGGCTTGTGGGCATATTCTCTTGTGGGCTTGAACACTGTCGTTGTGGGTTACTTGTGGGTATTTTTGCTAAATCTCTAACATATCGTTGAGATTTACGTCCAGCTGTGATCAGATACTCACTCCTGGAGATTTGAAATCAGGGGGTTAACTCAAGTAAAGCTTCTGCATTACTTGTTATTCTTCCAAATCGGGTGATTGAGGGATTGTTGGCTTTGCCGCACGATTAAGACTTTATCACATCTTTTACTTCGTCAAGAAAGACAATTCTGTGCGTATAACAGCATTGCTTCTGATTCTTACCGCCTGTTTTGTTCTCTGAGCTAACACACTCTCTCTCCCTAGATCCAAAATGTCTAAGACCAAGTCCGTTACTAAGAAGGGTGGCGACAAGCCTGTTGACAAGGCCTTGAGCAAGGTCAAGGACGCTGGCGTCTCCAAGTCGTCTCAGTCTCCTAAGGCCAAGAGCAAGCAGATTGCTCGTGAGCTCGCTTCTAAGGAGAAGTCCAAGCGCAAGAAGAAGGAGCCTACTCCTAGCAGCAGCTCCGAGTCTGAGAGCGATGAGGAGATGGAGTCTTCCAGCTCCAGCAGCGAGAGCGAGGAGGAGAAGCCCGCCAAGAAGGAGGTGAAGAAGGCTAAGAAGGAGGCTGAGTCCTCTTCCGAGTCGGAATCTGACAGTGATGAGGAGATGAACGATGCTTCCAGCAGCGAGAGTGAGAGCGAGGACGAGAAGCCTGCCAAGAAGGTTGCTAAGAAGGCCGAGTCTTCCTCCGAGTCCGAAGACTCTGAGTCTGAGGAGGAGGAGAAGGTCACCAAGAAGGAGGTCAAGGCTAAGGCCGAGTCTTCTGACTCGGATTCCGACTCTTCTGACTCTGAGGAGGAGGCCCCCAAGAAGGCCACCAAGGAGTCGAGCGATAGCTCTGATTCTGAGTCTGACTCTGACAGCGAGGATGAGGCTCCTGCCAAGGCTAAGAAGGCTGAGAAGGTATGTACACTCGATTTTCTTTCTTCCTAGGAATGTTGAACTGACCTTCTTCCAGGAATCTTCTGAGGATTCCGATGACTCTTCCGATGACTCTTCCGACTCTGAGGAGGAGAAGCCCTCCAAGAAGCGCAAGGCCGAGGAGGAGTCTGCTTCCACCCCGAAGAAGTCTAAGCAGGCTGAGGAGGAGACTGGCGCCTCTGCCAACCTTTTCATTGGCAACCTGTCCTGGAACGTTGATGAGGATTGGCTCCGCCAGGAGTTCGAGACCTTCGGAGAGCTCTCGGGCGTCCGTATCGTCACTGACCGCGACTCCGGTCGCTCCCGTGGGTAAGTTTAGTCTGTCGCATCTTGATCTTCACCATTTGCTAATCATTGTCATCCAGTTTCGGTTATGTCGAGTATGTCAGCGCTGCTGATGCCGCCAAGGCCTACAAGGCCAAGAAGGACACCGAACTCGACGGTCGCAAGATCAACCTTGACTACGCCACCGGTCGTCCTGCCAACAACCAGCAGGGCGGCGGTTTCCAGGACCGCGCTCAGGCTCGTGCCCGTTCTTTCGGTGACCAGTCAAGCCCCGAGAGCGACACTCTGTTCGTTGGCAACCTCCCATTCAGCGCCAACGAGGACTCCGTTCAGGAGCTCTTCGGCGAGAAGGGCTCCATTGTTGGCATCCGTCTGCCCACCGACCCCGACTCGGGTCGCCCTAAGGGTTTCGGCTATGTCCAGTTCGCCTCCGTCGATGAGGCTCGTGAAGCCTTCAACAGCCTCAACGGTGCCGAGCTTGACGGTCGTCCCGTCCGTCTGGACTTCAGCACTCCCCGTCCCAGCAACGGTGGTGCCCCTGGTGGCGGCCGTGGCGGTGGCCGTGGTGGTGGCCGTGGCGGCTTCGGTCGCGGTGGTCCTCGCGGCGGCGGTGGCCGTGGTGGCCGTGGTGGCCGCGGCGGCTTCGGTGGTCGCGATGGTGCTCCTAACAAGGCTCGCGGTGGTATCCCTGAGTACAAGGGCACCAAGGTTACTTTCTAAGTGCACAGCAGTCTGGTGTCTCCATTAAGGCGTTTTGATTGGGTTTCTTAAAAATTTCTGGGATATGTATGGGTTGTTTCGGTTGACGATTTTAATTACCCCAAAAGTCATTTGAGTCGTGATGTCTGTACTACTACTCCTACTGCTACTCTTACCTCCATAGATCCTCATCCCTTCCCATCTAGGTAATATGAATGATCCGTTATTCTTACATCTGCATTGATCTACTGAGATGTGGTTGTAGTGATAGGTTGTCCTCTGGTGCATTGGTATGTCTGCCATGGACATGGTTGGTGCCCCGCGTTTGTGGCTTCACTCTTAGTGGTCTTTCTTTGACAGGGACTCGTCCACGTCTTTTGACTATCTCGCTTATCATGTTGTTCAATCAGCCTTCAGATTAGGCTGCATTTCTTTCTACAGCTCTATCTCTTCTACTATATTGCCAGTGTAGGTTTCTTTGTCGTGTTTATTTATCCCTTCGGTGGTCTCTTGCGTCAGTCGTGTGCGCCCTCCACTCCGTCACCTGCGCGCAGTCCGGTGATCCTCTGACGTCCACTCGAGACAGTCAATCCTCCTCAGCCTCTCTCGCTCCAATCTTCCCCATCAACCTCCTTGACAGGAGTGCGAAAAAGGCGTCAAGGGTTTTCTTCATCCATCTTTCTGGGTTTGATCCTTCCACTTTGGTTGATGAAGTTGATGATTTATGCCTCTGGCTGCTCCTGACTCGACGCTGATAAGATAATATCTGTCTATCTATATTAATTACTACGAAGTTGATGATCTTGTGGCTCCATTCCCCACGCACCCCACCGGCTGTCCATCAACATTCTTCCTTTGCTGGCTGTCAGTCTGCTTGACCGCTTTGTCTGCACTCTCCTGCGTGGTCTGATTTAACGATCACCACATCCCCTCTTCATCCTTTGAAGTCTTCTTTGGCGGGGACTTCATCTATCCTTCTTTCTCCCAGTCTCTCGTCCGCCGATCCCTTCTTGTAGAGAATAACAAAGATGCAGCCAAATCACTATGACCTCTTGAGTCAGGTACCGGATGATTCTCAACCTGCTAGCCGAATGACGAGAGAGGCTCGTCAGCCGCTTCGTGAGAACATCCTTCAGTCACGGTCTCCGTCGGGTGCTGCGCTCACGAGATCTGAAGGTCAGTCTGGTTGATATACCCTCCATCTCCTTTAGATCTGCACACATCGATAGGCATGTATCAGCGTCAAACACAGTCACACCATGTACTCACTTCGATATTATATAGATTCGTGGATTGAGGTCGCGTCGCAGCCGTCCTCTTCATCTCTCTCTTCCGTTGCGACCAGCGACGACATCATCACCACCGGCCTGCGTGTCGAGCTTCACGAGACCAGAGCTTACCATCATCGTAGCCGGCGCCGTCGCTTACAGCATCTTGCCGCCGTGACCGCGGCGCATGTCGATTATGCACCCCGGGAAGCCAGCAGTAGCCAGGATGAATATGAAGAGAGTGAAAGTGAATCGGACCGGGTTCTCGGCAGTTCAAACGAAGACATAGCTCACGCACCTGTCGAGATGCCTCTTCTGCCGCGAACTGGTCCTTCTTCACCCACATTGGACGCAGTCCCGTCGAGTGATGAGGACGATGCGTCGACAGCGCTGGGGATGCGGATCAGTGATTCGCCTTTTGTGCCACAGCCCAACGTGTTTTCACACCCACCTGCGTCCCAGGATTCTACCTGGCCTCGAGCAACGAGCACCCATCGGTCTCAGCCTAGCACCGTGTCCAACTCCAGTCGTCAAACCGCAATCCGCAGGAATTCGCCGGCCAGCGCACGGTCCAATCGTCAGCATCAGCACAGTCCCTACAACATGATATCGCCTTCATACCATGTCGATCACGATGCAGCTCTCCGTGCGAGTCTTTCCACGCTGCTGTCTTGTGCTGCTGCGGCTCGGGGGTTGCCAAAGACAGGTACACAGCCGGCGCCGGCTGGGCCTTCCAGGGCGCATCCGTCTTCGTTCCGTCTGGTGTCTGAACCAGTAGTGCTGGGCGATGAAGAAGATAATGATAAGGATCAATCGGCCGCCGAGACCGCGTCAAGTAGATCACGCCGGTCCGGAAGACATATGAAAGCTGACCAGCCGTTGACGCCGTCTCATAAGACTAAGCGCCGATCCAGTCCTTCCAAGGATCGCGGAGCAGGCCATCCATCCGCGGCCAAGAAGAGTCGTCGAGGAGGAATGGCCGATTCTGCGTCGACGGGCAGTCCCACCATCATGACCTGGGTGATCAGTGCAGGGGTGGTAGTGCTCTTCTCAGCCATCAGTTTCTCCGCCGGATATGTGCTGGGCCGGGAAGTTGGCCGGCTGGAATCCAGTACGGGGGTGGGAATGGCACTGGTGGATGGAGGGGCTGGTGGATTAGGGGGCAAGGCATCGGCAGGGTGCGGGCAGGAGGCCGTTAGGGGCGGGTTGAAGCGGTTACGCTGGGGGACGGGGGTTGGTGCGTCTGGCATCATTGCATAAACTATTGGATTTCGGTGTTTGAAAAAACAAAAAAACAAAAGCAGATGATCGACTGATGACAATTTGCTTGGCGATCGTGAGAACGAGAATGGGGATGAGGATGGATGAGGGAAATGGCGTTTGGGAAATCTTGAATTGATTTGAGTTTGTTTACCTACAATCGTTTGATACTGATTGATGTGTCTGCACGACACCGCGTCTATCCGAGCTGGACTCCGATCTGTGATCTCCTCGGTGGGAGACTCTGGGGTACGCGAGGGAGATTTCTTTTCTTTTTTTTTTGGGGAGGGGGGGGGGTCTTGCTTCTGATGGCGTATGGAGTTCTGGGAGAGGAGATCTGTCAGTTTGTCAAATCTATACCCACTATGACTTCAGGAAATCAGGACGGATAGGATGGCCATCACTCAATGCAGCCGTAATAATATACTCCTAACGAATGTCTCCTAACTTTCCCTCCCGTACTGTCCTCCGTAGGCCCGGTCCTCGTCTGATACCGCGCTTTCGCTGCGGCCCGTTCCTCATCCGGGGCCATGGACAGCGACGCTCGACCTTTGAGGCATTTTTCCTCCATCGAAACCGCCGAAAATGACACCGCAGATGCACAAGGCACACAGTCACACACAGCACACACGGCACACACACGCGCCGCGCCAGAAGCGGTCGAATATCAAATCAACCACCCAACCATCCAACCCTCATAGCGTTTTTTTCCCAGAAAGCAGGATTCTGCAAACCGGCCCGGGAACGGAAAGGAATGCTGTTTCGATGTTTCTGATGCATCATACGGTTCAAGCCTTGAGCGGTTGAGCCTGGAGCCTTTAGCCCCCCCCCCCTTCTCCTAGATCAGAAAAAGAATCGACGAGCGTGTAGCATAGCGTAACATAGGTAGTAAGATGAGGGCGGTCAGGCCGGATCATACTACGCGACAGGGACTCCCTTGTCTTGGAGAGGGAAAAGGTTGTTGGTTGGATACCAGGTGGTCGGGAACTGCGCTGCACACTAGTTACTTTCACTGTAGTGTGCTGTATCTACTTTCCCTAGTGCTCAGTGCTCAGTGTCCAGGCTAGTGCTATCTAAGAGGAGGGGGGCTAAGGCAAGGTGGATCGACGCTTACGCCGACGATCTATGTACTGTTGTCTGTAGAGAGTTACTGCGTTGCTTTTTGCTTTGCTTTGCTTTGCTTTGCTTTGCCTTGGCTATTCTATTGCATTGCATTGCATTGCATGCCATTGTATGCAGGAGATCATAGCACTCTATCCTCCGTAACCCTCGCACTTACTTATTATTTACGGACTTACTGTAGTCTGTAAGATAGGCAGTCCCGGTGTAGCAGCTATCATGGAAGGTGGAAAATGAGGGATGGGATGTTGTTGTTGTGTACCTATTTCCCCCCCATCGAGCCCCAATCCCAAATCCACATCCCACTGTCACCCCCAGAGTGAGGGAAGCAGAAAGCAGGATGAAGAAGCAGGAAATAGGAACCTGGAGACCGAGGGGAGGAGAGACACATGACCCCATTCCTCGTGTAGAGATGCGATGCAAGTGCGTACTGATACTTACTTACTCACTTACATACTGACTATCTATCTATCTATCTATCTATCTATCCATGGGCCGCAGCGAATCGATCATCCATCTTGCCCAGTCTACTAGCTTGTGTGCTTGTTGCAGGAGTGGAGGCCTTCGCGGCTGGAGATGGATGCTGGATAGAATGTAGATCGGCCTTCCATGGGACTCATCGAGTATCGACGCCGGAGAAGAGGGAATGGCCACATCTATCTCACATTCCAGCGCAGTGCAGTAGTGCGGTGCCGCACGCGGGACAGCTCCAGCTCCAGCTCCAGCTCCAGCTCGGTTGGAAAATTTCTACGTGGAAGACGGAGGTATTAAGCTTCGAGCCGAGGGAGATGCAGGTACGGCTTTTTTTTTGTTTTCTTTCTCTGCCGTGGACTGGGATGTGATACGTGTACTACTGGGGGGATATGATGCGTCAAGTTCGGCAGAAAACTTGCTTGATGTGAGTCCGATTAGTGGACACTGGGGATACTGTATGTGGTTTTTTTTACTGTAGTCTGTAAGTAGTTACAGCTTACAGCTGGGTTGTATGGAAGTTGCTACGGAGAGTTTTATGGATTGAGAACGTGTGGATGCAGCTTTATTGAGTGAGGAACACAGAACTGCTGTCTGTATGTGTTTCTGGATTTCATTGCGTGATAAGATAGATGCCATGATCCTAAATTTTGGCCATTCCATGCCGATGTTGCTGATGCTGATGTTGATCTTGATGCGCCACGCTTTCTCCGTGCTATATGCCCATAAACTCCGTCGCTAACCATAACCATGAAACCCATGCACGTGTATATGCAGAAAAGACCCCGAGACGGATACATAGAAGACGGTGGTGGTCAAGTGGTGCTGGACGATGAGATTGACAAAAGAAACAAAAAAAACAAAAAAAAAGAAGAAAAAGAAGATAGGGTATTCGCTGTGTATAGATCCGAAGCTCATGCGATGCAGTAGTAGATAGCAGTCGCCGAACTCAACCCGAGTTCGGCAGGGAAAGAAGTCGAAAAGGTAATTGGCGAAAAAAAGAAAAGAAAAGAAAAAATTCGTCGTCGAATTCGAAAGACGGTGAAGAAGAAGAAGAAGAAAGCGAATGTATCGAATTCGAAACGAATGACCGGGGCTACAGCTCAAGCAGCACGCTGTCGTTTCCTCAAGTCATCGCGGCTGAGGAATCGACGGATTCTCGAAACAAATCGGCAGGCTGTGGAGTCTTTAGAAGGTTAGCGTCTGTGTGACGGATCAAATATGATGGATCCTTTTTTTTGTTTTTTTTTTTTTGGCTTCTCAGCAAAGGATGGACTTACCACTGTTCCTGCGTGGTTTGGAGTAATCCTCTGTCGAGTAAGCATCGGCCCAGTAGCTGGTATCCTGGTATCCAGAGAAGTTTTTGGCGCGGGACCATGGATTGTCGTCAGATTGAAGTTGGAGGGCGACGACGTGAGGGTATAGAGTACCCAATGGGTTGAGGATCTCTTCTACTGAACGATCTCGTTGCATGTCGAGACTTTGGCTTGTCTGGAGAATGATGTTAGCGATGGTCATGGTACATGTTAGGGTTGGGTGAAAGGCAAAACAAACAACATACATAAGGTTCGTAGTTGGACTTGTAGCACATGGTGTCGGATTGAACGTGTGGTAAGGTTTGGGGAGATCTGTTTGAGATTTGACTCGAAAGAACCGACTGTGATAAATAGACGGATAATAAAGTGAATGGGGAGGATCTCAGGGAAGATGGAGACTGGAGTTATATATCCAACGCACAAGCAAGCATTGATTGAGGTGAGATGGTTGGGAAGGTGGAGGTCGGTCAGGCAGTGCGCCACTTGATTTGCACTCGAATACTGTTTATCTAGTATCTCTCGGTCCAACTACGGTAGTATCTACTGTATGTAGTTCCAAGTGTCTAATCATGCACTGTGTGGGACTGGAGGGGGGATGTTACTGGGTGCAAGTCATGAATCCGAGGATCTTGCGATTGGTGGACCTGGGTGGACTCGACTGGTGTCAATCAATTCAGATCCAAAATGATTAGACGTGCATGATCTCATTGCCTCATCAGACACCCAGCGCAGATGATGTGTGTGTGTAGTGCCTTATGGAGGTTCATTGGTTCTGGCAGAGCACACTAACTGCCACTAGAGAAGGGCAACACTAAACGGACATACTCCGTACACAAGGAACCAACAGCCTCACAAGAGGACATGGAAGAATAATTGAATGACAAGAACTTGTTTTATTATTGATCGATCGATCGAGGCTACCTAGTATGGAGTCTCCACTGCCCTTTTTGCTGTTCAGTAACCAGCTATGACTTCTTTGTAAAGGGCCAAGGAGACATCATCATCCTAGAGTTGAGATGAAAATCATGAATAATTCCCCAGCTAGGAACTCCCCGATAATCGATCCTATTGTCCCTGACTCCTGACTTCTGACAAATGTCAGAGTGACGGGATTCCGGTCAAGTCCAGTCAGACTGTAAGGATGAACTCCCATTCTATCTATCCACAGCAGTCTCCTACAACCAGCCAGCCGAGGCGCCCGATGAGGATCTGCATCTACTACGGCGGATGCCCCTTGCATTATTCAGTAGACAGTATCAAGTCTTATCTACATATCAAACCTCAGACACTGTCGATATCAGGCTTGAGCACGTTATCCGTTGTACGTTGTCTGTTGCACAATGATCACACCCTGCATGATGAGCCCTCCATGAGGACACCTTCCTCTCGTCCGCTTCCACTAGCAGACCGACCATGTGCCTGGTCCTGGCAGGATAACAAGAGTGAGGGATCAGACCAAATTCGCTCAGGATGATCCTCTCCTGATGAAGGAAAAAAAAAAGAAGGAAAAACAGAGCTGTCACATTTTGTCCAGAGGGCCAATTCGGCCGGACTTCGCGCTACTGGGAGGGTGTTAGTTTTAGTCTTGAGAATCTATCTAGCAATGCTTCCTTCTGTTTAGGAATACGAAACTGGCGTAGCTGAGCCGATGATTTAGAACCAAATTGACTCTCGCAAACTCGATAATAATGGAGGTCTTTAAGACTCCCGACTCCAGTGAGCCAGGGGCATCAGGATCGTCTACCAGGCCAGATAGAGCCTGAGGTTTTCCAATTTCTAAATCTTTTCCCTCTAGCGTCTCTGCTCATCCAGGTACTCGGGATTCACCAGGATGACAGGGGGGAGTGGTCAGTGTCTGATCTAGTGAACGCGATGGCGTCTGACTGTGACGACCTACAAGGCTACAAGGCTATAAGGCTACAGACTTACTGCAAACCGCAAACGAGGGATGAAAGAACGAATCGTTGAGGGCGTCTTGAGTGTTCCGCATGTTCATGACTTCTTGGTGTTTGAACCTCAGGCATGGACTAGTCCCAATCAGGATAGACGTATGACAAAGCAGCAGCACAGCCACGCTTGACCGACTGAGTATTATTCAGTACAGAGTCTACGGAGTACGGACTACGGAGTAAGCGTCAAGCCCCACTGCTCTATGGCTCAGCAAGTGGCTCTCCATACGTGGCTGGTGCAGATGTGGCTGCTCCATCGATCAATAGTTTTTCTCGAAAAGCATCATCTTTGTTCTCGTCGCTTTGCTCTTCCCCCTGTCGTCTCCACTCTGGAGCTTCCGTGCACGAACTATTCTGCCGGAATTTCTTTTTTTTATTAAATCTTTTCTCTTTTCGTTTTGGAGCTTCATCATTTTGGGCATGTACACCGTCTCGACTAGACTTCGGGATGGCCGTCTCGCTTCTGTTGCGCCGAGATGGGAGTGCGTCCACATCGACATTCATAAGGACTGCCCTTCCCCCTTCTGAGATGTAGTTCATCAGACTATTTCTTCAAGGCTTCAGAGCTAAAGGAAAAAAAAAACATACTTAAATTTGTTTCTTCTTTTACCCCACAATAAGGATACATGTCCCATGTCAACAATGACGCTGCACCTCCAAGCTTCCGGCGGCGAGTACTGGCCACCTTCTCCCGGTCTGGACGGGCAAGATCCTTCATCTCTCGCAAGTAAGGCGTCCTCCTGTCTCTCCCTCGACCTCCACCTAAAATTCCTTCCTCCCCTATTCCCTGGTATTCCGTGAAATGGCCATTCTGAGACTGTATCCTAGAGTCTATGGATCTGGAGACTGAACGTACTACCGGTAGCCGTGGAAGCATCAACTTTGTCTCTGCACCCGAGTTCTCCTCGGATCCTGTGACGCCTGCGGAGGACATACCCGCCGCGTTCCCAGAGAGTGAGGTTTCTCATGTGGACCTGCACGACTGGTATTCCCGGCACCAGGCCTGCTTGCGCTTCTTCCTGGACCAGAGTCAGCACACGATCCCGGTACAGTCAGTAGCGGCGTTCGTCAACATTCGACTTCCGTGCCAGCGAGTACCAAATCCGGTCATGAACGTCGGAACCCCCGCAAGTCCTTCAGCTGCAGCTACAGTCTCGTCCAGGTCCTACATCCGACGGCTCATCGTGACCGGCCAGGATACGCCAGCGATTTTGCGGATGTTTTTCGGCGATGACTGGCTGGCGGGGGTGGGATGCGTGTGGAGGCAGGAAAGACTGAACTATTTGTTTGCTGCCAAGAGCGACGGCTGGGCATCAACTAAGACGGCGTATGACATCCTTCCGGACGAACATACCCCATTTCTACGACCGCTGCGCGAAGCAACGGAGGAGGAGCTGGATATGGCCGAGACTCGGTGGAGTGAGTGGTTGGCGATGGAGGATTGGATGCTGGGATCGCGAAGTCCATGGTGAGGTGATGAGAGGCGGCGATGATGGATGATGAGTTTACGATTCATGATACTCTTTTTTCTTTTGGTCACCCTTGTCATTCACTACTATAATTTTCTTTTTTTTTTTGGGTTCTGAGTGGACGGATTCATGATTGAATTTCCATCGAGTTGCGCCAGGGGCAGCAACACCTAGCAACCAATTTGTCCGAGTCGACCTAGTTTAGCTCCTCATCAATATATTTTCAATTTATTACGAGTCTTGGTCGAAGACAATAGTCCGAGGATACCTAGTCTAGGATCGATGCAATACGATAGAGATACGGTGTCGCGACTCGCGAGTCTCGCGACGCACGTGAACACCTGAGACAATCGGAAAATAAATTCGAATAAATCCACCTCCTTTTGTCTCACACTCTGAGTCTAAGTCTATCTCTCTACACTCTACAGTCGTCACTATTAAATGAGCATTAACACGCTAACGACCATTCGTGCAACAGACTATTGACATTAACTACCCGACCATGTGGGTTTGAGGCGAGCCTAAAAAAAGACCACTGAACGATGGACTCTGCTGACGTCGATGGCAGAAATAATCCGCAGAATCTCCATCAGCAACAGCCGCACCGCCACAGTCTCGGACGCTCCGAGATGCAGCCCAGCATGTCCCGTTCTAAGAACTTCTGACAAATTCCTGCCCGACTAGCGACTAGCGACTTTAGTTCCCAAGCCAAGCTTCGCGACAGCGCTAAGTGTCGCACTCGCCATAGTTCAAGTTGGCATGGATGATCCATTGATCGCCCAGGGGTATCTGACTATCTGTCCAATGATCCAATCTTTTAAACTATTTAGTACTCCCAACCTGAGGATTTGGATGACTCAAATACCCCCAATCGATCGATTCTGCGGCCGTGTCTGAAATCCTTAAACGAAAAACGAAGCCCCTCCACTCCTTTCACTCCTTTGAGTCCCTTAACCCTTCCCAATCCCACAAGTGTCTATCGACTCGTATTAAAAACAAGGAAACAAAAAATCTCCGTTGCTGGGACCATGGAACCCAGGCTTTGTTCGGACTTTAATCTCTGCATCACGGTCCAGGATGATCCACAGAAGCTAGTACCACTCCTCCAAGCCCAGCTACCTCATTCGATCCCGCTCCTCCGGCGCCTGCAGCATAATCTGGCATTCCCCTCGTCCACTGCGCGACTGCTGACTACGTTCTCAGGGGTCGACCCCCCTGCCTCCTCGCCATGGCTGGCTGCTTATGTGGATCTCGCACGTGGCCGCGAGACGCAGATGACAATCTACTCCAGTGTGGAACGAGCGTCGTCTGCTGCCAATGCTGACACTGTTGCTGACGGCACGGGGATCAACATCTCCACTGTCCGCGCACCGCCAGAGACTCTAGCTCACGTACGCGCCCAACTATTGGCACTACTCTCGTTTACTAAGACAGCCTTGCTGTCTGAGTACCTTGCCTCGCTTGAAACAGACAAGGTCGCAGGCACAGGCACTGCGAGAGTCCTACCCAACACACCGGGTCACATCCCGCCTCCACCGCCGCAGGCCTTTCTAATTGGAAACCTGCACACGGGCCTCCTGGCCCTTCTCAAGGCCTCGGGGAATTACACAGACCCGCAGCCAGTCCCAGGCGTCCGGATCCATCGTTACGATAACAACCCGTACATCAAGTACCTCTTCCGGGGGGCATTTGTCACCGACGTAGCCACAAACACAAAAGCAGACCCGAATGCTATAAACAGCCAGAACAAAGTACTACCCCCAGGCTATCGCTTCCATGACAGATACGGCCGCATTGGTGTCCTCCCGCACCACTATGACCTGATCCGCGCCCGCACACACCTGCCCCGCTCCAACGAGACCTTATCCCGGATCCCGGGATTAGCTGTCTACGTCGATCAGGGCCAGCCCCGTCAGCCTCAGCTGGAGTCTCGACCAGATGTAGCCGAGGACGAAGACGGGAGGGGAAACGACACACCCATCGCCTGGGCCTTCCTCGGTCTTGACGGGAGTCTGGCCACCCTGTTCGTTGAGCCGGAGCATCGGGGTAAGGGTCTTGCGGAGCTGCTGTCGCGAGAGGTGATGCGGCGCGGGATGGCGGAGGGGGGGATCTGGAGGAAGAAGGACGAGGGAGGGGACGAGGCCGTATGGGTTCATGCGAACGTGCTTGCGACGAATGGGGCTAGTCGGCGGGTTCTGGGGAAGTTGGGCGGGGAGGTTGGGTGGACGGTTACGTGGACGGTGGTGGAGGTGTAGTTTTTTTTTTTTTTTTTTTTTTTTTTTCGCCGGAGTTGTTGATGTAGATGGCCGGTATCCATCGACGTTAAAAGAGCTTTGAGGATATCGACACACACACGAAGATACATAATCTTCATCTATCTAAACGTAGCCAAGCTGCATCTCCAACAAACCATGAAGACCCGCAGACCGCAATAATACCAACCCAGACCACCTGCTCCTTCTCCACCATTTTTACCATTATCCCGGACAACAGACAGCCTCTACAGGCTAGCATAGAAGTCCCCCAGAGGAACAAACACCGCCCATATTCCATTCCCTGAAAGCAATGACCCAGTGCTGACGTTGCTTCTTCGTCTCACACCCCATTCCCATCCAAAGGAATACCAACCTGTTGCGCAGCGCATTCTCCTGGCCTATATTCCGCCGACCTGCTCACGCATTCTCGATCATTCCACATCATCCCCCCCCCCCCCCGGCGAGTTAAGAGCAGGCGTTATCCCCGAAAATGGATTATTTGGCTTCTCGGCTGGTGAAAGGTATGCAGATACGGATCTGGAAAGGAAAGCTGATATATATATACGTTTTCGCTGAGATGCGACGGGGGGTCCGGCGCGAGGAGATGGCTCGGTGGTATGGCATGGCATGCTGCGGATAGCATGGATGGGAAAGGATATGATGCTGGGGAGGAAGGATGCGGTGGGATTGATGGCTGGTTGAATTTTTCTTTTTCGTTTGTGGAGGGGAGAGGAGAGGTTGGTGATGTATATACAATAGGATATATATAGAGTTGTGGTGTGTGATGGGTGAGGAAGAAGGCGGCTACTATTTAGGGGTTTATATATCCATGGAGTTCATGGGGGTTTTTCGGTGGGCTTCAAACCACAAGACAACTATCACAGTAGAATGGAGCTTCCAGTAAAGATCAAAGAAGTCATGTCATGCAGGTTGGACCAGGGTGGTGTTTGCAGTGTGTAGACATGCAGATAGTGTCAAGGAGTAATAACCACCATAGATAAGTCTGCCAGCTAGCAAACGGCTTGCCAACTTGCTTTGCTCTAAGGTTGGCATTTTATGTTTGAACGATGCAAGTATGCGCGAATACAACTCAACAAAGCACTGTAAGCAACCAAGCTAGCAACCAACCCCTACCTCTCCATCCAGTCTGTGCGCTCGTCCTCAAACTCCCCTCCCCCAATGGCGTGCGCGCATCGCCGGGAGATGAGCTGTAACTTGGCCAGTACCTGGTCAATCCGACACTCTCTGACGCATCGGTAGAAGGTCTCTTTTATCTAGTGGTCGCCGTCTTCTATCTAGTGAGTTATGCAAGTGGACCAACACCTTCACCAGGTCGATGACCGTGCCATGGATCTTGTTCACCCCCGAATTTGATTCCTCGGATATCAGAGTCGAGCGATGGTTCAACCCCATGGACCTAGGTGATGACCTCCTGCTTCCGTGTCTGGGAGATTTGCAACTTCGCGACCTGTCACTGGGGAGTGGACCTATCCTGAATTATTAGACGCTGCTGCATCGGACACAACCTGCTTTACATACCGAATAAATGTAGTCAAGACCAGATTAATGGCATCGGTATGCGATGGGATTAGATCCGGCTATCTTGCCTGTTTGTCAAGTATTCACGTCATGTCTCAGATTTGACACAGCATTCTATACTTGTGGCCCGTGGGTCAGGGCGTGCCAGAGTCAGTTTGAAGCTGAGCATCAGTCAGGCTGTGATTGAAGAACCAATCATTCTTTCTTTCAGCTCTCGAAATTCAACACGATGACCATTCTTCTAGCAATATTTCAACCGAAGAAGATTTATCCTGCTGTATTAATGCTCATTTGACTCAGCGGAACCGCGGGAGGACCTGCTAGTAATTAGTATGTAGTCGCATCTCATTTGTACCCTGGGAGAGTGACGCTGGCTGCGCTTAAAGTAGATTCATCTGGAATAGGGATATATGCAGCATGAGGAGAGCAAGTAACTACTGAAACTTGAGAGTCGAACTGAGAGGGAAGTGAAGCTGATGAATAAATACTGCTCATATTGAAGGAATTGAGGAAACTATTGGGAGCACAACGTCCCCATTCGGTTAGTGCCGATATCGCTCCCCGCGTGAATCATCGAGAATCATAATTTGGAGTCTGAACTGCTCCCATCCTCTTCTTCAACACATCCTCTCTTGCAATTTCCCTCATTTCTTCACACACAGCTGCCAAAATGAGTGCTTCCAAGGCTGTTGCTGAGAACATGCTCTGGGGTGGTCGATTTACCCGTTAGTATTTCACATTCTCACGCTCAATGACTGCGATTAGCGACTGACCCGACCTGACTCATAGAGGGCCTCGACCCCCTGATGGTCCAGTACAACCAGTCCCTCCCCTACGACCGTATCTTCTGGAAGCAGGATATTGCCGGGTCTATTGCCTTTGCCCGTGCAAACGCCAAGACCGGTATCCTGACCCAGCAGGAGTTCACCGAGATCGAGCGCGGCTTCAAGCAGATCGCGGACGAATGGAGCACCAACACTTTCGTGGTCAAGGAGAACGACGAGGACATCCACACCGCCAACGAGCGCCGACTGTCTGAGATTATCGGCAAGGAAATCGGCGGCAAGCTGCACACCGGCCGGTCCCGTAACGAGCAGATCGCCACAGATATGCGCCTGTGGCTGCGCGACGAGCTGCGCAAGCTGGACGCCGTCCTGTGCGATCTCGTCAAGGTCTCGATCGCGCGCGCGGAGAGCGAGCTCGACTTCATCATGCCGGGATACACCCATCTGCAGAAGGCCCAGCCCGTCCGCTGGAGCCACTGGCTGCTGTCGCACGCGACTGCGTTCGCCAGTGAGCTGCAGCGTCTGCGGGAGGTCACCAAGCGGGTCAACCGCAGCCCTCTGGGCACCGGTGCTCTGGCCGGTAACCCTTTCCAGATCGACCGGGAGGCGATGGCCCAGGAGCTGGGCTTCGAGGGTCTGCTGTACAACTCGATGAACGCGGTGGCCGACCGTGACTTCGCCATGGAGACCATGCAGTGGGGCAGCTCGTTCATGCTCAAGATTTCTCGCTGGGCCGAGGATCTTATCATCTACAGCAGCTTGGAGTTTGGCTTCGTCCGGTTGTCCGATGCTTACTCGACCGGATCGTCGTTGATGCCTCAGAAGAAGAACGCAGGTAAGTCCTCCGTCCCAGAAAAGATTTCTCTTCTTCTTGCGGACTATTCTAACCGGCAACAGACAGCCTGGAGCTTCTGCGCGGAAAGGCCGGCCGCGCCTTCGGCCACATGGCCGGTCTGATGGTCACCATCAAGGGTCTGCCCACCACCTACAACAAGGATCTGCAGGAGAGCGTCGAGCCCCTGCTGGACCACATCAAGACCGTCAGCGACAGCATCCAGATCGCCACCGGCGTTCTCTCCACCCTCACCGTCCTCCCCGAGAAGATGACTGCCGCCCTGGCGCCCGAGATGCTGGCCACCGAGATCGCCGACTACCTCGTCCGCAAGGGCGTTCCCTTCCGCGAGGGCCACCATATCTCCGGCCGCGTTGTCGCCCTGGCCGAGAAGAACAACGTGCCCATGGACACGCTGTCGCTGGAGCAGCTCAAGACCGTCGACGCTCGCTTCGACGAGGATGTCCAGGCCTGTCTGGACTACGAGCGTGCCGTTGAGCTGAAGGATGCCATCGGTGGTACCAGCCGCCGGGCGGTGCTGGAGCAGACCGCTGTCCTCAAGAAGTTGCTGTAAGATCATAAGGGATAGAAAAATATTGGTTGAGAGGGTTTATTCGGGATATGACATTTAGTCGGTATATAGAATTCTTACATTTCGGGTTTCTATCGTTTTCAACCATTGTCAGCCTCTACACGAATGCATAGGCTCTGGAAACCGCGCCACTCAACCAGATCAAAACGAACCACACGAAAGAAAATCGCAGAAACCTCAACAACCCCTAACCAAAACCCCGTAAAAAGAATCCCTACACCACCCCATTTATGTAGATCAACCAACACCCGCCACAACCGCCAGCAGCCATGGTCTCCGCCTCACCTCCCCAAAGACCCCAACTCAAACCCCCTTCCCACTCTCATAACTCTTCCTCCACTCCTCCCGATACGCCGGCAGAATTGAATCCCTCGACGGATAATTCACAAAGCTCAGCACCTGCCCGTCGCCGGCCCCGCGGTCGCGCGGATACGGATCATCCCTCGGAAGCCGGCGGTCGAAGTTCGCGCACAGGACCACGCCGTCGGGCGTGATGATCGACGGCCGGGCGGGCTGGTGCGCCTGCGTGCCATTGCCATCACCGTCGCCGGCGTCCTGATCCTGATCCTGATCCTGGTCCGGGCGGGGTGGCATCCGGCGTCGTTCCGGGGGGACGTTGATCAGCTCGCTTTGCGAGTAGGCGGCTAGCTCTGCGCGTTGGCGGTAGAAGCCCGTGTCGGAGAGCTCGGGGGTGATGTCGGCGCGGTGCGGGTTCAGCGGGGCTGGGCGGAGGCTGCTTACGCTGGGGATTGAGGGGGTCGAGTAGCCGGGGGAGGGGGGGGTGGATGGGTGTGTTGTCAGGGAGGATCGGACGGAGGGGATGCGTAGGTTATAGGGGTTGGGTGCGCGGGATGGTGGTCGGTTGCTCGGGGGTGTGGAGCTCGAGATGGGCCCCGGCAGCAGTAGTTGGGGGATATATGCTGGACGTGATGAGGTGGGTTTGGACTTGGGGACTGAGAGGGGGGGGGATGTCAGTTGCTGAATTGGATGGAACTGGGAGGTAGGTAGTTGGACTAACCGTCAAGCGATATGTCCCTGGGAGCGGGTCCTATGTCTCTGCCTGTGGTCGAGGCACCTTTCCCAATTTTCTCTGCAGAAGGCCCCCAGCGCAGCAAGGTGAACTGTTTGCCACGCTTCCTGCGAGACCGATAGACCATGAGCAGTATGAGCGCGATCAGCAGCAGCAGCGCCAGAATCCCACCCACGACGCCCCCGATCAATGCGCCATGATTATCCCCAGAACCTGCCGCCGGAGTATCGGTCGATGATACAATAGTCTGAGCAGTACTGCGCGACGCTATACTGCTTGTGATACTTCCCTGGGAGCTCGTTGGCGGGAGCGTCGTGATACCTGCAATCGGCGAGGTCGCACCCGTAGCCGGGGCTCTATCCGACGGGACTGTCGCTTTCGCTGTTGACAGCGTCGACAATGTCGTTTGAACTGTGTTGTCACTATCCGGACAGATGCCGCTACTACACGGGTCCACGGAGCAGCAGCCACGGAAGTTGTTCTTGCTGCAGGTATACCACTGCTTCTTGCCGGGGCATTCCGCAGCCACGCGGGGGAGAAGGAGAGTCATCTGGGATGGGTCAGGGACGACAGCTTTTGCAGACTACGGATCACTTGCAATCTTGCAAGAAATGAGACAGTCCTGCACCTGAGATCAGAGTGAAGACATCGGCAGTCAAGCAGCACGGGGAAACGAGATCTTCAATACTAGGACAGTCAATCCCATGCAAGAGGTGCTGTGCCCCTCATTGCGAAAAGTCTCAACAACGGAGTAGTGTAGAGGCCATAGCGTTTATTTCTTTTTAGCAAAGCACATGGCTATGCAAACTGCTCTGAAACATCTCTTGTCCGGATTCAAAGGCAACGAGGCATACGGGGCGGCAACGACTCGGGTTCTTTGTTGTCGCCAGTGCTGATTCTAGACGACGCCCAAAGCATCAATTAGGGCCCTGGGTCATCAGGTCCGCTGAAAAAAGTGCAATGGCACGAGTCTATGACTCATGGAGCTTCACAAGGCGATGAGACCATTGGCAATCCTTCATGCTTGTTAGTTTCGAGGGAAGGTCACTGAAACTATTGCTTGTTAACACTGCGACTTTTCTGGACTCATTAATCATCGCTATACATGAGCATTCATTGTCAGATTCAGACTGCAGGATCTATTCAATCTAGATTGGCTTGCAAGACAAGAATCATCACCCTGGTGATGGCAAACCATCATCATCTGCAGCAGTACCTATCCCGAATGTCGAGAGTATAAGGGCGTTTCTTTGTCCCACGACCGCTCAGAGGGACAAAGAAACAAAATCTTCCTGGCAGTTCAGTAGCCGGATTAGATTAATTCCTCTTGGAGAAAAGCAAAAGAACGCCTGTATCACGTACCAGAAGAGAAGAAGCTATGCATGATATAAATGCCATTCCCATTGTGGTTAAAGTTGGTGTCGCCATAGACAAGAAAAGCATCATGCTGAAGATACTCTAATTCTGGGCGAAGAACTCGAGAGCTATGCTCTAGGTGCAAAAAGAAAACTCCAATTGTATATGAAACTGCTATGAAAACAAACAACATGAGTACACCTAACTCATCGCCCGAAAAGGGAAAACATGGATATACAGATATAACACAGGGAAATGCAGTGAATTTTCATGACGCTCCTTTCTATCGCCCCAACTTCCACCACGATCCAGCAAGTCAATTAGAGACCACATGGGACGGGGGCCCCCGTGGTCTGGCCTTTTTGAGGTTGACCCGTGGCCAATCCAGCCTCATGAGCGGTGTAAATGCTGAATCTTCTCCTTCAGATCTCCGTCAAACGAAGAGTACTGCGTTTAGTAGACACGCTTGAAAGGAGGCACGCTCTTGCACTCGTTCTCATCAAGAGTGTTGTGCTCAACGGCGCGGTAGCTTAGGTCGACCTTGCCGTGGGGGTTCTTCTGCCAGGTGAGGGTGTGCTTCATCCAGTTCTCGTCATCACGGTCAGGGTAATCCTCACGGGCGTGAGCACCACGGGACTCCTTGCGGTTAGCGGCGGCAACGGCGGTTTGGGAACTAAAATCGCAGGTAGTTAGCATCTTTTTTTCCCCTTTGCATCGTATGCGAGCGGATACTTACGCGCAGGTCAGCAGGTTACGAAGCTCAAGAGTCTCAACAAGGTCCGAGTTCCAGATCATGCTGCGGTCCTTGGTACCGACTTGGTCGAACAGCTGGTCAATGGCGGTGATCTTCTCGACACCCTCGTCCAAACTCTCCTGGGTACGGAAGACGCTGACGTCAGTCTGCATGGTCTTCTGCATGGCGTTACGGATGTCGAAGGTCGACTTGGGACCCTCGGCGTTGCGGACAAAGTCGAGATCCTTGATGGACTGGGCACCGGCGTCGGCGCTCAGCTCACGGTGAGGCTGGCCGGGGGTAGCAATGTCGCGGACACGGTGGGAGACGGCACGACCGAAGACAACGAGATCGAGCAGAGAGTTGGCACCCAGACGGTTGGCACCGTGGACGGAGACACAGGCGGCCTCACCACAGGCGTACAGACCAGGAACAACCTTGTCCTTGCCCTGCTCGTCAACGGTCAGGACCTCACCGGTGTACTTAGTGGGGATACCACCCATGTTGTAGTGGACGGTGGGGAGGACGGGAATGGGCTGCTTGGTAACATCAACACCGGCGAAAATGGAGGCGGTCTCCGAGATACCGGGGAGACGCTCGTGCAGCAGCTCAGCGGGCAGATGGCTCAGCTGCAGGTAGATGTGATCCTTCTCGGGACCAACACCACGGCCCTCACGGATTTCCATGGTCATGGAACGAGAGACAACGTCACGGGAGGCGAGATCCTTGGCGGTAGGAGCATAACGCTCCATGAAACGCTCACCCTCGGAGTTGAGCAGGTAACCACCCTCACCACGAGAACCCTCGGTGATCAGGCAACCAGCACCGTAGATACCAGTGGGGTGGAACTGGACGAACTCAAGATCCTGGTTAGGAAGACCAGCACGGGCGACCATAGCCATACCGTCACCGGTGCAAGTGTGGGCAGAAGTGCAGCTGAAGTAGGCACGTCCGTAACCACCGGTGGCCAGGACAGTGTGGTGGGCCTTGAAGCGGTGCAGGGTGCCGTCCTCCTGGTTGTAGGCGATGATACCGCGGCACTCACCATCCTCCATCAGCAGATCCAGGGCGAAGTATTCGATGAAGTAGTTGGTGTTGTGGCGCAGAGACTGTCCGTAGAGAGTGTGCAGAAGAGCGTGACCGGTACGATCAGCGACGGCGCAGCAACGGTAGGCCTGACCGCCCTTGCCGAACTCCTTCGACTGACCACCAAAGGCACGCTGGTAGATCAGACCATCCTCGGTACGGGAGAAGGGGCATCCATAACCCTCAAGCTCACGGACAGAAGCGGGAGCCTCTCTGGTCATGTAGTGAATGGCATCTTGATCACCAAGCCAATCGGAGCCCTTCACTGTGTCGTACATGTGCCATCTCCAGTCATCGGGGTGCATGCTGTAGCCATATATTAGCCCCAATTCGTCCGGAATGAATCTTTCAAATGCGCATTGACGTACTTTCCGAGAGCAGCATTGATACCACCCTGAGCGGCAACAGTGTGACTTCTAGTAGGGAACAGTTTGGAGACACAGGCAGTTTTGAAACCAGCTTCCGCCAGACCGAAGGCGGCACGCAGACCGGCACCACCAGCACCGACGACGACGGCATCGTATTCGTGGTCCTGGTGTCAATTAGAACCGGAATGGCATCCCCATGCTAAAACGACAAGTTACTTACAATGACGGGATACTTCTCGGCGATGAAACCAGTGGCCTCCTTAGCGCGCAGTGGCCGGTTGGCGAAGATGCGGGCTGGCGGACGAACGAGTTAGTGGGCAAAGGTAGGTGTGTCTTCGCGATGTCCAGTGCGTACCTGCAGGGCGTGTCGAGGAGAAAAGACGTCTCTGATCCCGAAGAGCACGGGAAATCTGCGCAAACAAAGATATCAGTATCGCGACGAAGGACCATAGCATCACCAAAAAGGCCTCGGGTAACTGACCTTGGAGGCGGGAGCTAGGCTCCGCAAGCTCAGGGAGCTCATTGTGGGCGGATCAAAAGAAAAGAAACACTTTTCTCAATGGGTCCGTAGGGGAAGAGATTGGAGATGAGGGACAAACAGCACACAGGCGGTCGTTGGAGGAGAAGCAGGAGGAGGAGGGGAGAGTAGATAGAACGAGGTCAAGACCGGTTGGTTCTCACAAGCTGCACTTTTGGATCGTCGGTTCTTCTGAAGGGCAGAAAGGGCCGGCTGACATAAGCTTCCCTCAGTTGCCGACGGGGATCACCGGGGCCGAGACAGCCAATGAGGGAGTCCGCAGTAGTAATCACCTCGGGCAGCCGGGAACTTCTGATTGGCTGGACGGCGCAAAGCACGTGTCCGGTGTTCTTTTAACCCGGCAGCAGCGAAGAATTCCGGCGCGAAAGGGCCGAAGTGCAATGGTTAGAGATGGTTTATAAGGCGAGATCTTCGCTGGCTCTTGGGAGCGGAACGATCTGTCTACTGTGAGGGTACCTACTATTGTTACTGAGCGACAGCAGTAACGGAGCGTCAATGGCGATCTGAGCATGGAGACGAACAATTCAAGCCGGAGATGACGGGACAAGTATCACGTGACTCCAGATCGATCTCAGCACATTGATCAAACCGCTGGAAAGCGTTGGTAGGAGGATGAGCATGTGTATTGCTGGACTAACTCGGAATTTCGTTGAAGAAAGGTTTCATATTACAAGGTCATCCGAGGATCTGCATCGATGACTGAGCTAAATCGGATAAAAACCCCCCATCCAGCCATGCAATGGATCCCCCAATACGCAACACAAAGACACCCATTTAATTGTACTGCATGTATGTCGCTGTGGAGTTGAACTTGAGATTGCCCTTGATCACCTTGTCCACAGCGGCCAGGAAATCCTTCTCCGTCGCGACCTTCCGGCGCGCCCGGATGGCAAACATACCCGCCTCCGTCGCAACACTTCGTAGTTCAGCACCAGTAGCGTTCGGGCACAGACGAGAGATCAGCTCCCATCGGATGTCTCTCTCTACCGACATACTCTTGGCGTGAATGCGGAGGATATTAGCACGGCCTTCGACGTCAGGCAGCGAGAACTCGATCTTGCGATCAATACGTCCCGGACGCATCAGAGCAGGGTCGAGGGTCGAGGGCCGGTTGGTCGCGAACATGACCTTGATGTTACCACGGGCGTCAAACCCGTCCAGCTGCGTAATCAATTCCAGCATAGTACGCTGTACTTCGTTGTCACCGCCGGCTCCGTCATCGAAACGGGCACCACCAACGGCATCGATTTCGTCGAAGAAGATGATGCATGCCTTCTTTGTCCGTGCCATCTCGAACAGCTCTCGGACCATCCGGGCACCTTCACCAACGTATTTCTGAACCAGCTCGCTGCCGATAACACGAATAAACGTGGCGTCAGTTCGGTTGGCAACCGCTCGAGCACAGAGCGTCTTGCCGGTACCAGGGGGACCATATAACAGCGCACCCTTGGGCGGGTCGATACCCAGGTTGACAAAACGTTCGGGAGACAGCAAGGGCATCTCGACAACTTCTCTCAGCTTCTCAATCTGCTCTTTGCATCCACCGACGTCGCCGTACGTTACATCGGGCTTATCTTCGACCGTCATCATCGTCACGCTGGGGTCGATCTTCGGAGGGAGAGGTAACATGATCTGGTACTTATTCCGGTCGACGCTGTAGAGCGTTAGATCTTCCGAAAACGATAGTAAATCCACCATAAAACACATACCCAACTCTCATGCCTTCTTCGATATCTGTAGGGCTGACTCTCTCCCCTAGATTCACGACGAACTTGGCGATCTGCTTCACGTTGATGACATATTTGCTCTTATCGGGGTCTTTCTCGTCTTGAATAATCTTTGTACAACGGGCAACCTGCAACGGTTGCTCCTCCGCCATGCGTTGCCGATCCGCAGCAACATCCCAAAGGTGTGGAGGTGCAAGACCAGTGTCGGATTCCTAGACAGAGTCAGCATGAACCAAGCAGTAGAAACGGCGGGGATCAAATACCTTCACACCGATCTTCTCGTTTACGCTCGCTTGTTTGTCCTTGATCTGCTTCTCCAGCTTCTTTAACGCGTTTGCGTAGGGAGCGGCGCCGTATGTCTTAAGTACTGCGATATCACTGTCGCATCATCAGCCGACCCGTTCAATATGTTTCCCATCATAGATAGCTGGTAACCAAGCATACTCGTCTGTGAGAGGTGTGATCTTCTTCTCCGGCTCTTCATCGTCAGCGAAGTTCTTCTTGTACTTCTCCCAGTTCGCTCCCGTGGCGCTAGGCATGGTGAAACGGGACCGTGCAACGGTATAACAAGGGGGGCAAAAGAAGTATTTATCGCAGATGAGTTATTGAAGACGGAGGGTTCGATGGAAGACGTAAAGGAGAATACTGGAAAGTGATGGGATGGATGGAGAGAAGCTTGATTGGGGAAGTCAGTGATGTGATCGAGCTCTCCAGCTTGAGTGCTGTCACCAGTCGGTTCCAGCTGTTCGACGCTAGTGGCCGCCAAGCATCACGACCGCCAAAGCAACCTCAAGAAATTCCCAGAGCCGCCTCCAGAGTCTGGATCTGCCCGCTCTTACAACGTCCGTCGTTATCTCTTCTTTTCATTAATTTTCGTGTGCTATAGTCAGAGACAACTCCAAGATGGCGGCAGCAGTCTCCCAAGGGGGCGCTAACACTACCTTCAAGGTGGGTGGATTTTACGGAGTCAGGAAACTGCTTGTGGGCCATATTCTGATAAGTCGCAGGACAAGGAGAAGCCTATGGCCGTGCGGACAGCCAACATTCTGGCTGCTAGAGGTATTTATTACTGCTTCATGAGTTGCCTTGCATGGTGCTAATCTAACTATAGCTGTTGCGGATGCCATCAGAACAGTATGCACCTCCGAAAGTCATGATCAGTGCAGGTGAGGGGCTAACATGTTGAACAGTCTCTGGGACCCAGGGGAATGGATAAGATGGTATGTTTGTCCCCCAGAGACATCTCAGCCGTCGATACTAACTTCTTTAGATCCAAACACCCAAGGGAAACACGATTATCGTACGAATTCCAGCGCCCGAAGCTTTGCACCAACTGCTAACCCCTCCATAGACCAACGATGGAAACACAATGTTGAAGGATATGAGCGTGATGCACCCCGCGGCCCGCATGCTTGTCGACCTGAGTGCTGCTCAAGATGTTGAAGCCGGTGATGGAACAACTTCCGTGGTCGTTATCGCTGGCAGCTTGCTGGGTGCCGCCGAGCGCCTGCTGAGCAAGGGTATTCACCCCACCATCATTTCCGAATCCTTCCAGAGAGCCGCTGCCGCAGCGGTCGAGATTCTTCAGAATATGTCCCGTCCGATCAATCTGATGGACCGTGCTACCCTCCTCCAAGCCGCCTCGACCTCGCTCTCCTCCAAGATCGTGTCACAGCACTCCGGCCTTCTTGGCCCCATGGCCGTCGACTCGGTTCTCCGCGTCATCGACCCTAAGACAGCAGACAATGTCGACCTCAGAAATATCCGGATTGTGAAGAAGGTCGGCGGTACAATTGAGGATAGTGAGATGGTGGACGGTCTTGTGTTGAACCAGCCCGTTATCAAGAGCAGCGGTGGCCCCACAAGAATCGAGAAGGCTCGGATAGGCTTGATTCAGTTCCAGCTTAGCCCCCCCAAGCCTGATGTACGTCCGTTGTGAAGAAGCTTACAAGTTTCTCTGTTACTGACACATGGATCGCAGATGGAGAACCAGATTGTTGTCAACGACTACCGCCAGATGGACAAGATCCTCAAGGAGGAACGTCAGTATCTTCTCACCATGGTCAAGAAGATCCAGAAAACGAAGTGCAACGTTCTTTTGATCCAGAAATCCATCCTCCGCGACGCCGTCAATGAGCTTTCTCTCCACTTCCTCTCACGACTCAAGATTCTTGTTGTTAAGGATATCGAGCGGGATGAGATTGAATTCCTGTGCAAGAGTCTTGGCTGCAAGCCCGTCGCCAACATCGATTCCTTCACCGAGGACAAATTGGGCACTGCGGACCTCGTCGAGGAGGTTGACGCTTCTGGTGCCCGGTACGTGAAGATCACCGGCATCAAATCACCAGCTGCGGCCAACAAGCAGACCGTGTCGATCGTTGCTCGAGGCGCCAATAATCTGATTCTGGACGAGGCCGAACGGTCCCTGCACGACGCCTTGTGCGTCATCCGTTGCTTGGTCAAGAGACGCGCCCTCATTGCCGGTGGTGGTGCCCCTGAAGTTGAAGTCGCTTACGCTCTTGCCAAGCGCGCTCGTGAGCTTGCAGGCACCGAGGCCATCTGCTGGAAGGCATTTGCAGAAGCCATGGAAGTCATCCCCACCACACTGGCAGAGAACGCCGGATTGAACTCGATCAAGGTGGTCACAGAGTTGCGACACCGCCACGCCGAAGGCCAGCACAATGCCGGTGTCAGCATCCGCAGCGGCGGCGTACGGGATGATATCACGGAAGAAAACATCCTGCAGCCCCTCTTGGTGAGCACCAGCGCGATTGAACTGGCGGCTGAGACGGTCAAGATGATTATGAGAATTGATGATATTGCCCTATCGAGATAATTTGGAGGCAGATAGGAAGCAGGATACTGTGGTGTATCATGATAAGTAATTTTACCCAAAAAAATTCATATGATTCAAGGATATAGATGATTGAATTCGGTATCTACACCAGTTGATTGCCCACACACATGCCTTTTTCCCAATCAGTAGTCAGCGCGATTCCCTTACATGATATTGGACTCGTTTACATTCATAGTTCAACCGAACGCAGCCCCTCCTCTACTTGCACCTCTGCTCTCCCACATATTGAGCAGTTGGTCGTTTTGACATGACGCGCTGAAAGCCAGGCATCCGCCTCATTGCACATCTACCTTGGTTCAGATAACTTGGTCGGCAGCAGCCTAGCGGTCAAGTGCTATTTTTGATGATGCTGCCCATCTTCTTTATGCTAAAAACATCACAAGCAGGTGTCATACTGACATCCTATAGTCCAGGGGACGGTTGCCTGTCGCAGAGGCATACAATCCGCTCGTTCAACCGACTCGATTCCTCCCTCTTTCGACTCTCCTAAACCACTCACTTCCCTCTTCACAAGCCCCGTATACTCTCAATTTCTTGACACTCAAAGCCTGATAAACACTCCTTATCACATTCAAACCAACACCATGATGGGTCCAATCAAAAATGCCTTCATCAAGGGGATGAATATCATCCTGCCCAAGTTGGAGAACCCTCCACGCGAGTCCTGGTCCAAGCAGTTAACTAAGGGAACCCCTGAGGAGGCCATGATCTCTTCCACCCCAGACATTGAGCTGGTGGACATGGAGAAAGAATTTCTACGGGTATGCTCCAGACAGGCAACCAAGGGAAGCTCCGATGATGCTATGCCGCCTTTTACCTCAGATATTGAGCCGGTGGAGATGGAAGCAGAACCTCCCTGCGCATGCTATGATCTGGGCATTGAGTGTCTGGAGGTTGCCTACCTCAACACCCCGTCCTTCGAGTCTCTCCAAACCAAAGAGTCTGGCCTGGATTACATCAGGTACTCGGTCAGTCTCTTGGAGCAGATGAGCACCTGCGAGAAGTGCGCAGAGGAGACCACCGCGCAGGAGTTCCTCTTTTTGTTCTGCCGCGCAATCTTGCAACAGTGCCGGGCCTTCTACGACATGGTGGCCCAGACCCGCGACGACGAGGACCAGCAACCTCTTCTGCTGCCTGGTCACATGTGGGTGACGGATAGGGTGAGCGCCGTGTTCGTCCTTGGTATGCTCACTGAAGGCCAGATGAAGCGCTTCCATACCTGTGTGGGCCGCATTATTGAGACGCTCAGAGATCACCCGGTTTTCGATGAGGATGCCTGGATGCTGATGGAGGCACAGGCCTACAGACTGGTTGTGGACTCGGCCATGTGTTAGTCCACTCTAGCCCGTTTTAGGACGGAGGATATGGAGAGACTGTGCCTCTATTGTATTTCATGTCTTGTGGTGGTGATACCCATGTACGAGGAGTTTTGGAGTTTGGGATATATTTTGCTCTTCGTCTGATCATTATGAAGTCACAGATGATTTAATCTGTTCTTGTATATGTTGGCCTTGCTCAATGTCTTTCCTGTCTTGATGTTATCACTGATCCTGTTGCCTTGTTGTTACTGTACCTGTTGAAGTCTTATATTGTGTCTCGTCAATGCACAATACTTCCCATCAATTATGCCTCGTCCTCTCTGTAGACTGTATTACTAGCTCCATCACCCACCCAAATTGCCCTCGTGTCACTGATCTAATTTCTGCAAAAAGAATCCCTAGCAATTGAATAGAACTAAAATGGGGATCAATAGACTGCTGAATAGAATCGAGTCTGCCGCCAAGACGCCAAACAAGAACATCTCCAACTCCCTCAGATTCATCGTCGAGCCATCTCCCATGGAGAATGAAGATCTATTTTGTCTGGTATCCCTATGATTGAGTGGGAGCTGGCTAATCCTGAACTATTATCAATGAGCTGTATACATCCCAGCTTGCACCATCCCCTCCACAAGTTATCCTGATTCTTCCATCTCTATCTCCAGCTCCAACTCCGACCCCGTCTTATCTCCTCCGCCATTCCCATCCCCCATTACATGGGATACTTGAGGACAACAGCAGGTTCGTCCCACCCAGAACCGCGGCTATGGCGACTTTCAGCGACCATGAGACCTCCGAGTTCCTCCCCATGACCCGTCCCCGATCAACCTCCTCCGCATCTCAGACCTCCTCCGACTCGGGCCTATCCTCCGAACCCGCCTTCCAAGAGGACCAGAAACAACCATTCTCCGCACCGAACGGGACGACAGGCATGGACAACGGCGACCGATATCGCGATCTCGAGGACGGTGAGGCCGAAGCAAACGAGCCGTTCCTCGCCTCGTCCAAGAAAGCAGCTACCGGCGGTCGCGCGCGGCGGATATTCTGGCTCCTTGTCCTGCTCTGTTTTGGCGGCTGGCTGCTGGCGTTCGTGCTGTTTCTGACGGGCGGGAGGGCGAATTACCAGAGTGCCTCCGACGCGTTGCAGGCGCAGGAGCCCGAGTCTGCGTCGGGTAGCACGAGCTCCGGGAAGCCGGTGACGCTGGAGCAGGTGCTCACGGGTCAATGGTCGCCGCGATACCATGCGATTACGTGGGTTGCCGGGCCGAATGACGAGGATGGCCTGCTGGTTGAGAAGGGTGGCGGTGAACAGGAGGGGTATCTCCGGGTGGATGATATTCAGAGTCGGAAGAACAAGGACGGGAAGGGAGGCCGGGTGCTGATGCGCAAGCCAATCGTTCATGTGGATGGGAAGCTGGTTGTTCCGGGCAATGCCTGGCCTAGTCCGGACTTGAAGAAGGTGCTGTTGATCTCAGACCAGGAGAAGAATTGGAGACATTCGTTTACAGGGAAGTACTGGGTGCTTGACGTGGAATCGCAGACAGCCCAGCCGTTGGATCCCAGCTTACCGGACGGCCGTGTGCAGCTTGCGCTGTGGTCTCCGAAGTCCGACGCAGTCATCTTTGTGCGCGAGAACGATGTCTATCTGCGGAAACTGTCGTCGGACCGCGTTGTCACGGTCACCAAGGACGGCGGCGAGAATCTCTTCTACGGTGTCCCGGATTGGGTGTACGAAGAGGAGGTGATCTCTGGGAGGAGCGTTACATGGTGGTCCAACGATGCCAAATACGTCGCCTTCTTCCGTACGAATGAATCGGCTGTGTCTGATTTCCCTGTGGATTATTTCCTTTCCCGGCCGTCTGGCAAGAAGCCCGATCCGGGGCTGGAGAATTACCCCGAGGTGAGACAGATCAAGTATCCGAAGGCTGGAGCATCCAACCCGGTCGTCGATCTGCAGTTCTACGATGTTGAGAAGAACGAAGTCTTCTCTGTTGACGTGGCCGATGACTTTGACAACGATGACCGGATCATCATCGAAGTCGTGTGGGCATCCGAGGGCAAAGTCCTGGTACGATCAACTAACCGCGAGAGCGACATTCTCAAGGTTTTTCTGATCGACACCAAGTCCAGAACGGGTAGAGTGGTCCGAACAGAAGATGTTGCCAGCTTGGACGGCGGCTGGGTCGAACCGTCCCAATCCACACGCTTTATCCCGGCGGATCCCAGCAACGGACGGCCAGATGATGGATACATCGATACCGTGCCCTACAAGGGGTACGACCACCTAGCCTACTTCAGCCCGCTGGACAGCCCGAAAGGCGTAATGCTCACGTCGGGAGACTGGGAAGTGGTAGATGCCCCAGCTGCTGTGGACCTGCAACGCGGTCTGGTCTACTTCGTTGCCGCAAAGGAAGCACCTACCGAGCGCCACATCTACCGCGTGCAACTGGATGGGTCCAATATGACTGCCATCACCGACACATCCAAACCCGGCTACTTCGGCGTCTCCTTCTCGCACGGCGCTGGCTACGCGCTGCTCACCTACAACGGGCCCTCGGTGCCATGGCAGGCCATCATCAACACACATGGTGACGAAATCACCTTCGAGGAGCGCATTGAAGAAAACCCTCAGCTCACCTCCATGATCGAAGCATACGCGCTACCAACAGAAATCTACCAGAATGTCACCGTCGACGGGTTCACACTGCAAGTCGTCGAGCGGCGCCCTCCACACTTCAACCCGGCCAAGAAATACCCCGTCCTGTTTTACCTGTACGGCGGCCCCGGCTCGCAGACGGTCGACCGTAAATTCTCCATCGATTTCCAGTCCTACGTCGCCTCCAGCCTGGGATACATCGTCGTCACCGTCGACGGCCGCGGTACGGGCCACATCGGCCGCAAAGCCCGGTGCATAGTCCGCGGGAACCTGGGCTTCTACGAGGCCCGCGACCAGATCGCCACGGCCAAGATATGGGCTGCGAAAAGCTACGTCGATGAGTCGCGCATGGCCATCTGGGGCTGGAGCTTTGGCGGGTTCATGACCCTCAAAACCCTCGAGCTGGACGCGGGTGAAACCTTCCAGTACGGGATGGCGGTGGCGCCGGTCACGGACTGGCGATTCTACGGTATACATACCCCCTTCCCCTTCCCTCCCCCCCATCCACCACCTGGGAACCATCACATATTAACGCAGAACCAGACTCGATCTACTCCGAACGCTACATGCACACCCCGCAGCACAACCCCAGCGGCTACGCCAACTCCACCATCACCGACATGGCGGCGCTCACGCACCCGGTGCGCTTCCTCGTCATGCACGGCACCGCCGACGACAACGTCCACCTGCAGAACACGCTCGTCCTCACCGACAAGCTCGACCTCTCCAACGTCAAGAACTACGATCTGCACTTCTTCCCTGACTCCGACCACAGTATCTTCTTCCACAATGCACACGCCATGGTTTATGACCGTATGTTCCCTGTTTCCCCCCTGTGTCGCCCCGGTGGTAAGCGAGGGGTGAGGGTTGCTGATGGCTTTCTCTCTAGGTCTGTCGAGCTGGCTCGTCAATGCGTTTAACGGTGAGTGGCATCGGATCGCGCACCCGGTACCTGGCGAGTCGATGTGGACGCGCTTCAAGCGGTCTTTGCCTGTGTTGGTATAGTTGGTGTTCGGTTTTCGTGTTTGGGAGTTTTCTGTGCTCGGGGAGAGGAAGGGGGGGGGGGGTAATATACATCTAGCGTTGCAGAATATATTCTTTATTTGGATTTGTTTCGATTTACATGGTAGGGACTGATGCTGGTGGTGTTGAGTCAGATAAGATGCAATGCCATGTATTTGCCAATCGCTATGCAGAACAAGAACAAGGCCGTAGAACGCTTTTGATGCCTTTTTTTTTTCTCTTTTTCAACATGAACCAGAACAACACAGAAGAAAAACAAAACAAAACAAAACAAAACAAAACAATACAGAACATAGACACAACCACAACCATGGAATCAGGAATCAGGCGCTTTATACATTTATGTTAGGCCTCGCCTCTGGGACAAATATATAAGAAAGAGAGGTGGTATATACAGTTCCCATCATAACATGTACCGGATCCGTAATATCTAAAGAGTATTTGCAATGCGGACAGAGAAGAAAAGGGGGTATAGCCATGTGAAGAAAAGGGGAAGAAACAACAAACAAGAAAAAAAAAAAAAAAAAAAGGGAGGGAGGGGATGATGGAAGAGGATTATTTGCCCGTCTCCAGGTTCTTAAAGGACGACGACTGCAGGAACTCCTCGCGCATGACGAGCGAGACGTCCGAGTTGCGGTAGGGATGGTGGGCGTCGCGCTGGAGGCCGCGCAGCTGCTCGCGGGCGGCGGTGGAGATGGAGCGGGTGTTCGAGTGGCGGCGGCTGCGGGTGAAGGCCGGGGAGCGGCGGCCGGTTGGGGTGAGGGTGCCGGAGGCGGCGTCGAAGGAGAGGGTCTGGCGCGGGGCGAAGATGGGGAGCGAGGCGCTGGCGGGGAGCGGAAGGAAGGAGTCGTTGTTGATGTTGTTGTCTGTGGCGCCGGAGAGGTTGCTGAGGCTGGAGAGGATGGAGGCGGGGCGGGTGGCGGGCCCGCTGAGCGGGAGCATGGGGTAGCCGGAGGTGGAGCCGTAGAGGGTGGAGATGCCGGAGGCGGCGGAGGAGCGCCACGAGTGCACGGCGCTCTGCGGGATGGTGATGACTTCCTCCTCGATGGGCTCGGTCTGCTCCAGGGCGGTGGCGATGTCGAGGGGCTCGGCCATGGGGCTCAGGTAGCGGTTGGCCATGACCTTGGCGGATTTGCCGATCCAGAGCATCTGCTCGTGCTCGCGCAGGTAGCGGTCGCCGCTGAACGACTTCTGCACGATGTTGCGCGTCATCATGCCCAGCTTGCGCCGGTGCTCGCTCTTCTCGTACATGCGGCGCGTGATGCGCGCCACGTCCTCGGCCGTCGGCGACGAGGTCAGCACCGGCGCCGGCGCCCCCGTGTCCTCCGCGTACTGGCTCCATTCGCCCAACATGCCGAGCATGGTGATCTGCGCGCGCGCGAGCGCGAGCGCGTCGTTGGGCGCCACCACGGCGCTGAAGCGGGAGAAGTCGTCGGGATCGCTCAGCACGCGGAGCGACGCACCGACGTCCGTGCAGACCACGGGCGCCCCGGTCAGCGCCGCTTCACCCAGAGCCAGCGGCAGACCCTCGGACAGGGACGAGTTCAGGAAGAGCCAGGTGTTCTCGAGCACCTTCATCGGGTCGGCGGAACCGCGCAGGGTGACCCGGCCACGAAGGCCCTTCGATGCAATGATCTCCTGGCACTCGGTGGAATAGGTGGGTGCCTTGTCGATGGCACCGTAGATATCAAGGTGGTACTCATCGAACTTCCACTGGTTGATGATGATGTCCGCGGCAAGTAACGCGGTCTTGATATCCTTGGCGTACCACACGTGCGACAACATGGTCACCGTCGGACGCTCCGACTTAATCTCCTTGACGGGGGCGAACTTTTGCATGTCTGTAATGCCGTTGACGACGGGGTCGACCTTGCGACGGAAGATGTTGCGGTGCTCGATCGTGCCCTGGCACGTCCCGATCTCCACTTCCCATCCGGGGTTGAAGAAGTCGGCGCACGGGGAGATGATATCGGCGTGGTGCAGCGTAATGACGGAGGTGATGCGCATCAAACCGAGCAGCGCATTCCGAACGAAAGGAGACAGCTTGCACAAAGCAGACGAAAGGCAGAGGTTGGTCTCACGCCAACTGATGGCATGGTCCCAGATCTGCAGGGTGCAGTTCCTCTTGATCTTGCAGACCACGCCATACGACGCACTCACACTGTGATGTGAGGCCTGGAAAACACTCGGGATCTTCTCGGGAATCGGAATTGAGAAGATAAACAGGTAGCGGTACCAGAGCTCCAGCGCCACGTCCAGGCTTCCCAGCGTAGGGAGCTCAGTCTTGAACCACTCCGACGAAGGGATGGCGTTGGACATCTCCTGCGTGAGCCAGAGCTCGCGCCAGCTCTCCTTGACAAGATCACTGTTCCAGACCTGGGTCCAGTGGCGCGACTCCTGGAAGTAGGTGTTGAGGTTGACCAGCGCGCGGGTGGCCTGGTGGATATCGGCCTTGGACAGCTCCACGGCACGGGCACCCTTGACCAGTGCAGTCAGAATGGGGATGAAGTTCATCTTGATATCCATATCGTTGGCCGAGGTGACATTCTCCACCTCCGAGTCGAGTTTGTTCCGGAAGAGGCCGTGCGTGGGCGTAAGGAAATCCATACCCCAGAGAGGAATCATCTTCAACGACAGGATGTTCTGTTCCGTTTGATGCTTGGGGATACCAAAGTCGTTGGCCGACTCGCAGATCATATGCCACTTGATTGTCCGAAGGGAGTTGATCATATCACGACGACAGGCGGACACACCACCTCCCTCGTTGGGCCAGGTGCCAGTATCAGCAGCCATAACGTGAAGCGACTTGTCCGTGTCGGAGCCAAAGTCCTTGGACCGGGTGTTGACAACCGCGTCACCGCCAGGACCAAAGGTCAAGAGATCGCTGACTTTGATCGCCATGGGAGTCCAGCTGGAGATGTTGTCGTCCAGATCCGCGCTGGCCATGACCGTGTCCGCGCGCAGATCCAGATACTTCTTCGCCGAGGCGAGATCGCCGCGGTCGCGGCAGCGCCAGTACAGCGTAAGCGTTTTGTCTCTCCGAAGCAGTCGTTCATCCATCCAGCGGACAATGATACCGTCGAAATCGACACGATCCTTCCATGCCTTCCACACCAGAGAGCGGGCCCGCGAGGTTGATACTGGGAATCTCTTGGTGGACAGCCCGAGGAATCGGGTGATGGTGTTGGAGCTGAGGCTGTCGCAGTAGAAGAGGGGATTGTCATGCACGAAGCTGGTGTACTTGGGCTTGGCCAGAACCCCCAGGAAGTCGTGTTCGATCATGGGAGGCGTCTGGATCTTCTGTCCGTTGAGCGTGGTGAAGATGGTCGGGTGGAACTTGTGGTCATACAGCCAGCGAGCTTCATAGACATCGGCGCCCTGGACGAAAGTCGCCTCAGTCACCTTGGAGTGCGGGATCCATCTATCAACCTTCTCAGGATGCCGGATCGGAGGCGCACACCAAGACACGGTGCAAGTGATATGCGAGAGGACGAACTCGGCGCGCAGGAGCTCGTCACCGAAGCGAGGGTTCTTGCGGTAGTGATATTTGAAGCGGATCAAGTTTCCATCCTTCATGTATGAACCGGCCTCGATGAGACCCTTGCGGTTGTACTGAACGCTCTGCAGGTGGTTGTCGCCACGGATGCACCGGCGGCCCATGGGGGCCCTATAATCAGATCCTCGGGATAGCTTGAAGTTCTTCTTGGATGGGGCACGGTAATCGTAGTGGTATTCATTGCCCGGTTTGCCGTCTTTGAACTCCTGCCGAATGTGCAGAAGCATCTCTTTGGAGTATGTGCTGACGTACTTGAGCGTCTTGGTACCCTCTGGTTCAGTCTTGTGCTCGCCAGCGTAGTAGTAGACTTTGAAACCGCCATCATCCTCTTGGTGCTTGAACGCAGTGAATGTGCCATCAAGACCCTGGACCATGAACCGGCTCTTCTTGATGCTGATAGTCATCCCCTTGGTCTCATCCCAGAGGCGCTTGACGTTGTCTCGTCCATAGAACAGGAAGAACGACAGACCGAAATCCTGCACCATCTTCGAATACGACCAGAGCATGTTGAGCAGGAACACACAGGGAACCCGAATAATGGCAGGCCGGTACTTCATCACATGGTCGAACTCCCTCTGGAACTCTGTCTCTGCGACCAAAGCAATGATGATGAATTTGATGGCAGCCGCTAGCGAGTACCAAAAGTTGTGGAGGGGATATCTGATGAAGGACAGTGCTGCAGGTAGCTTGTTCGAGATATACGGAATGAACAGAGGGGTCTCAGAGTCCTTGGACATAGCAGCTTCGCCTGTGCCATAGTGCGCGTAATCCAGAATGCTGACTGCAGTCGCCGCTCCCAGGTTACAGCGGGCGACATGGACATCCAGATCGGTCGTGTCAAAACGGCACAGGTGCTCCTGCAGCCATTGCCTGTCGCTCTGGGAGAAGTGCGACGGCTTTCCGAGACAACGATCCAGCAGGGCGTTCCGGATGGTCTTGGGCAGTTTTTCCCAGTGAGTGTCGCACTCAAAACCAAGGCATAGCTGACGCAGGAGCTCCTTCTTCGCCCACCGTACGACCAGTGGTGTGTTCGCCTCTTCGCGGAGCTGCCGAGCCATGGTCTCGGTGACTCCAGCCGAGACGAGTGACTCCGAGAGGACGGCGTACTCGTGCGGCATCCGCAACATGGACTCAGACACGGCGTGGAGGAGGGTTTCGGCGATGATCTGGCAGTTCCCACTGACGTCGATGCGCTGGTCCAAGCCCCGTCCAACAGCGATAGCGAGTTTCAACTGGTCCGATGCACTGCAGCTCAGAGCGTGGATGCTCGGGCCGAGTGCACCAGTGGGGACAAGTTCAATCGAGATCTCGCCCCGCTCCCATGCTTCCAGAGCCATATTGATAAGGTCGTGCGAATGCGGGAATGCCTCTTCGATTCTCGGCTCCTCCCTACGCGAAAGCAGGAGTGCCTTGACTTCGAGGCCAGGGTGGACATGCGGCTGTAATTTGAGCCGCGAGTCCGAAGGAACAAAGGAGATCCTCTCGAAGAAGGTTTGCAGCTCTTGCTGAGACCAGTCCGGATCCGCCCACGGGGTGGTATAGGCATGGAAAGTCTTGCCCAGATCCACTGGCGAATCGACCTTCTTCGGCATCCCAATCTTCGCGGTGAGAAGAGTGAGAATCGCCACTGTCCAGGTCGCTGCTCCCAGACCGATCACCTGCGAGTACACAAAGTCTTGGGGCATGCACGACCGCAAGGCGATGCCGATGGGCAGCCCAAGGACGACACCCGCGAGCAGCGGCTTGAGCGCCTGAGGGCCCGAGAAGATCTTGGTGTATTGGTACCACAATAGGCCGGTGTAGGCGAGCACGTAGGCGCAGAACAAGATCATAGCTTCCAGGGACGATCTGAATGCCCAGAGCAGCGCGGTCGACAGGGCAAGACTCCATACCTGCCACATGAGATATCGGAAGAGAGTCCGCCAATATACCTTTCTCTTGAACCGAACGTCACGTTTCTGCGACGGACGGATCTCCTTCGATGTGCCAACGGGCAAAGTAGTCTGGCCGCCGATGAGATCATGGAGCTCCTGGGCTTTGGTGTCGATGAGGACAGCGCCTATCAGATAATATGCTAGGCCAAAACCAATCGCGAAGCGGTTGTCACTACTGGCGTTCTGAATGAGACTGGTGAGAGGACCGCCGGTGAGCAACTCCACCCATTTGTCGAGGAGCGCCAGCACAAAGTACAGGACTCCACAGCCGATCTCGCGGCTCGACTGGCGCCAATGGATAAACGCATTGTGCAATCGCTGGCCCTTTTGCGAGTTGCGGAGCACATCGAGACCAACCTTGGTCTGGATATTCCAGCCGGAACTGAACGGGATCGGGCGAGGAACATCGGCGTACCGGCAGTACCAGTTCAGAAGAAAGTTGGTCGACTCCCAGTCCCTCGCCAGTTCCAGGACGAGCTGATCCTTGGTGCTCCGAGTAAAGAGGCCGCGGGAGACCTCCGCGAGGACATCGTGCAGCAGAGCTTCGCGAGAGAGTTTCAACACGGCGGGATCGCTCAGACTGCCGAAGCACTTCTCGTCGTTGTTGCCATATGTGGAAACGTACCACTTGCGGATCTCGGTGTCGTCCGTTCGCCGGATCTTATGGTACCAGGTGACCCATTTGGAGGCAGTAGACCGCAGGCGAAGCAGGAGGCAACCGATGAAGATGTAGAGCACGACGAGATAGATGACCGCATCGTGTCCACTCCAAGTAGTGATAAGAGGCGACAAGAAGAGGATCGGGACACATCCAAAGATCGATTTGCGTCCCGACAAGAACTTGGAGCCCGGATAGCTGAAGCAGGAAAGACAGGCAAAGGCCGTAAAGTAGATCGTCAGTGCTATCAGATAGAGGTAGAAGATGATTCCCGGTACTGGACCCTTGACGGCAGAGATGACGACGAAACCGATCAGACCAGCGGCGATCGTGAAGGCAATGCCGGCGACCAGTCTGATAAAGACGAACATGTTCGTCGCAGCAAAAGCCATGGAGATGAGGTAGTAAGATCCACCGCAAGCGATCCAGGTGCCGACCGCACCGGATAGCAGGAGGGATATCATTAGTGCGATGGAAGCGCTCTGCATCTGATCTTTTGGCATCAGGCCGGAGAGGTACAAGCCGCGGCCGTACAAGGTGAGGAGAAGAATATCAATCAGAGCAGGGACCGCAAAGACACTGAGGAAAGTGAGCCGTTGGTACCCCGGCATGGGTTTGACCTTGTCGTCCGGGTTTACATCGATCTGTGCACCGGCGTAAGAAGTGGCCATTTGCGGAGCGCCATTAACCCAGTCCGGCAGTTCTCGATCCTTGTAGTACTTTCTGAATCGATCAGATAGTAACTTGCCGAATGCGCTGGGCTGAACATCGAAGTAGGCTTCGCAGCGGGATCCGAGAGCGAATGATTCGGCAAACGCAGCGGCTTGGTCGGACTGGTTGTTGAACAGGGGGTTACGATCAGTCACCTCCATGTAGATCTCGTCAAAGGCACCTTTCCTGGCCGCAGAAAAGAGGGAGAGCGTCATGATATCGGCGTAAGCGTCAATCTGGTTCTTCTGGACGAGCTGGCAGAGAGCCTGGGTGATTTCGGCCAGATCACTCTCGCGGCGGTCTCGGAGAATATGGGTAAAAGCCTCGTCGGCTTCCAAGAAAAGAGCGAGACATGTCGATGGTGCTGGATACCGACATCCCTGGTCGCGATACCAGCCTACACGGCTGCTGATCAAGGCTTCCGGCGTCAGGGATCCCTCAAGGTAGGCAACCGTGTTGAGCTCCTTAAGCTGAGCGAGGGATGGGGCGTCCACGAGCTGCCTGCGGATATAGCTACAGATGACTTCGGAGAGCTCGTTCTTCGCATCCGTCAGCGATAGGTGCTGCAACAGTAGCAAACGCTCCTCGGGACTCAAAGCGTCAATGTCCTGCACCAGACGGCGCGGGAGCCCAATGTCTTCATTCACATCCTTGGACCACTGGGCCAAGGCTGCCTCGACCTCAAAGCAAAGATGACGGGGAAATCCTCTTGCCGATAGGAAGGTGTGCAGCACGGTACCTGCCAAGCCCTGGGCGTTCTTGGAGGCGAAGACTTCAAATCCCTCGGGGTCGATTTGATAGACGGCCCAGAAACGGACGTCAGCACTCTTGCGCAGCCCTGAGTCCAGCCCGAGATGGATCCGAAGCGAATCGTGAGAAGCAAAGTTGGCGAGTTCCTTGATCGTAGCGGCGAGATTGGGCGTGTTCGACCAGTGGGCGGCAGCGTACCGGTCGTGGAACTTTCGCAGCAGAGCGCCCAAATTCCGAATTCTCTCCGAGGGGACTGGGTGAAGCAAGCCGAGTGATTTAAGCCGTTGCTGGGACCGCAGAATCTCGGCGAAAGCGAAGGTGGTCGCTTCCGACCCCAGGGGGAAGCAGCCAAACTCCTTGTATTCGACGCCGGCCATAGAGATCGAGAGAGGGCTTCCTTGGGACTTGACCTGCGCCACCCATTCGGGGGGATCTCGGACGGAGGTCGTCGAGGCGTCCTTGTGCGGTGGCTTGCTCTCAGACGATGCGAGCACGTCTTCTAGCGACGGGAAAAATTGTAGCAGGGTGTTCCACGCATCGCCATCCACCGGGTCACGCTCAAGATTCAGATTGGCACGCCAGACATCATGGACCTTCATGATCTCAGCCTCTTTCAACCAGCTGAAGGCGGAAAGCGGCTCGGGCATCTTGACGTTGAGAGATGCATCATGCAGGGCGGCCTGCCGGCCAATCCAGGTGATTGCGCTGTAAAAGTTGCACCATTGGAGCGAGCGCTGGACGACAGCGTTTGACAACGGGGCCTGATCGTCGACGGTTTCCCAGGCCATGACCACAAAGTCCCGCATGCAGGCTTCCGAGACGAACGCCTTGATGGTTGGTTGCATCTTGATCATTTGGAAATAATCCCGCTTGTCCCCGTCGGGCATGATGGAGGCATTTCGTACGACGAGACCAGCAATGGCATCGGTCTGGAGGATCTTGCGATCGACGAGAAAGTCCGGAGGGGCGGTTTCCAGAAACACAGACAGACCCGTGGCATGGACAGCCTCGACCAGGTGTTTGACGACCGTTGGGTTGAGTCTCTCCTCGGTGTTGGCGAGGAGGATGCCGCTGAAGGAGGCGCCATTGAATTTGCTCGTGAGTGTATTCTCGATCTTCTCGATGACAGCCACGGTCGAGTCGGAAGACGAACACAAGGACGCCAGATCAACTCTTCCCAGAACCTGCTTGCGCTCAGCCCCGGAGATGGCTTCGGCGACTCCCGATTGCAACGGGTCCACAATGAGCAGGTCCCATTGACTGAGGACTCTACGCTCGTCGAGGGTTGGGGGTGCCTGGAAGGCTCCCAGATAGACGCCAAACGACAAAGGCTTTCTTGTCAATTGGACATTAGACAAGGATAGATGCTGGTTTGCCAGTCTGTCCAGCCGTTGGGAGACATCTTTGGGCACCACATCTGCGTGTTCTCGGGACTAGATGGACGTCAACCACGCGCGATCGACGACGCTCTGCAAGGAGTCTCTGTTTCTCACCTTGTAATATCTGATCAGTTTGGTGATGCCTGAATAGAGGAGGTATGAACATCCAATGACTACACTGCCAAGCAGCAAGCCAATCAAGACCTACAACCCCATGATTAGCACGATCGAGATCCCTGCCAGGAAGAAAGAAAGAAAAGGTAGATACGTACAAATTGCCACCAGTGATCTGTCATATGCCCCCACCCTACCGGTAAGGGAGCAAAGTACTTTTGCACCATTGTAATTAAGGATTAGTGGTAGAAGTCGCGGCGGACATTGGAACGAGAGAGAGAGAGAGAGAGAGAGAGAGAGAGAGAGAGAGACGAAGTCCGAAAGAAAGCAAAGCGAGGGACAAAGCCAAAGACTTCTTAGAGTCTAAGACTGCAGACAACAAGCAACCGACAGCAGTTTCTAAATGACCATGACGATGACCGTGAGCACTGGTGTTATCGCGCTGTCCGAGTCGAAGTCAGCGGCGAATAAGCAACGGCGAATATGCCGTGATGGCTTTCCAGCGCCAACGAGTGTATGGGCTGAGTAGACAGAATCAAAAGGAAAGAAAGCAAGAAAGCAAGAAAGAAAGAAAGAACGAAAGAAAAGAAAAGAAACGAACGAAAGGGCGAAGTACCCAACACCAGGCTTGAGAGTTGCTCTCTTCGATGGATCAGCCCTGCATGTATCCAAGACCTGGCTCTCACAAGCGACGCTGTTTCTACTGTACTTCGTCGTTTGGGTGGCGGATTGGTGATGAAGAGGGATGATGATCGATTGATCATAAGGTATCTAGTTCCTTTCTTTTCCATAGGAGGGAAAAAATAAAGAAAAAAAAATAAAATAAAATAAAATAGAATAGAAATTCAAGAGACCGTTTTAGACCGTTTTAGACCGTCAATGAGGTAAGTTCGACTACTGCACTCTAGATACTAGCAAGTAGTTAGTCGTTACTCCCGAAGCTAGAGAACTCGTTAGTTGGTTAGTTGAATAATCGCTGACGAACCGAGAGTCGGTCTGGATGGGCGTACTCGGGGGAAGCAGACAAAAATAGCCTAAGTCGGAGGACTTCTTGACTACATAGTACATACGAGAGAGATACAGGATCAACAGCTTCGTCGTGTTGGATCCCAGACGGCGTTACGCCTCGATTCTCTGGCCCTGAGGAGGTGAAACAGGAGAACAAGACGGATCTGGCAGTGAAAATCGGATCGAATCCACTTGGACCCTCTGTACACTTAGGTAACTATCTACGTAGTAATTGATTCTCAATTGAGTCTTGTTGGACTGGGAAGTTTGGGCATGGCAGCCCCGGCCAGGTTCCTTTTCTACTAAAGCTCATTCACTCCGGGAAGTCAGTCAGCCATACTCATACCTAAACCATGAGTTGTATATTAAAGAGTCTAAGCCTCGGAGGAGACGTTTTTTTTTTTTTTCGTTTCTCTATCTTTTACACCCCCTGTTGGCGTTCCCTTTTCCTGGCCAAAGCGACGAGTCTTCCAGTGTTCGTCCTGGTGGCTCCACGATATCAACCGCAGGTAAGGTACCTAGGGTAGGTACGTAATAGGTATCGTACCTATTATCCCCGAGTATTGGCAAGACGGGAAGATCCCATTGGATCGATCTCTTGGAGTTTTTTTTTTTTTTTTTTTCTTTTTTTTTTCCCTCTTATATATGGTGGATGTTGGATGGGTATGGATACAGGTATTGTGTATTCAGTCATGCGTATGAGGGATGTGTGACAGAACGGTAATACCAGTCTGGATAGTTTTGCAATACACCGTACCACAAGAGGATGCCGTGTACTCTGTACAAAAAGACCTTTCCCTCGCAGAACTCTCTGGTAGTGACTACTCCGTAGTTGATGAATTGATGGTCTACACTCTGATTGACTTGGCTTGTCTCAGGCTATTAATAATTGCGCCCCCATCAATTGATCAGGTTCAGATTCTTCTGTTCTTCTCAGCCTGCCGGATTCGCTTAACAGAAACTCTCCAGTCTCGCAGAGTCCCAGAGTCCAGGTCCCAAAGTTAAGCCCCGGTATGATCGATCCCATCAAGGCTCTCTCGCAAAAGAATTCTTGGAGGTGGAGACTCCTGACAATCGAGATCCTTGAATTGTTGAGGTCAGTATCGACTAATTTCCACCAGTGCAACGGACTGCATGACACCATCGCCATCACAGCAACAGCAACAGCAACAGCAACAGCTATCGACAAGGCTGGCCGTGCCCTTCATGGATCTTCGGTTCTCTTAACTGCTTTCGGGGGGGGGGTCCACGTCCACCACATGGTTGATGGAGATTTGATCTCGTCCAGAGAGTGGAGCAGGTACATCGACTGGTTGAAGCTACGGAGAATGGAGTCCTGTAGACTGTAGTTATTTGATAGACGGGATCAGCAACTCGGAGCGATTGGCGCAAGGCCATTGGCGAAGGAAAAAAGAAACGAGAAAAGGAGGTGTCTTAGACTCAGCAGGTTGTGATTGACTCTCGCAGGCTGCATGCGTTGCTGTACTTAAACCCTCCGTGATCATCCATGGTTCTTACTACTGCTGGATACCCTCGATAGATGACTTGATCCTCATCCTCGTCACTCGTTCACAACAATCTCATTCGTTTTTTTTTTTTTTTTCCTTCTGTTGTCTCCATTGTCTGATCCTCTTTTTTTGTTTTCTTTTTTTTTTCCTTGGTTCCTGTCATCACCTTGCCCTGACCCCTTGCAGCACAGTCATACATATCCCCCACTACTACTACCACTACTACCACCACCACCACCACCACCACCAACCGTCTCTCCCCACCCCCCCGGCCTCCCCTTGGGCCGTTTTCCAAGATGGCCTTCTCGTGGATCATTCAGACCGGCTGCTTCTTGGGATTTATAACATGCAGCACTCCCCCGGGTGTCTGGCCTGAGAAGCCCACAGTGATCTCTCCTGTGCCTCCATCGCGGACCACATCGACCAGTAGGGTAGCATCTACTGTTGGGGTGATCACCTCGTCGTCTGCTGTACTCTCGTTTACTTCTTCTTCTTCTGCTACTTCTGCTACTACTACTGTGGCAACCTCTGCCACCACTACACTCGTTACTTCTCCTTCGCTTTCGCTTTCGGTTTCGGCTTCGGCTTCGGCTTCAGCCTCAATTTCCTCCACCATGTCGTTCAGTGTCAGTGCTAGCTCGAGCATGATCCCGTCGGCCACTCCCTCGGCTATTCCCATGAACCAGGGCAGTGTTTCGTCCAACATCTTGGTCATTGCCCGGGACGCTACGGCTGCCAGTGTGGCCTCCTCCGGCCTCAATGGCTATGGAATTCCGTTCACGACTCTGCTGGTCCCCCAGTCCGGTGTGCCTGCTCTGCCCGCGCTCAACTCCACCGGCGGCGGCAACTTTGGCGGTATCGTCGTTGCCGCCGAAGTGAGTTACGACTATGGGGGCACGACTGGCTACCAGAGTGCTCTGACCACCGACCAGTGGAACCAGCTGTACGCCTACCAGCTCGAGTACGGTGTGCGCATGGTCCAGTGGGACGTCTACCCCGGCCCCAACTACGGCTCCAGTGCCGTCAATGGCGGGTGCTGCAACACGGGCGTGGAGCAGTTGATCTCTTTCTCCGATATCAGTGACTTTCCCACCTCGGGGATCAGGACCGGCGCCGGTGTCAGCACCGAGGGTCTTTGGCACTACCCGGCCACCGTCAGCGACCCCGCCACCACCAAGGAGATTGCTCAGTTCGCCGCGAACTCGGTGACTTCGGGTACCACGACGGCGGCTGTCATCAACAACTTTGCTGGCCGGGAGCAGATGGCCTTCTTCGTCTCGTTTGCCACCGACTGGAGCCCGACCTCCAACTTCATGCAGCACGCATGGATCACTTGGCTCACCCGGGGTCTCTATGCGGGACACCGCCGCGTCAACCTGAACACCCAGATCGACGACATGATGCTCGAGAGTGACATCTACCATCCGGCTGGCACCACGTTCCGCATCACGGTCCCGGACATGGAGGGCATCTCGGCCTGGGTCCCCACCATCAACGCCAAGATGAACCCGGGTAGCTCCTACTTCGTCGAGGTCGGCCACAACGGCAACGGAAACATCGAGGCTTCCTCCTCCACGGATGCCGGATACACCGCCTGCAATGGCGGCGGGATCGAGTACAACTCGCCTCCGGATACCCCGCTGGAGTTCAAGAAGCCTCTGGGCACGGGAACCAACCTCTGGCCCAAGACGCCGACCACGTATAACTGGACGGCCGCCTGCACCAAGCTGGACCCCCTTCTGGTCTGGTGGGCCAACCCGGCCAACCGCGATACGTACGGTCACATCTCGCACACCTTCACCCACGAGGAGCAGAACAACTCGACCTACTCCGACATCTTCAAGGAGATCTCATTCAACCAGGCGTGGCTGAAGCAGGTCGGCATCGACCAGGCCAAGTGGTTCACCGGCAACGGTATCATCCCCCCGGCCATTACCGGTCTGCACAATGGCGATGCGCTCCAGGCGTGGTGGGACAATGGCATCCGCAACTGCGTGGGTGACAACACGCGGCCGGTGCTGCTGAACCCGCAGAACAGCATGTGGCCCTATTTCACCAATGTGGCGTCGGACGGCTTCGCCGGCATGCAGGTGAACCCTCGCTGGGCCACCCGCATCTACTACAACTGCGACACCCCGGCCTGCACTCTGCAGGAGTGGATCAATACCTCGGCCGGCAGCGGAACCTTCCAGGATCTGCTCAACGTGGAGAAGGCCGATACCATGCGCCATCTGTTTGGCTTGCACCGGGAGGCTTACATGTTCCACCAGGCCAACCTGCGCAACGCGGATGTGGACCCCGTCACCATCAATGGCGTGTCGGCTAAATACTCCATCATGCAGGCGTGGGTTGAGACCCAGGTGCAGGAGTTTGTGCGTCTGGTGAACTGGCCCCTGGTCACCCTCCCCCAGCATCAGGTACGCTTTTTTTTTTATCCTGTGGGTCTTTGTGATGACCGTGTCTGATTCTAACTCTGTCTCCTAGGTGTCCGACTCCTTCCTCGCTCGTTATGAACGTGACCAGTGTGGCTACGCCCTCAGCTACGCAGTCGCCAACAAGAAGATCACGGCGGTGACACTGACGGCCAATGGCAACACCTGCAGCCGGCCTATTCCTGTCACCTTCCCTGTGGCTCCCACCAGCACTCAGGGCTTCGCTACTGAGCAGCTGGGCAGCGACCCACTGACTGTGTGGGTGCAGCTGTCGGGATCCCCTGTGACCTTTACCCTGTCTACTCCTCTCGCTTTGTAGATAGCCCTTTTTCTTTTTTGTTGTTCTTTTCATGGTCTGTCTTACTCCGTAGGAGTAGGACAGTCCCGAACATACTTTGAGAGAAAGCCTTGTGCAGATATTCTGCTCACATGTCTAATAATGATACATCCATACATCCATCCATAGCTTGGAGTTCCACCTTACATAGCCAATATCAATTATGACTCCGTGCTTGGTCCGTGGTAACACACCAAATATGTTTGGTCCCAAGTCCAAGTCCGAGTTCGAGTCCAAGTCCGAGTCTGCTCCGTCGGAGAATCGTTTGAACCACGGTCCATGGGTCCGTCTACCCAGACGCAGATACATATCTTGGTATTCGTTCTATCATCTACCCAGCCACAAAACTCACCAATCTCTCAAAACCAGCCATGCTCCACTGCCCTGGCCCCCTATCCTAGTCGCATAGGTTTAAATCGATATACAGGAGTATTGCCAAGTTACCAGTCCACCGCAGTTCCGGTCTGACAGGGACAGGGACAATGACAATGACACATCACCAGTGATCAATCAAACCAAAAAAAAAAAAAAACAAGCAACTAGTCCAGTACAGAGTGACTGTCTAGTCAGTCATCCCCGTCTCTTAGTATTCGTCTTACTCTATTGAGACTTGGGAAGCAAAGCACGTCTGAGTAGTGAGTAGTGACTCGCTGTCTGCATCGTTAGCTGCATAGACGGCGTTCTCCGAGGGATATGTGGCTCTGCTTGGGGGGGGGCTATGATTCCTTAGCAGGCGTCTGCTATATCAGCATTCCATGCTTGATCGTACTGGATGGGTAGGTATAAGCGTTCCACCCTGAAACTCAAATCAGTCAGCCAATTAACTCTAGGTACTCTACTACAGAGTCTACGGTATTAAACTTCGTTCCCCTGGCCGTGGTGGTTCTCGTATTCGGAGTTTTTCATCAGATGGTTTTCTTTCAGGTCAGGTCAGGTCAGGCCAGGCCAGGCTAGCTAGCATGATACTTCAACCGTTGGAAAAGAAAAGGGAAAGAAAAGAAAGTTGTCGTTAGCTACCAAGATTTCTATCCTTTACTCCATGTGTACAGTGTAAGTAGGTTAGATGAATATCCTCCGAGAGTATGTCGACGGGCACAGCGGTCAATAGTAGGTGGGCCTTGTTGAGTTGCTTGCATTGATACCTTGCACTGTTTGTTCTCGGGGAGTATAGTATAGTATCTAAGTAGGTAGGTAAGATACATGGTACGTGCTGTCTCAGATGTATGTTCTGTATTTTTGCGAAAATTGCAATACCCCATTGGCGCTGGCCCCAAAATTGAGCGATGGGCGATGGTGATACACGTACATCACACTAGTTTAGCACCCGGCGCTAAAAACCGATCTCCACCGCCAGTACCTGGTTTGCTAAAAATTGATTGGCGAAGTTCCAGATTTGACGGGGAAAGTTTGTGTTGCAGTGCAGATTTAGGTTGTCATTATTATTATTATTATTATTTTGGGGACTCTGCTCTGCCAGCTGGCACACACTGCAGACTGGAGCCTATCGTTGTTTGCTTTCTCCGTCAGAGGCTGAGTTTTTTTTTTTTCTTTTTTTTTTTCTTGTCTTGCCCTTTGGTTTTGTGACACAGTGGGAGATTTATTTAGATACTATATTTGGCTTCACTTCCCTTGTAAGGAGTCATCAGTCAGGAAAGGGTTGTTTCTCTTTGTCTGAGTTTAACAGTAGATCAAATCCTTAACGGCTTAACCTTTACCCCTCTGGAAGGAATCGGAAACTAGGCTTAAGCTTCAATGTTGAATCGATACCTAGGAATCCTATTTCGCAGATCATATGGAGTCCCAACGCCCCCATACTAACAACCGACACTAATGGATGAGTCTAGTTGACTCTGAGACAAACAAACCTAATTCCATCTTCAAGAGTTCAATCATAATTCTAATTATTTATTATTATTTTTATTATTATTATCATCATTATCCTGTGGATCTCTCTCTCTCTCTCTCTCTCTCTCTTTTTCCTTGTTCGGGATTGAATGAAAATTTATCAGCCACAGCTTAGCCTCGAACAATAGCCTGTCTCTTCATTGGCCCCAATGGGTCTAGTCCAACAGGCTTCCATAGGATCTTTCTTACCTAGGTTGTAAGGTTCTTAGGTACTGTACCGTTCGTTGTACGGAGTATGGTCCAGGATTTTGGCCTCCGTAGGCTCCCGCATTCACTCTTCACTATTCACTAATCTGTGGCTTCTCCATCCATTGCTTTTCTCCTGGGCTTTGATTTCCTAGAGATTTCTGCACAGTCCACATTATTAATCTTACACTTGCATTCAGTACATTGCCTGATTCATTATTATTACACTCATTTTGAACTTTGACCCTGGAGAAGATTAGATACGGATTCTAGGAGTTGGGAGACAGGGTGCCTTGCACATCGTCTCTCTTTGTCTAGACTCTAGACTCCTGACTCCAGACTCCTCCAGCCGTCTCTTTCACCCTCGTGTTTCTCCGTGTCACCGATAAGCTTCCTTTTTGTCGAGGATCTGCGCAGGCTCAGCGCCAGCCTCCCTCCCAGTGCCAGCGCCAAAAACACCAGAAACCAGCCCCTACAAGTCCAGGGACAGGCGATCGCTGTCCAGACTTCCAGGCACCCATCTATTTCATTTTCTTTTCTTTTTCTTTGCACTTTATCTAATCCACTCTCCGGACTTGGGCCTTCTTTTCCTCTTTTCCTCCGTTGGTTACTGGGAATTTTGATCTACCCACACGCCTACGCACGCACGCACACAGACACACACCAGTCCCCACGCGCCCATTCCTCTACGCTGTCATGACGCAGTCCTTTGATAAAGGCCAGTCGGCCAGCGGCTGGAAATCCTGGTCCACTAAGAAGAAGATCTTTGTCCTCGCGCTCGTCCTCCTGGTCGTCGTCGCTCTCGCCGTCGGTCTCGGAGTAGGTTTAGGTGTCGGCCTGAATCACGGCGGGGGTGACAATGAAGGATCCGGCAGCGGCGGCGGCGGCGGCGGCGGCAACACCACCACCACCCCGCCCGAGAGCAACTCCACGACGGCCAAATGGCAGCCCGCGGTGGGCACGACCTGGCAGATCGAGCTGCTGTATCCGCTCAACGACACCTCGGTGAACGTCGACGTCTACGATATTGACCTGTTCAACAACGACAAGTCGACAATCAAGGCGCTGCAGGATGCCGGCCGCAAGGTCATCTGCTACTTCTCGGCGGGCAGCTACGAGAACTGGCGGCCGGACAAGGGCCGCTTCAAGCCGGCCGATCTGGGCAAGGATCTGGACGGCTGGGAGGGCGAGAAATGGCTGAACCTCAGCTCGGCGAACGTGCGGCAGATCATGCTGGACCGGCTGGACATGGCGCGCGACAAGGGCTGTGATGGCGTGGACCCGGACAACGTGGACGGCTACGACAACGAGAACGGGCTGGATCTGACCGAGGCGGACTCGATCGACTTTGTAAACTTCCTGGCCAACGCGGCGCACGCGCGCAACATGTCAGTCGGGCTGAAGAACGCGGGCGCGATCATCAAGTCCGTCATCACGAACATGCAGTGGAGCGTCAACGAGCAGTGCGCCCAGTACAGCGAGTGTGACACATACGCCGTGTTCCCGGAGAACGGCAAGCCTGTGTTCCACATCGAGTATCCCAAGGGTGCGGACACGAACAATGGCCTCTCGGTGACGACGAAGCAGAAGGATGCGGCCTGTCAGTTTGCCGACTCGGGCAACTTTTCGACCGTGATCAAGAACATGGACCTGGACAATTGGATCCAGATGTGTTAGTTCAGGGACCCCCCCCCCCACTTTCTTGAAGAATCTTGCCGTGTGTTGTTGTAGTTGTTGGCCTGGAGTTGGTTGGACATTGGGTTTTATCTTAGTTTTCCTTCACATTGTATCTATTATCTATTATTCAGCATAAGCATATTCTTCTTTTGAGCATTATGCGTCCTTTTATCTGCACAAAATCCTGTTCTTAGCTACAAGCACAAACCCTCAAACCTTCATTTTTTTTTTTTTCTTCTTTGTTGTTTGTTTGTTTTCTGTTTCTCGCCCGGCGTCAGAAAATGTCTCAGTAGGCTCTAAGCAGTTCCATTAAGCGAGCGCAGATCCTCGTAGAGTTCGTCGTCGACTGTTTCGACTTTCGACTCCGATGATCGGCTTCCGGCTTCTCCATATGTACTACTCTGTACTAGACCAAGTCATACCATCCGCATGAACGAGCGGAGATATATCTATACTGCTAGACACTAATAACTAGAGCTGTGGAGACTGAAGAGTTTGAGTGTCCACTGTACTCTAGCCTCTAGGTGTTGTAGCTTACACAGTAGTCCGTCGAAGGAGATCGGAGATGAAGATGCTTCCGTGCCGATTTTCCCAGAAGTGACTAAACTAGCTTAAGAACGACTGGACAGTGTACTACACGTAACACAGTACCCACTACTCTGTAGACTGGAGAGCATCGACGGAGACGGAGTATCCAAACGATCTAGTGCTAGTCATGAGAACCATATGGGTCTGTTTCACCTCGTCCGTGTTCGGGGGGTCTAGAGAGTAGAGACTGACTGCTTCTACGGAGTAAGAAATGAAAAGAAATTCTTCACATGGGAAAGCTTTTCAAGCTTCAAGAGTTTAGAGTTTCAGACCGGACAAGAGAAAACCCAGACTCTGGATCTGGATCTGGATCTGGATCAGAATCAGGTACGAGAACCAGAACCGCGCGTTGCCGCCCGGCGGTACGGACTACGGAGTTAGTTTAGTTCCTCCGTAGCCCGAAGATCCATCTAGAACTACAAAGTACGGACTAAGTTCGATCCTGAGTGTCGATCATGTGCACTGAGTGATGAGTCTGAGTCAACTGCGCTCGCAAGATCGATCTGATCTGGCAATGACCATCGGGTATATCACGGACTGTCTCGGTCTATCGATGTCTACTATGTAGGTTACGGGAACATAGGTGCTACCCCTTTGCTAGTTAGTTAGTTAGTCATCTCTACAGAGTAGATGAGAGAGTACGGAGTCGGGAGATCGGAAGAAAAGAAAACACTGACGACCTGCTTTGTTGAGTATTGAGTATCTAGTATCTACTCGGTAGTCTGTCCAAACGGGCCTTGGTCTCAGACTGATGTCGAGGAGTATCTCCGTACTCCGTACCTACCTCCAAACAAAAACGAAAAAAACACAGTTTTGCCATAACCAAACAAAACCAAACAAAACAAAACAAAACAAAACAAAACAAAACAAAGTGTATAGACAGTAGACAGTAGACACCAACCTAGGAGCTAACACCACCCCAGAAATATAGCTCCCTCCCCCTTCCTCACACAGCAATGATCAACTGCTTCTGAATTGACCAACAGAGATACATCAAGGGTGTTATGTCTGACTACCTGTCAATGTATGTCTCACTCCCTTCCCCTCCCCAAAACACCTGATTTCTATCTACTCCTCCTCCAACAAGAGTCAGTTGCTTCCTCGCCAAGACCCCGCCTCACGTCCAGCTGTCCCTCCCCCATTGTCTAGGTTTTACTTTTCTGCTCCCTACCAGGGCATAAGAGAGAGAAAAAAAAAGTACCAGCATGACTCAGTTGTCAAAGTAGGTGAGTAGGCGACGATGGTCCTAGTCCTACCCATGCATTGTATGCAGTAGTCTCATTTCAACTAGGTACCTACGTAGTAATATACTTACTACGTACTTCATCATAAGATACATCCTGTACATTTAAAATCCTTTCTTACAGTAGCGTACAGCTTACCTACCTACCTACCTACCTACCTACCCGATATCCCACAAGGCATAAGGTTCGCCCATCCCACGGTCCGCCCCCAAACCAACCAACCAACCAACCAACCCAACACAGCATAGACGACGAGTCGACAGCAGAATCCCAAATAAAAATAAAAAAAAGCCAATCTCACATTACCACACCCAACAAGCGCCCCCATCAGACCTCAGAAAGATGTCATGGTTGTGTGCTATACGCGAGTGGGAAGCCTCTACAGTGACAAGGAAAACTTGACTTTTTTTTTTGGGCCGGGGGGGGGGCGGGGGGAAATTTACTAGATACGATTACCCTTATTTTCATGTTCACGAATGATTCTCGGGGGAATGGGTAGCATAATCCCCAACCAACCCACCGGGATGGAGATATGTACCTGGTACTGGTAGTCTGGTACTGGCAGGGGGGGAGTACCTAGTACCTACTACCTAGGCCTGAGAACTGGGTTATGGTATGAGTGACGTGAGGACAACCCTGGAACTCTGGCCTCTGGGGACTGGGAGTTACTACTGTGTACTTACTACTTACTACTCCGTAGGTAGGTGGGCGTGGGTATGGCTGTGGGCTTTTTTGGTTTGTTGGTACTTGGTCCGCCATGTGGTTACATACATATCCAAGGTACTCCAGATACGAGTTGGGTTGGAGGCGTAGAGTGTTTCCGTGGGTTGAGGGTGAAGGTGAGTGTACAAAGTACGTAGTATATGTGTATATGTATGTGTGTGTGTATTTTATATGATGGGGAAATGTATTTTTGCAAGTGACAATTTCATCGACATTAAATACCAATACACAGGCCACGTAACCATGAGGTAGCCTCACTGTCAGCCAAGGGAAATCATGGAGGAACAACCCGCTCACTGACCGGTTCTTTTCCCTCCATACTGCCCGTGTACAAATGATTAAATATTGATGGTGCACCTCCTCGTCCACTGCAAGAGAATCTCCGGACGCCCTTGGCGCATCCCAAGTCATGCCCCACGGGAGAAGGGTAAGGAGGATGCATCTGAAGAATCAATCTGGAATTCCTACCGAGTCATGTAACCCAGTCGGTAGGTACTACGGACTACGGAGTACTCCGTAGGGAATCGAACAACGAAGCAGTCCAGAACGTCAATCTATTTCCCTTTCATTGAGTCATGCAAGTCATGCAGGTGAGACAAGTCCCAACTCCCAAGCCCCAACTGGCGAGCCATACTACCAGGGCAGTAGTCTGTAGCACTGCACCGTAACAGACAGACACACTAACTAGCCATCAGATCCACAAACTCGCTCCATTGTCCCCCAAAGCCTGCATAATAGTCCGTCTCCAGATGGGTAATGAATATCTCGTCTGCAACTTGGCGAACCTGCTTGACCAGCCCACGTAGATCCGATCCCTCCACGCTGGTAGGCACCGAGTGGATCACTGCGCACAGTTGGTCGCGATGGCTGTCAGGGATCGTGTCGAACAACTCGGCCCCATGGCGTTCTTGAAACGTTGCATAGGTTGCCTCGAAGACCACCGTCGAATCCGCGGTCGACAGGTAGCGCGAGTCTGGAATCGCCCCGGGGTTGTGAACAACCTAGGATGTATATTAGCGGCACTGCCTGTAGGATTCTGGGAGAGGAGGAGAACGAATAGTCGAAAGCCAAGACGCTGATCAATATGATCCTGACAAATCCAAAATGCATAGTGCAGAGCGTGAAAGGACGGAAAAGTACAATACAATACCATATCCCATCATATGATATGATACGGTACTGTATAGTATCATAGTTTTTTTTTTTTGGGAAAACAGAAAAGAGAAAGAAAAACAAAACTTACGTAGTGATCCGGCCCAAGACCGGATGTCCCCTTCACCACATCTGTGAGCTCTCGCAGATATGCCAAGATATCCGCATCATATTGTTGAGGTGTTTCATCGAAAAATATCCCCCGAACAGCCAGATTCGCATTCGAGCTCTGGGTGGGCCACGCCGCATACGTCTCAATGTCCCGCCGTACCTCCGAGATGTTGCGCTTCGCATAGGTCGTTGCCACATAACCTAAAAGCCGCACATTCTCATATGAGGCCAGCTTAGGGATCTCGCGGGTGTAATTGCCATCAGGCAGCGCCTCGGGTCCCGGCCCGCTGCCAGGATTAATCACCACGGTGAAGTTCACGTCGGGGTGTTTGGAGATCCTGTGGCGTCTTAGCTGCGTCTGCGCTGCGATCGAGAGCTAGCCACCTCGAACGACGCCATTGAAATCCAGACCGCCGAACCACGACTGGTCGATGGTTCAATGGCGTCAGTTCCGGGCTGAATTGAGAAGGCGATGGGGGTTTAAGGGGCGGGTACTTGTAAGAAACGTGGGGACAACGAAAGGACATACACATCTTCTAGCGGATCCCACGCCCCAGGAGCAGGATATACGTAGAGAGGGACAAAAACCTTGGATTTGGGGCCCATATTGTTTTTCTTGTGCAAGGTTACCACAACCGCCGGTGGTATCACGACTGCGAGAATAGCAATGAATACTAAGACCCCGAGAATGATTCGAGAGCGGCGGCTTTGAAGACAGCGCCTGTGGTTCACGTGGTTTTCCAGCCCCATGTCCAAAAATGTTGATTGCAAGCGCAGAAGGTCAACAGACAGACTAGTGTCAGCGCGGGCGTCAGAGTGCAACTAGAAGAAACGCATCAAGTGGAATAATTCCGCTTTCTTTTCGGGCTTCAAACCTCCATTAAAAGTATGCCAAAGTATGCCAGATTCTGCCAGGCTTTCAAAACATTAACACCGGAAGGCTAAGAAATAAGTAGCTAAACAGGACGAGAGAAGACAGACATCCTTTGGTAAGTCAGCGGAGAGATTCGTCGGTTCGATGTATTGTTTTTTTTTTTTTCAAAAAAACACAGGACCACCAAAGGGAGGAGGAGGGGAGAAAAATAGAATGAAATGATAAATAAAATAGGACCAAAAGGAGAAAAGAAAAATGAAAATGAAAATGAAAATGAAAAAGAAAAAGAAAAAGAAAAAGAGAAAAAAATAAATACCCAAGACCATATTCATCGCGCCCAAAGTAGCGAGCGGGGCGGATCTCGACCATGCCATGCAGTAGACAGACCCTCTGGGTAGGCTAAAGCTCGTACTGTAGAACAAAAGTGGTTTCTCCTGGTTCCCAAAGTATTGCTGACCATTGCCCAAACTCATAGGCCAACAAAGTCTATTGGAAACCATGCTGTGGATGCGCTCAGAGCTCGACCCAATGTTGATTCTGTCATTGTTCCTGTCGTCCTTGTTGCTCTTGTTCCAGAGACGAGGACAATGATGGGGGTCACCCTTTCAAGCTTCCAGGTTAGCAACGTCCAGGCCACCACCCTCTCTCTCTCTCTCTCTCTCTCTCTCTCAAGGATAGGGCTGCCCGTCGGATCTCCCTTTTTCTGATATATTCCCCGGTCAATATTTCCTCCTTCCTCCAAGGCTGAATTCCTCAGTACTACTTTAATTTTCTGGTCCCTTTTTTTTTGCATTTTCGATTTCCATTCCGCCATTTTTGCTTTTTCTGCCCCTGCTCTGACGAGATCGGGTCGGTCCCATCTGGTTCTGCATCCAATCGCTTCTGTAGGTATCCTTCGGCGGGAATCGAGCAGGTCATCGTATCCTCTCTCTTCGGCCTCATCAAGCTGAGTAGAGCGGCTCGCCGGCTATACTCTTGGGTACCGCCGCTAATATCCGGTGCTTGGTTGGTCCTGGAGGTATAAAACTCTGCGCTCGCTTCTTGAGATCACATCTCTCCAGCCTCATCCGTTCGTTCGGAAATCTGCCAAACAAGGTCCCTCGTTTTCTTCATTCAGCCTTCCTTCCTGTTTTCTGTCCGGAAGAGATCTCGTTTGCTCAGCACCTCGTTCCTCTTCTTCTTTTTTTTTTTTTTTTTTTTTCTCGGCGCCAACTGCCACCCCTTGTCAATGGAAAGCCACCAGCAATCCGACGCAAGCACTCCTGTGGAGCCCTGCTCCCCGGTCTGCGTGGACACACCAGCAACGCAATCCTCCGTGTTATTTGACACTCATCTGGATGATCTTCTGCGCCATTTCCCCCTTGATCAATATATCCTGGTCACCGGGGGGCTCGGCTTCATTGGGAGTCACACAACATTGGAGCTTCTCAAGGCCAACTATAACGTGATCGTGATCGACAACCTGAGCAACTCCTTCCAAAACGTCTTCGACCGCATCAGCCTCTTGGCGTCCAAGTACCATGAGCAGCAGGGCACGAAGATGCCCTCGCTGCAGCTGCATGCGCATGATTATCGGGACACCACTGCTCTGCGAGACCTTCTAGAACAATACCAAACCGAGACTCGTTGGGGTACCTCCAAGTCCAAGATTTCTGGTGTCATCCACTTTGCCGCTTACAAGGCTGTTGAGGAGAGCATCCGAAACCCATTGAAGTACTATGCGAACAATGTCAGCGGTCTCATTGACTTCGCCACCACTCTGGGTGACTATGGCATCAAAACCTTCATCTTCTCCTCGTCTGCCACCGTGTATGGCACATTGGCTACCTCGGGCCTTCCGCTGAAGGAGGAGCTCTGCACCCACAAGGAGGAGATCTACGTGGACCATGAGGGTGTTCCACAGCCTGTGCAATCCGGATGCACAGGTATCACAAACCCATATGGACGAACCAAATGGATCTGCGAGGCGATTCTGGCCGATCTCGCCGCATCGGATCCGGAGTGGACGATTGTGGCTCTGCGTTACTTCAACCCTATCGGGTGTGACGAATCTGGCCTTCTTGGCGAAGATCCCCGGCAGACCCCTACCAACCTTCTTCCTGTCGTCGTCAAAGTCATGACGGGTGAGTACAAGGAACTGCAGATGTTTGGAACCGACTGGGACACCGAAGATGGCACAGCGGTCCGTGACTTCATCCACGTCACCGATCTTGCTCGCGGACACATCGCGGCCCTCGGTGCCGCCAACGAGGGCAAGTTGATGGAGAACTTCCGCACGTTCAACTTGGGAACAGGGCGCGGACACTCTGTCAAAGAGGTGGTGGAAACCATGGAAGGAGTGTCCTCGAAGCACATCCCCAGAAGAGCAGCCGATCGCCGCGCCGGCGATGTCGGCTCCTGTGTCGCTGTGGCCGCAAGGTCACAGGAAGAGCTCAACTGGCAGACAGAGAAGTCGCTCGAGGATGCGTGCGTGAACCTTTGTAACTTCCTGGAGGTCAGTGGCTTGTCTTCGTGACTTGTGATCCGCTCCGACTCGATGTGAATCTCTTTGTATGGCGTTGGGGGATTTTCCTATATGCTTGTTCCATTCCCATGCTGTCTGTTATCTTCAATTCAGCATTTTGGCGATTTCAGTTCTTTTGGTTTTTCTTGGACATTCAGCATGACTTTGCATGATATAAAAGCATTCGATCAGGCCATAATACTGAGCGCGGCCTGCAACACCATATGTAGCATACTCATCTCTGATGTTGCTTGGATTTCGGTTCCTTGATCATGTCACATTAATGAAAGCGATTAGTCTGATAATCATTCCTCTGTTTCCTCTTTTCATGATGGGTAGATAAGTTTTTAGAGGGTGTAAGTAATGCCTCGGGGTGAGTAAATCTGAGCTGACTCTGTCTTTTAAACTCTGCGATCGACGAGGCCCTGATCGGCTTCAGGAAATGATCAGCATTCGAGTCAGCCGCAGTGGAATAATTGTTTGAGGCCAAGCAGCATGGCTTCACTCACCATTCTGGGATCACGTCGAAAGGGGAGGGGTTGAGATGTGGTGCAGATCAGGTGATCTTCAGCTTAGTCAATCTCCATTATCTGTCAGACACAACGGTCGACAATCGGTTTGTAAAAGACCCTCTCTCATTCAGCACTCAGAGAGATAGATTCACTTGAACAAAAATTTGCAGACCTCTGAGTGAATATATCTCCCCTAGTACGCCGGATCTCATTCATAACACGACCAGTAAGCTTGCTCTGGGTTGAAGCCATACTACATCAGCGTGTCCCTGGCGCAGCGGACGAACACATCAGCGGTTGAACGCCCGAATCTGCCCTCAGATGCGTTATTGTCAATGTGACCTCTCTACAAACTACAAAAAGGCAAGCCGTTTGTGATCTCAGCAAGTCATCCTTGCCCAGCACAGTCCTGACTTGCCCGGAAGTGAGCAGGATTCGGGCTTGGCGCCAGTGACGCTGGGAACGGCCATGTGAGCCGACAAGGCCTAGGATCCTTAGTGGAAGCCCCGGGAACAAAAATATTCATATGTTTGTTGACCAAGTTAACGAAGGATTTACGGCGAGCAACAATCCGCATGTGCTGGTTAGTGCTGTATTAGTATGACTGCATTTTCTCCTTATCGGATGAGGACCCTGCGTCGCCCTCAACTTTCTGGCCTGAGGAAGCATTGTCTAACGACTTGACTCCTTTGAACTCCTAAAATGAATCACGCTCAGGATGGCAGAAACTGAAACGGGGTGCTGTATGTGATGGAGGGCAGAGCTAACGTCTGGACATAATCTAGCAAGGGATCTAGGCAAAGCCGTTGGCTGGTCACCGCGGTTTGTGATATGGAGCACGAGCAAGTACCCCGTATACTTGCACGATATCCCTGACGCCACACTAGTCATCACAGCAATTTCGGAGGGCCCTTGAACAGAGTATTGCAGGGTAATGAGAACAACAGGCTGCGGTCCGAGCGTCGCATACAACACCGCCACCTGGGGTTGCTATAGCTTTGCCGTTCTATATGATCTTACTACCATGGGTTTCGTGGAAGTCACTAGCTTCATCTACCGCCGAATGGATCCTTGGCCCGGACGTCGGCGAAAAGGATCAGACGACGACAGCCACATGTCTGCAGTAACTGGGGCGTCAGACGACTCAAGAGCTTCTGGCTGACAATGTATCTCATATCAAGATGCATGGGATACGAAGCAGCTGCATTGCCTGAAGGATCAGGATGCAAATGGATGCGTGGGCATAGTTCACCTGTTAGGTATACACTCGCTGGGGCTCGAAGGCATCTCTGGGAGAAGTAGTTCAATCTGATTGTTGTCACAAGAAGCTATGAACACTTTCAAAGGTCTGGGCATATGCCTATTTCTATGTCTACTGTACACGGCGGGCGCAGAGAAGGCTGGCCAATTCTGAAGACTCGAAAAAGGGACCCCGGGGATCTAGATAGAAATTTCATCATCTCAGGGGAGGATGTGCAGCGAATTTGCTCCTTAGACCTAGCTTATTTGTTACGGAGACGCGTAACATAGCTAAAGTTGCTCCTGATGCCAACATTCATGACTGAGTATATATATGTATTGGTACAAAAGGGACAACTCAGGAGGTGGAGACATCGTGTGGCTATTTTCCCGCTCTTATACTCGTAGACACAATTCACTGCAAAGTTCAATAACGAGCAGGTAGCGTTTAGTCTAACCATCAACCAGGATTGACTAAAGTCATTTCTAGTACTCCGTATACCTTCGAGATCCGTCTTCTCTATATGGTCACGTGATACTTATATATATATGTTCGCTTGGATGGAGAGGATGATAGACTATTCTTCACTTCCACACGGTTCCTATAAGCGTCTGCTCAATATATCTTTGACTTTTAGAGAGACCACCAGAGACATCAAAAAAAAAGCCTTGATCTTAATTGAACATATTGTAGTTGCTGATAATCGCGTAGAACACAGCACGTGACCACTACCTCCGGCTTGGCATCAAATTCATTCCGCAGTTTTGTGATTAGCTTCAAATCGTGGGATCCTCTCCATTCAATTCCACCCCAGCATTAGAAGCCACCCGCAGCGTCTCGTGTTGGACCGAGCACATCAATCTACTCATACCCGGGCCTGTGCTCTAGATCAAAGTACACCCAACAAATCCGCCAAGATGATCTGCCGACGCTGCCGGACCAGCATCCTCTCCCAGCTCCAGCCGCAATCCTCAGTTTCGTGGACCGCGTCGTCATGCACCCGCACGCTGCCCATCCAGCGGGTCCAATTCCGGACCTACAGTGACGGCAAGCCCTCAGTATCGGCCGCCCCTCCTCCCCCGGCCCCGCGCCAGCCCATCGGCGGCGACATCTCGATCCCCTCGGCCATCTCGTCCGCTACCCCCGGCGTGTCGCAGCCCTTGAGTACCCCCGAGGGCGTGCAAGCGCCCGTCAACCCGGAGAAGCCCACGAAGCCGGCGGTCGAGCGGCCGGCTAGTATTGCCCCGGCGGGAACAAAGTTGAACGGACTCAACTACTTCAAGAACAAGCCGGATGTTTTTGCCCTGGAGGACGCGGAGTATCCCGAGTGGCTGTGGTCGTTGCTGGAGGAGGGTTCGAAATCGAAGAAGGAGGGCGGGGTCGACCCGAGCAGTATGTCTTCTTTTCTTTCGTTATGGTCTCGAGGTTTTTGTGGCTTTCGGCGAAATTTGGGTTAGCTAACGTCTTGTTTTTTTGTTTTATCAAACAGCCTTGAATAAGAAGCAGCGCAAACGGTATGAGAAGAAGATGGCTGCCCGCGCGGCGACCCTGCCGCCCCAGATCCCGGTCCATCAACATGCTACCGATATCACACCGGCGCCTTATAACCGCGGCGAGGCGGCCGTGGAAGATCTCCTGGTCGAGGCGACGGAGAGTATCGAGAAGCGCACGGAGATCACACGCAGTGCGAGAGATGCTCGGAGGAAGGCCATCCGGGAAGCCAACTTCCTGCGTGGTCTGTGATTTTTTCGTTTCGCTTGCATCTTGGTCTGCCGAGGGCCCGCGCCGGCTTTCCTTTTGCATGGTGTTTTGAAGAGGGACACCCCAACTCACCCCGTGTACAAATGCGTTGCTGCGGAGGGATGTCGAGAGTTCCTAGCGATTCTTTCGTGTACTATTAACTCGTTTTTTTTTGTTTTTTTTTTTCTCCCTCCTGTGTGATAAATATGAACTAGGCGCGAAATGGGACAATTGCTAATTTTCAGATCTTTTCATTATGGCCTTTTCTTTCCCCTATCTACCTACGCCAACCTTGAAGAAAGCAGACTACTCTTTAACTGTGCCGAGGCCCACACTAACCAACTCCGCTAGATACTCACACCTGAGGAATGGGCCACTCCTTCTCCTCCCCCTGCCCATTCACCCACGGCAGACACGCCTCCCACAGCCTCTCCAGTTCCCCCTCGCCCAGACCCAAGATGGCTCTCCAAAGCTCCTGATCAGCGCGCTCCGCCCACGCCAGAAACGCCACGACAATGAAATCCGCATACCCGGCGGTCTCGCCCTCGAAAAAGGGCCCGTTGCTTTTCTTCCCCTCCCACCCGCGGAGCATCTGCACCACGATCTCCAGATCCTTCAGCGTGTCGGCGGTGAGCGCGCGCACGCGCTCCGGGTCCCGCGGGCGCACGTCGGCCAGCGGCTGGCCGAAGGCGGCGGAGCGGGTGCGGACGAAGTACTCCTGGGCGCGCGGGTCGAGGAAGTCGGCGACGGGGGGGAGAATGAGCGGGCGGGCGGTGCTGAAGGCGATGCTGATGAGCTTGTGGACGGCGAGGGCGAGGGCGTAGCTTGCGTCGCCGGAGGGGAAGAGCGGGGGCGTGGGGAAGGTGGCTTCGAGATGGTGGGCGATGGCGAGCGAGTCCATCAGCGTGCCGGTGGGGTTGGAGGTCACGGAGTCATGGGTGATGGCGGGGAGGGTGTAGGCGGTTTGGGTGGGGGATTTGGGGACGGCGAGGCTGGAGAGGAGAGGGGCAATGTCTGGGTAGGAGACCCAGCTTTGGGTGTAGGGGATGCGTTTGTAGTTCAGGGCGATCCGGGTCTTGAGGGTGTTTGGGGACCATGATTTGGAGGGACCTGGAGGGGTTAGAAGAGGGGAGGGGCAGAGATCAGGGGATGGGAATGGGTTGGTTGGTTTGTTTGTTTGTATGTCTCATACCTGGGAGGGTTGAGTTGATGTCGAAGAAATGGAGGGGAGTGTCGCTGGCCATTGTTGCTTAGATATTTGGTTCTCTCTCTCTCTCTCTGTGTGTGTGTGTATGTGTGTGAAGCTGGTTGATGATTCCCTTTCTATATGAGGATATTCGCTGGCGGGACGTTGATTTATCAGCTGTCGGTCTGTCGGGATCGGAGATGACTCAATGCGACCGAGGACGAGGCTATCAGTCTACACTATTCATCTATCTATCGATCTATCGATCTATCCCCTGGAAGAAGCTCATCAAGGGTCAGTGGCCTCTTCTATCACTTCTTTCGCGATCTTTCGTCCTGGAGATTGTGTTGTATATTGTACTATTAGAGACTTGAGACATCCCACTAACAAAGTACTCACTACTCACTACTCGCTGAAGCCAAGTCCACGCCGAGTGGAGCAAGCTGGCAATGATGAGACCGACCAACTCAGCCTCTTCTTCCCGTTTCTTTTCTTTTATTTTTTTTTGTTGTTGCTACTCTTTGAGATCTATCGAGAATTCGATCTTTGTTTTCTTGACTTCTTCCCGATTGTAAAGCATGCCCTTGATGTGAAATGTCATCATCGTCTGCTCGCTGAGCCCATTGCGACCCAACGTCCTGCTGGCCGTATCACATTCAGATCAACGTGCATTGATCACTAGACAGTCTGACCAACACCTCCAAGGCTCGGGAGCAAGGATCATAAGCTCCCTCTGAACCCCTCCTCAAGCTCCTTGCTCAAGCCCCAAAGGACTTACACACCCAAGGATGGAAACAGTAACGAAGCTTGTCAGCCGGACGGGGAACATTTCTCTCGAGTCGCCGAAGCTCGCGGACTCAAAATCCAATCAACCTTTGTCGGGTCCGTTGTCGTCCTACCTGGACACAATCTATGGATCCCTGACGGAATCATCAAAGGCCACTTTCTGGCGGGACGTGCAACATGAAGAGCGTACCACCGGCGAGGCGAAGGATCCCCTCGCGTCACTGGCTGCCTTCCGTACATATATGTCGGGTCCTGCTTCGGATGCATTGCGTCCAGCTCAACCGCAAGACCTGTCCGCACCGATAACGGATTACTTCATCTCGTCAAGTCATAATACCTATTTGACGGGGAACCAATTGTACAGTGATGCTGCGGCGACGGCATATACCAATGTAAGTCCCTCCAAAAAGGCCTCATACTAAACTATTCGAAATCACTGGCCCCTGGGGTGGCACGGATCGAGAACGGGCACTTACATCGCTTCCTGCGGGGGGAGCATGTAACGGTTCCAATCCAAGCTTGTGCAGCACTTACTGACGTCTGGCAGGCCTTGCTGAATGGCTGTCGATGCGTCGAAATCGATGTCTGGGATGGAAATGCAGACAGTAAGAGTCTTCTTGGCCAGGATACAAGCCGCAGCAGCAGTAGTGATTTGAGCTCGGAAGAGGGAGGCCAGATTTCGCACCATAAGAAGAAGTCAGTCGAGCTGAAGTCAGACGGTACTACACTCTCTGCTCCCCCAAGCTCGGGGCACCGCGGCCTGAAATCCAAGCTGGGGAGTCTGTTGAAACGCAGTCCATCACGCCGGAAAAGAGCCTCCAGCAGAGCAGATCCCGCCGCCGCGATTGATCCTGCCGTTCAAATCCCGCCTCGTCCAGAACCTCGCGTATTGCATGGTCACACTCTCACCAAGGGAACCACGTTCCGCGATGTCTGCTACGCAATCCGCGACAGTGCGTTTGTCACCAGCGATTTGCCGGTCATTGTCAGCCTGGAGGTGCACGCCTGCATCGAGCAGCAGGCGACCATGGTGGAAATTATGGAGGAGGCGTGGAAGGAGATGCTGATTGAAGTCACTCCAGAACTGGAAGCCGCTCAAGCCCCGCCTCCCCTAGAGAAGCTGCGGCGAAAGATCCTCATCAAAGTGAAATGGGTCCCGCTATCCACTGGTTCTTCCAAGGATGGACCAAGCAATGATAGCACGGACCAGCTTGATACATTGAACTCGGCTGATGGCCAGTCTCCACCCCCGAAGAAGCCACCCAAGATACTCCATTCCCTCAGCCGATTAGCCATTTTCACCAAGGGCTTCCACTTCAGCCAATTCTCCCAGCCAGGTAAGTCTACCCTCCCACCGGCCGCTACCGTCGCAACCCCCTCCCCTCCAAGCCACTGACTCGCACCATCAAAACGCAGAGGCCAAAGTCCCAGGCCACGTCTTCTCCCTCTCTGAACACGCCGCGCGCGAAGCCTACGCCAAGGACGCGCACGCCCTCCTGGAGCACAACCGCCGCTTCTTCATGCGTGTCTACCCGTACGGCCTGCGCATCAACTCCTCCAACCTCGACCCCACCTTCTTCTGGCGCTGCGGCACCCAGATCGTCGCCCTGAACTGGCAGAACGTCGACAAGGGCATGATGCTCAACCGCGGCATGTTCGCCGACGAACCAGGGTGGGTCCTCAAACCCCAGGGCTACCGCAGCGCCGACACCCCAGCCACCCCGATCCTCCGCCGCCAGCTCGACCTCACCATCGAGGTCCTCGCCGGCCACAACATCCCCTTACCACCCGGCGACACCAGGGAATCAGGCTTCCACCCCTACGTCAGCTGCTACGTGCACGTCGAGCAACCAGACGAGGCGAACGGGTCGCCCCCCGGCGGCGATAATACCACCGACTCGGAGAAAACCAGCTACAAGCGCCGCACCAAGAGCGCGACCGGCACGAACCCGGATTTCGGCTCCCAGAGCATCCAGTTCCCCACCCTGACGGGAGTGATTGACGAGTTGACCTTTGTTCGGTACGTACTGAACCTCCTCCCTCCCTCCCCTATCCTCTCCAAGCATCGCATACTAAACCCACCCGAACCACCAACAGCTTCAAAATCAAAGACGACGAGCTCGGCCCCGACTCCCTCGCCGCCTGGACATGTATCAAACTCAACCGCCTGCAGCAGGGTTACCGTCTGATCCATCTCCACAATTGCGCCGGCGCGGGATCCGGCGGTGTCCTGTTGGTGAAGATCACCAAGGTCCTCTTGTGAAGGGTGACACTCTACCGGCCCTGGATCGGGATCCTCTGAGAGAATGATCAAGGAGTGGGGGGGGGGGAAGGAAAGGAAAAGGGAAAAAAGAAAAAAAAAAAAAAAAATTGCGGACGCGAGTCATGCATACATGCATGCATGAATATATGTATGTATGACAGGCGCTGAATGCTCTTACATTTAGCCGTGCATCTATACTCTACTTTATATACCCCCCTGTGATGGTGAAAAGGATTCCAACTTATTCGAAGAATTATTTTTTTTATCCATGTACATATCTACACAGTAGTTACTTGATGGCGCTGACTTGCTCTCTCTCTCTCTCTCTCTCTCTCTGCGGCTTTAACCTACAGGAGGCGACGCATATCGTCAAGGGAAAGAATCAAAGAGATAAAAAAGACCCAGATGCAGAGGAACACAACAACCACATTCCTTTTGCACTCTATCTACATCGATGGAATAAAATCTATCACACACACAACAGTACAGCTTCATGCAGGGTCCGCGCCTTGCTCTACAACTTATCCCAGACCCAGAGTCGAGAAGAAAAATAAAAAAAAAAGAAAAAAAAGAAAAAAAAGAAAGAAAGAAAGATTCATAGTTTCCTTCCCTCTTTTCATCACGAGTTTGGATCCATCAGCCCGAAATGTCCCAGGTAGAGTCCATACAGTCCATACAGTACATGTACATGTACATGTACATGCATGTGCAATCGAATTTCCCATGCTTGGACGGTTGGACCACACTGCCTTACCTAGGTACCATACCATACCATGTCCATACCATCTATCTATCTATCAATCGTTCTGAACCCAACTGGGTCGAGTTCCCAATCCCGGTCTGACTGCAGATTCTTTATCTATCTATCTATCTATCTATCTTTTTTTTGGCTTCTGTTTCTGTTGGCGCTATCATCCCAATCATCATTATCAATATCCCCGCTCTTTTGGGGTCTGGAAGTGGAAGTCGGCAGCATCTCATCTCGTGACTGGTTGACTGGTACATCACTACAGAAGTGTTTAATCCGCTGGATGTGTCCAGAAAGTCAGCAAGAAGCCGCATTCTATTCTGTGTTAGATGTATACTCCGTATGTATATGGATATGTATATGTATAGGTAGATAGGAGTAGGAGTAGGACACTGAGATAAGATGACTCCCGTATTGGAAATTGGGCGCCGTAATGATCAGCGAGAATTCCCCCCCTCTTTTTTTTTTTTTTTTTTTTTTTCTTTTCTGGCGACACAAGTTACAACACAGTGCCTGGTTTGCTCAAACCTGCGAATGATCCATCAGAACTCCAATGTCGCGCGCGCACTTTCATGAGCGAACGGAGAGTACTAGGTACCTAGACTGGCGGTGTGTGAGAGAGAGAGAGTCTCGTTGGCCCCCCCATCAACATCAACCTAATCTGCGGTCTGCACCCCGTCATCCTTACAGAAGAAGAGCCGGTCAATCCCTCAATTCGCGACAGCCTCAGTAACCCCTTGAGTCTTGAGTCTTGACCCTTCGGAGGAGGGGCAGGGGAAGAAGGTGGGGAGTCGCAAAGAGTGGAGTAGAAAGGAAAATTGACATGGTCGATACTGCTGCATCTTTAAAAACTGACAGGAGGCGAGGATTTGACCTGTCAAAAAACTGTCGCACCGGTTGGCCAGGGAGGCAATGCTAGTGTGAGGGCACTATGGAGTATGGAGTAGTAGCGCCGAAACTAAGGATTCGTGGCCCTCTTGGAATTCTGGGAATCAGGACTTGGGGGGAGGACTTTCTTTCACTGCGCTGATTGATTGCTTGGAGTCGCAGAAAGAACCCAAATGGTATATCATACAGATTGAGAATGCTACCATCTATGTCAACGTTGTCGTGACTTGCAAATTGCAAGTCTCGAGCCCCCAAAGGGTGTCCCCTCGTCCTTGAGACAAAGGAGCTTACAGGCCCAAAATGTGAGGGGGATGAATTAGACTGATCAACTGCAGCTGTGGGGCATCCGGCAGCAAAAGTGATCGGTAAATCCCCAGACCTGGATAAGGTTCAGCAGCAAAGCCCAAAACGGCCAGGGACATCAACAGCCGCGAAATGGGTATACTTAATTAGTTGTAACTTGGATGGCACAACTACAAGCGAGAGCATTGGTCCCAGACAAGGAGTATCCAGGGGGTCCTCGCAGATACCGTACCAGAGAGGAATTACCCAGGGAACCAGGGTCTTCAGTCTTCAGAGTTCAGTCGTTTGAAGGACAGCTGATCAGTTGCAATCGGTCACTATTTGTTAGCAAGTTGTTGTTGTCGGAATCGGACTGATTCAAATCTCAGAGTCGCCAAAGCTTCAGGGTAGTCTACCTTTGAATTGGCCCGGGAAATACCAAGAGCGTTCAATAGATAGTGTTGGCACTTGGCAGGAAACTATTCCGTAAAGGAGAAGGAGGCGCTACCAGCATACCCATGTATGTATGGCCCACAAGCTCATCTGTCAGTTTCGGGTCAATATTAGCTAGTATCATTATTAGCTGGGCCACCATTTGTAAATCCAATTGTTGACAAACAAAAAAAAAATTTGTTTTTGATACTTTCCAAGGCGAAGGTATCCCATCGGCCATCGAGTAAATTATCAGATGCGCTCGACAGTCATAATGCAACATACCAGATGCCATCCAAAGCGTACCCTTGTAGATCGGCAGTATCAGAACTGAGTTTCTCGCTTGCAGTGGTAACCAATGAGATTCACACCAACCAGACAAAGTCCTTGGTGGATGGTCCCCGACAAGAACCACATCCACTTTGAGCTAATTCAAGATCGGGTCGTGGCCAAAGGGCCTTGAATGTGATAGTTCCTTCTTGCACGGACTCCAAGCTGGAGGATGACCTAGATCAAGTGTCGCGTGCACTAAGAGCTTGCACTCGGATAGAAGGGGTCGTGATCGTGATGGCCCTGATTCCTCGGTAGAACAGTGGACGGCCTTCTCCAAGCAACGTCATTTGCAACCAGTCACATCCAGTGCTTTGAAATTTCACTCACGATGTGCAGTGAGGTGACAGTCTTGATAAACAACAATTGATGTATTAAGGGCTACCAATGTGCAGTCCAACATTAGCTGCATAGCAGAGCTTGTGACCCATTGCATGGATATTCAGTTGATTTCCCGCCGTCCCCTTTAGCGCTTCCACAGGTCTGGTCAGCTCCTGAATCTTTTTTTTTTTTTTTTTTTTCCAAAGTCTGACTCTGCACACGTATCTCTCAGGCAGCATGTGGAAAGTAGAAAGACTGGACGCTAAGGTACAATCCTCTTTTATTAGCTGAAACTGAAATGCAAGACGCCTGTCATAGACGGGATCATCCGAGCTGTCCAATGCATATGCTTGATTTTCAACAAGAGGTGGTGTTTGCGTCTTTGCAAGGATCATTCTCCTCTTTGGATGCATTGATTTCAACTGTTCCTAGTGTTTGATCGATCCAATCTGGACTGGAGATCTCCCGATGGGGATCTGGGAACCCTCAAGCTTTGAGCAAGGATCGTAGGTCGGTTGTTCACTCCTCGAATTATATAAAGGTCGACCTAGTTTATTTTTTTCTTTTTTTTATGACCATTAACTCGACAATTGAAAGGTTCGCTCAAGCCTGGACGACTTTGTATCTATTTTTTGTCGGAAAAAATTCGTGGAGCACATCCTTCTTAAGGTCATATCTATTGCAATCGGCTCGTCCTCTGTTAGCACAATCCGCACCAAAGTCAGCCACAATGCCAGTAAGACACCGATTTATTCCCTTTCTCATTGTTACAGGACGTAGCTAACGTCAAAATGAGAAGATGCCTGGTGTCCGGTGCCCGTCCTGCCAAGGCCAAGGAAAGGAGGTCTGGGTCATACCAGGAAAGAACTGCCATGTCTGCGGCACCCCATGCTGAGTGACTTTCGGAAAGGCAACGATATTTGGTATGAGTATGGCAACGGGAGTTCAACAAATTCTCAGTTATGCTCGAGAATAATCAACCGAAACTCCTAGTCGCCTTTTGAGGCCTTATGGAGAAAGGGGTACACGTTACTCTTTTTTTTGGAACCAGGAAAAAAGAAAAAGAAAAGAAAAAAAAAGCCTAGGAGAGCTTCACCCACTATCACGGTTTCTCCCAGGAGAGGAGAATGGCAAAAAGTCGACCAAGCAAAGCAAGCGGAAGAAAAAGGCCAAGGGTCGATTCGAGACAGAACGGCAACAGGGAATGCTTCGGCGGGGCTTCAGTGTACGATATCATGAGGAATCAAGATGCTGAGAGAGATGAAAAACACACGGGGCGACTCATTGTACGATAGATCATGGATGTTGGAGGCGAAGGAGCTTCGAATGATTGAACGAGAAAGAGATAGAGCAAAAGAAGTCATGAAAGTCACCTGCTGTGTTTGGATTGTCGTTGCTTGTTGCCTTGAAAACCAGGCATTCTCTTTTCCCCTTGTTGATTCTCTTCACCTTTCCCTACGCGATTTCTCATTGTCCTTGTTCAAGGTCCGACTTCCCCTGGAGACTCTTCTGACCTCGGACGGTGATACTTGTTCTCCCAAACAACAGCCATTCTTTGAAACATGCCTACGTGGAGAGCGGAGTGATTCAGAGAGACTGATTCAAAGAGCTCTTGAACACGTTCCAGGGCGAAGAGCTGGATGATGAAAACTCCGTAGTTGCCAAGCTCTGATATATACTCATCCAGCAATGAATCAAGTAATAGGTCCTTCTGTGCAGTTGATCCTTAATGGAATGGCTCTGTTGCTCCCAATGCGCGACTAGAGTATACTATACATATACACCTGCCGGAGCTGTAGCCTGTGTCAGGCAGCTACAACATCGAGGCATGTCACCCTTTGAAGTGGAGGAAATATGATCAAGATATATATATATATATATATATCCATATTTTTACCGAGAACCAACAACATAAAGAACTACTTGATACTCCACGTGACCTATATAGTAGACGAAGTGATTCATTGCCCATAAAAGAGATTCAGAGGATTCTCGAGTTTTCGCCCAGTCTCCCCTCCAGCGACGTCATACAACATCCCATCCACAACGCGTGTATCAGATCCAACACGGCGATAAAGAACTGAACTTCCACCAAATGATTTTACCCTCTACTTCATTCATCTCCCCCGCCAATCTATATCATGACCCAAACATACCCGATCAAAACCCGCAGCGAAGATGAACGTCTCGTTCGAGACTGGGGCTTCAAACACGTCTTCACATGGACGGATGGAAGGTTAGCTTATGCTCACCCAATTCTTGGGTTATTTTGATTTGGAATTCCCGAGGGAAAAAAAAACCTAGGTGAAGAGGATGTGTTGACTTGAACAGCAACGCTTACTATCCCCCGCATACACATCGAGGGCTGACGACGCATCTTATCCGCCGGGGGAGTCTCACCATCACGTATCCCGAGGACAACGCCGGCGTCAACAATGGCGAGGTTAAGAAGGAGACGTTTGGAGTCGGCGCGAGGATTGATGTGCCGACTGGGAAGTTGCACGAGGTGTGGATTGGGGATGAGGGCTGTGAGTACGTTATTGGGGAGTAATTTCTAGTGTGATGACGGTGATCATTATCTCGTGGCTGCAGTGGAAGACTTTGTACAGCTATGTAGATGACTGGAGTCTATCCCATGTCTAATCATGAATCATGATCCAAAACCAGCTGGATCTGCCCCTTTTTGAACTTCCTAATACACGAATCTGAAATCGAGTCTGCGGATCATTAGCCCGAGTTGGAAGCAATACCAGAGCGAGCATAGCGAGACTGACCTTTTATTACCCAAATCCTGGTTGGCGGCGAGATACTCCTCCCTTTCTGCACTGGACATGGCATCCCACTTCTGTGCTTTTTGTCTGTACACCGATACCATTAGCATTGCACAGACATGCGGATTGATTGTGGCACATACTTGTTCCGCCATTCATAGTAGAACCGGGCCACGATAAAGAGGAACATGCTGTATACCGCCAGCGCAATAAGGACCTTATTGCCCGTCCGGTAGTAGGGCTTGTCGTTCTCGCGGTAGATCTGCGGAATGTTAGCACTTGCATACAGCTTCGGAGAATGTGTACGTACGTTATTGGCAATGATATTCGAAGTCTGCACCATCATGTTGTACAGTGCTGAGGCTATTGTTCTCGTTCGCACGGTACCTGCATTCCTGGAAGTCATGGCCACGATGATGGCGTGGATATACGGCGAACCGATGAGGAGGATCAGGATGACCCAGCGCGCCCAAGGGCTCGCATCAGCCGGTAGGACCTCAAGCGCAATCAAGAGGATCAAGGACCAGGCCTCAGCCACGACACCCAGCAAGAAGCGGATATTGAAGCGCTCCGAAATCCAGGTCCAGAAGAGCAGATTCGAAATGAAGATGACATACGCAGGGATGGTCAGCAAATTTGTTTGGAAGGTCTTGAAGCCGAGCGACTTGAGCTGTAGTGTAACGTAGCTGGCTGCGGGTGTGTTGGGGATCATCCATGAGAGACCGAGCAGGTAGGTAATCCACATGTCGTAATCGCCCAACGCCTTCCAGAGCATCTTGGGGGTGATGGCCTGACGATTATGCATGCCACCTTTGCTGGGGTCATCGCGTAGCACGCGGTTGACCAGGATCTTCTCCTCGTGCTCGTTGAACCAGCCTTCTTTTCCGCGGAAGCCACCCTTGGTCTGGGTCGGAGACGCGGGCATCCAGAACGCGGCGATGATGCCGATGAGACCGGTGATGAGACCTTCGAAGGCAAACATGTAACGCCAACCGCCTCCGCCTTCGTCATTGCGAATGTGAAGGAAGCCGAAAGCAAGGAACGCACCGACGATGGCCGTCGCTTGGTACGAAACCCAAAAGTAGCTCAATCGGATGGGCAGTTCCTTTGATTTGTACCAGAAGGAAAGGAAAAGGATTGTATCAGGGATGCTGCAAAGTATTAGCGTCGATGAAACCAATAGCCCTGAGAATATGGCATACAATCCACCCTCAAACAAGCCCAAAAGCGCACGACAGGCGAAATAACCGCCCTTATTCTTAATGAAGGCCTGAAACGCGGCAATCAAACTCCAGCAGACCATCTGGATAGGAATCCAGCGGTCTGGACCCAGAGCCTTTGAAATGAGCTGCGAGGGAAGCTCTGCGAAGAGAAAACAGCAATAGAAGATTGTCTGTCCGGTATTGTAATCATTCGTGTTCATGCCCAGATCGCCCAGCATGTTATCTGACAATGCCTGGATGATATTGCCGCGATCCAGCTGGAGTGCAAAGAATGTTACACAAGCGAATGTGCACACTCGGAGATCAATCTATATGCATCAGTATGCAGTCGTAAGTTTAATGGGCAGGATGTATATGTCGTCACACTTTTCTGATCAGCCTCTTCTCCTCTTCTTCCGTCCATTCAAAATCCGGGTCCCAGCGATGAATACCCTCATAGGTGGGAATCGGCTTGTAATACCGAGGATCTTCGGAGGTATCGAAAGCTGCGTCGGAATTCTTGTATCGCCTTGGTTCATCACTCGATAGCGACGAGGTTGAGGCCCCTGTTCCGAGCGCCTGCTTGGTATCGTAGCCTTCGACGGTGGGCACTCTTTTCACGTCGTCCGCGGCCATGTTTCTCTGCAAGCTTGTCTGTAAGCTTATCCCTCGTTGGACAAGTCAGATTCCCTGCGTGTCATTTTATTTGGTGGTAGACAGGTAGGAGCATTATAAGGAAGAATCCTGCTTGGACAGATAGTACGGAGTAGATAGCAATTCATGCTTCTAGCACGCAATATCAGGCTTCGAATAGGTCAGCATGGTAGACAGCAGTGTACTCTTTACCCCACAGAAGATAGGTAGTCCCAGGCCAATTGAATCTGTACATGATAACCGACGTCTTCCTATCTTGGCTTTTGTGATGGAGTCCCGGCGTCGCAAGTGGATTCATAGGAACAAGCAAGTACAAGCGCCCTGTCCTCCGAGAGGTCTATCTGGAAAAAGCTCCATGCGGGCCTTGATAGAGTTAAACGAGAGCGCTGGATACTTTCCATCATCAGCTGGACCTGATATGGATCACGCAAAGTCTGCAAGATTGACGTTACAAGGGACGAGTTAGAAGGCTTTTGCCGAGGAGCAGGGACCGTTGAGTAGTCTCGATTATGCAGCTCTTCATGGACTTATGACATCGGAGATATTCCACAGGCTGCATCGACATTATTCATGGCAGTCGAATCAGCCAATAAAGCTGATGTTGCATGAATAGAGTTGATTCGTAATCACAATGAGCGATGGTGCTATATTTCGCCATTTGATCATCATCTCGGGGTCTTGTCTGACGATCATCGTTTCAGTCTACAGCCTCTGTGCTTTGCATGTTGAATCCTAGCTTATCTGTCAAGATTTTGGATTGTTTTCGATGATGTTCAGGATAAGCTGGCGACGGGCAGCTCGAAATTTCCCTGGGCCACATCTTAACCATGGAGTGGAGGACCAGCAGAAGCGACTGATTCTTCTCAAGACCCAAAGGCCTCTCACAACGATTAGACTATCGAAGCCAAACTCCTTTGAGCGATCTAACGGAGAAGTCTGCCTATTTTCGTTTTCAACGCGTGGATGGTTGTCTTGAGTGTTGTTGCGCGACTCGACAGCGTGATCACGTCATGCTTGGCCACGCGCAACAACTATAGCGGAGGCACGGCGTCGCTTAGAGCGTCGAGGCACAACATGACAGCTTATCAGAGAGGCATCTTCAAATAATCAAGAGGATCAGCAGGAGGGGCTAATGTCGAAACTACTCTTTAGATCCTTTTGAGCCAATCCGGGCAGGGACAGCTCTTCTATCACGCCATCTCCAATCCCAGTACGACCACCAGTGTGTCAGAAAACGACCGGGACATTCTCTATACACCATGTCTTGGGTAACCCCGCGTCGGTTAGAGATGTCCTTGGGATTTATGACGGGATTCGATGCATGAGAGCATCCTCCGCAGTGATTACGCGAGCTTGAGCCGGGTGAGTAATCGGGACGTGGATGGTGGATATATCTGTCCAGGTTCCCTCTATGAGTTTGGAAATGTCAACGCTTCAAGTTTCGTCTCTCAAATAAGGAATCCCGATAATGGCCCCCTCCCTCGTTGATAATGTCGCCCTCCGCGCGGCGCCGGTGGCCAAGTTGAAGACCGACGCCGGGTTCAACAAGGAGAACGTGATTGGATACGGTGAGACATATGAGCATGAGAACGAGATCAAGGGCACGGCGAAGCAGCCTCCCGCCGCCTTCCCTAATTACCTTCCTGTCTGGGATAACGAGACTGAAAGGTACCCCACCCATGACCTGCATTCACCCTTTGAATCATGCTAACTGACGACATTAGATATCCTCCATTGACCCCCTTCGAGCACTACGATCACGGCAAGGACGCGGACCCATCCTTCCCCGATCTGCTGCCCAAGGACAAGGCGCAAGTGGATCACCTCACCCCAACGATTGGCAGTGAAATCCGCGGTGTGCAATTGAGTCAGTTGACGAAGGAAGGCAAAGATCAGCTGGCACTATATGTAGCCCAGAGGAAGGTCGTAGGTGGGTGACAATATGCCTTCCACGCCTACAATTCTCAATACTCACAAGCCCTCCAGCCTTCCGCGACCAGGACTTCGCACACCTCCCCATCGACCAAGCCCTGGACTTCGGCAGCTACTTCGGCCGCCACCACATTCATCAAACCTCTGGCGCCCCCAAGGGCTACCCGGAGATCCATCTGGTGCACCGCGGCGCCGACGACACAAGCGGCGCGGATTTCCTCGCCACGCGGACAAATACCATAACATGGCATTCGGATGTTACCTTCGAGAAGCAGCCTCCCGGCACAACCTTCCTGTATCTGCTGGATGGGCCGACGACTGGAGGAGATACGCTGTTCGCCGACATGGCGCAGGCATACAAGCGGTTGTCGCCGGAGTTCCGTAAGCGGCTGCATGGGCTCAAGGCCGCTCACTCTGGCATCGAGCAGATCAACAACAGCTTGAACAGAGGGGGTATTGCCCGTCGCGAGGGGATCACATCAGAGCATCCGATTGTTCGAACTCATCCGGTAGGTCTCCCGCACCTGGGAGCAAAGACAGGACAAGCTAACAGTGACTACTAGGTAACCGGAGAAAAAGCCCTCTTTGTTAACCCGCAATGTGAGTAGTCTCAGACGTTTCCTTTTTTGAAGATCATTGTCTGACGTTGATAGTCACCCGCTACATCGTGGGATACAAGAAAGAGGAGTCAGACATGCTCCTCAAGTTCCTGTACGACCACATTGCCCTTTCGCAGGATCTGCAGGCGCGTGTCCGATGGCTTCCTGGAACGGTCGTTGTTTGGGATGTAAGTACTCTGCAATATGGAATTGATAAACCCAATCAATACTAACAGGTCAGAACCGTGTTGTCGCGCACTCTGCTCTCTTCGACTGGATCGACGGACAGAGACGGCACTTGGCAAGAATCACTCCCCAGGCCGAGGCGCCATATGAGACGCCTTTCGATAATGAATGAATGACAAGGTATCCAACGGGGCTGCATTGAGTGTGTTGGAGGTCATGTTCTCAGTCCAACGTGATAGCACTTAACGGTATGAAAAATCGCAGATATGTGTTCGTTCCAAGTACTTTTCTTCAACAGTCCAACCGGGTAGATCGTCCATCCAATCTCTTTTTGCTCATACCAGCGGAGCGGTAGCCACTGCACTGCACTCGTATTGCCGTCATCACCTTCCATAGCTCCAGCATAGATGCGAGACTCTTGCTCAGTAGCACATCCCGCCTCAGAGCACACTCTGGGACTCTCCCTCTTCTTGGGCGACTTGTCCAGCTTTGATATGGCAGATACATCCTCGGCCTGTTCCCAAGTTACAACCTCGTTGTATTCAACGCCTGCACCTCCCCGAGGGTACTGAGCCGCGGTAGCCATGAGGATTTATTTCGCCGGAATGGAGGCGCTTCAGCCTCCAAGCCCCCGAGAACCCGCCTTCTTGTCCGAAAAGAAGACACAATTGAACCCACCCGCCCAGACACAAATATGCGATATGATACCCCTACTCCATCCACCAACCATTCCCCCACTTACTCCCCCTTCTCAACCCGATGCAGCATCCCAACCCTCCACTCCCGAAACTCCCTCGCAGAGCCCGGCAACATCGCATTCCTCTCCTCCAACACACCCCTCAGCTCCCGCATCACATCCACGGGAACCCTCACCTCCTCAACCGACAGCAACGCCGGCCGCCCACGCCCAGGATCCAGGAACGAATCCACATCCGCGATCTCCTGGAAAAAGATCTTCACTGCCCTCTGTGCGGTGACGCTGTGCTCGGCGCTGGAGTTCGAGTAGCGGAAGTCCGGGTTGAAGGCCCAGAGCTGCGATTGCGATTGCGTTAGCGTTAGCGGATGCAAGTAATGAGTTGGGGGGGTTAGCTGGGGGGGAGGGGTTGGGATTTACCAGGAGGCCTGAGGAATGGCCGGAATGGATGACGAAGCGGCGGGTGCTTTCACGCTCGATGAGTTCGAGGAGTTGAGCGGCGATGATGGATTCTGTGGGCGGGGAGTGCCATGTTGGTTGTGGTGTTGATGGGTTGGCGATGGTTGCGGATAGGCTTGTTTTGAAGAGACGCCAGCCCTGGGCTACGGGGTCTTCTGTGCCGAGGAGGGAGTCGCAGGTGTCGCAGGCTAAGGACGAGGAGTCTTTGGGTGTTTCGCCTGATGCGAGTGTTTGTACCTATGGGTAGGAGATCAGCGATCCGATGTGTAGAAGAGGTGGAGAGATATGCCTGACGCCTGTTCTATTCAACCTATTACTCTGCTAAAGAAGACTACGGGCTTTCTAGAATGCTATCTACCACCGGCATATACCTCGCTTAATCGCGTTAACCCCATTACTCAGGGGAAGTCCCTCAAAGACTGAAATCAACGAAGAAACAGCGAGGCTGCCTTCCATGCGCGAGACTAGCCTTGGAGAGCCACAACGACATGGTGGCTGAAGCAAGTGAGGAGCGAAATCCATCTCATAAATAAAGAGGATAACTGCACCCCAGAGGCTCGGCCACCATGCAATCACGACTGCACCTTGACCAGCTCGCCCACGGTCAGCAATACTCAATATCGGGCAATTGTATCGAAGACCCGTCCATGGTAAAGAAAAGGCCTCCTTCTTTTTGCCCATGCACGCACATCCCCACCACAAAGTCCCAAACCACCAGCAACGCAAAACCAAAACCGAAAACCCGAGAAAAAAAAAGAGAGAAGAAAAGCCTACCTTCTTCACCCCTCTACAATCCTCCTCCGCGACCAAAAAACTCACCACATCCACAAGCACAGTCCCACGCCGCGCAACAACCTGATTCGCCGCCCCATAGCCCTTCGTCTGCGCGTTACCATCTTCCCCATCCCCATGCCCATGGTCCTCGGGATCCGGTTTATGGCAGTGCCAGAAATCCATCATCTCAGCCCAGTTCCCGCTCGGCAGATCTTTCCAAACCCAGCCGTCCGACGCATCACTCATTTGTGAATCTGCACTATCCAGCCCAGGCGCATCCAGAATGAGGCCCGCACACCGCCGACAGCGCAGCTTACTCGACGGGCCCATATCCGCCGCCGTCCAGGGGACGAAATCATCAACGGCTTCTGTGCGCGGCAGCGCATCATCTTCGCTGTCTATCCGCATCCGGAATGAGTATTCCTGGCGTGCGCTGTGGGAGTCGTTGGCTGGTTGCGTGGGGGCCTGTCTGCTGGTGTTGAGGGTGTGTCGTGAGGCTTCGTTCACGCGCGCGGGGAGCTTGATGGTATCTGATACGTGGCTGAAGGGCCCTGGTAGCGAGACTGTGACTGCCTGGCGGGATTCTGAGAGAGTTATTGTGGGACTGGTGTTATTTGTGTTAAGATGGGAGGGGAGAGAAATGTAGAGTGTGATGTGGCGGATGTTGGGGAGGAGTTCAGCGTGGAGGTAGATCGACGCATCTGCGTCTGGTTTCTCTGTTAGATCGGCCATGGTGTTCTGTTCTGGTCCTATAGTATGTAGAGTAGTATAATGTACATTAGTATCAAGTAAATGAAGAGCAAATGATGCGATATGAAGATCTGTGTTGTTACGAAGAGGTGAAGAAGCAGCATGTTGGGTTCACCTGGAGCTAAAGTGCAAACGACGCAAACAAGATCGTGGCAAATCACGTGATTATTGCAGTATCGACCAATCAACAGCCAAAGAGGTTGAGACTGCGATCAGACGAATAAATAATCAAGGATAATAGGTAGGCAGTACGAGTATCAAGATTAATCAAATATCGTAATGGGCCCGCGATGAACATTTCAATCTGGTATATATACAAGAGAAAAGAACCAATATTCCCTGGATCATACAAACCCTCCCCAGCCATCAAACTCCTCGGCAAATTTTGCAGCTGCTTTCAGATAGAACTCATCCGAATCCCCCCACGTCGTTGCAGCCTCCCTCAGAGCACGTATGGCCTTGACATAATGCGCATCGGTAGAGTGCTCGGTCGTGACAGCCTGATTAGCCGCCCATTTCCAGTCCCGCCCTTTCAGATCGTAGTTTCTGATCCGATCGAGATCGATTTCTGGCCTGAGCTGCGCAATGTATACAGCCAGTGTCAATAGCCACCACTGCCGGACGAGCGGGATCTGAAACCGCCCGGGCACAAATGGGAGAAGAATGCGAACCGCATGACTGGTGGTGAGGATGTGGACAAGGAAGAAGTCGTATTTGTCTGTTGAGTCTTGGTGTGTAGCGACTAGTAGCGCAGCAGCGAGTTCCTGGCTCTCGCGGAATTGTTCAACGGGGTTCTCAATCTTCCAGGCATTCCAGTGGTCGAGGAGCGCGGCCTCATGGTGTCGGAAGAGAGTATCGAGATTATTGTCTCCCGGCGTAGCGAAGAGTCCGTTGAAGCGCTGATCCGCGCGCACCTTGCTCAAGACCTCGAACATTGAGGTGGAGTGATACGACGCCTCGGCCTTAGAATAAGACGGATCGTCGAAGTATTTGTGGATATCGCTGTAACAGGTCGCTGCAAGCCCGAGGGCCTCCATAGCAACCTCGCGACTCGACATCTCAAACGCATATCCCAGATGAATCAACGGATGTCCCACTATCACCGTTAGCATCAGCGCCAGCATCATCTCGCCCAATCATCCAGGAAACATACAGTCCGAAACCAGCGAGCTAAACAGCGGCTCCCTGCCAGAGTAAAGATAATGCGTGAGGACTTGCTTCCAATCATAGCCGTCGCGCACGAGCTCATCCTCGAAAAAGTCCACGAACGCCCGCTGGTACCTGTTCAGGGTCAGCATCTTAGTCCCTTTTCAGGTGATAACGGCCATGGAACATACTCCCGCTGTCCCAGATACTCTCTCCAATCATTCGGGCTGATCTCACTCGGCGCATCAACCCAGGGGTCCAGCGTCTTCGACTCAGCCTCATACACGCGATTCAGATCGTCCGCGTCCGCGCCCTGTAGGAAGGACGAGCTGAGGATCTAGACCGAGTCAGCAAACCCTTGAAAAAATCAGAATTCAGAAGCGTAGAGTAAAGTAACGAACATGAGGCGCATGGTTGTGGAATTTCCGGTCATTGTACAAGATCGCGTGGTTGGCGTGGTTCAGCTTCAGGAGATGCTTCAGAGCCCGCGCCGGCTTTTCGACTGCTGTGTCAACCTCGTGGACCTTGACAGGCGGGATATCGAAGACAGTCTGGCGTTTCCAGGAGGGAAACTTGAATGAAGGGAGGGAGAAGGAGAGCATGATTGTGATGGCTAGTATATGTGGGGCTTAATGTTGAGGTTGAAAAGAGCCATGCAGCTCAAGGACCTGTGTAGGAGCTGTGATCCTTGCACTGCTTGATTTCTACTGCAAGTGAAGCTGATATCAGGATGGAAGTTGATATTCTTCGGCTATTCGATGATGATGATAATGTACAGATTTGAAGGAGTGCAGCTTGTGAGTGGTTCTGGTGAGATCTCGAAAAGCTGTGGGGATGCAGCTCGTTTTGACTGTTGGGGAAGGATTGGTGGCCTCAGGTGTCGATGATGTAATGGTGCCATACAAAGACCGCGGCAACCAGTGGACTTATACTATAGAACATGTCTTGTTGTGTAGCCTCTATAGAATACGTGGACTCAATCCATTTCAATGAATAGTCCCAGATGCTGGCTGAAGCTACTTTTCACGAGGTGCAACATCGTGGTTAGACGGATACTGGGTGACTGGGTGCTCCCCGGTCAAAACGTCTATATCGGCGCGAGGCCCAGTGAAGTTCTTTCGGCCATCAACAAACCACTGAATGGTTGAGATAACCATGATAATGCCGATCGCAGCAACACAGTAGTCTAAAATCTCATGTTAGCGGAGGAGATCTAAGTTATCGAGTGCATGAAGACTTACTCATGTTGCTACCCGAAACTGGAAGCTCGGGTGGGAACAAGAAGAGCACAGTGGTCACAGAGATGTACACCAGTGAGACCTTCATTATGTTAGTTCATGTTCTTAGTAATGGTTGAGGTGGGACGTACCGCATTAGCAATCCAGCCGACGATGTTGGGGAGCACAAACGGCCGCTCGGGCAGCATGTTACGCCCTCGGAGGCAGTTTACAGCAATTGGAATGCCATATGCAAGGTCCAGTAAAACCACCGAGGCCGAGACAATAGCATTGAAGGCACTGTGCCATGTTAGTTCTGACATTGGACTCGCTAGCGACGGCAAATCACCTCGTGGAGCCAAGGAAGATGCAGCCAAAGATCACAACCAGTACGAGATTTAGGTACAAGGCGTTGAGCGGGACCTTCAACTTGGGGTGCACTTTGCTGAAGAACGGTGAGGCTGGTAGACCTCCGTCTCTGTTTCAATCTGTTAGCTCCATTCCTCAGGCAGGAATTGGGGTTGGATGGTCACCTTGCGAAGGCAAAGATCATACGGCTGCTGGTTGTCATGATAGAAGTGGTTGCAAAGAGCATGCAGACCAGGGGGAACCTGCACAAGTGGTTAGGAAAGCTACAAGAATTGGTCTCTGGAAAATCCTACATGAGCAAACAAATGGCTCCAGCATTGCTGTTGGTTGCGTTTTTGAGGATCTGCAGGAGAGGGCCCGCGGATGAACTGATCACATCGTCGATATTGCCAGCAACGAAGAGGAGGACAACCAGGAAGATGATACCCGTCACAGTTCCAATGCCCACACAACCGATCATGATCTTGGGTCCAACGACGGAAGCATTAGGAATCTCTATAGTCTTATCAGTGACGCCGATAGATCCATAAGTATCGTCCGCGAACTACCTTCGATCATATGTGCAACGCCATCCTTGGAGATGTTAGCCAAGAGAATGCCGGATCAGTCAAGGGCAGACGACGCCTTACAAATCCTGTGACACCGAGTCCACCTTGAAGCAACTGTATTCGTCAGAAAGAATCCATTTATTGTTCTTGAGAATGAACGTACTCCAAGCAACCAGGCGACGCCATCAGGCCCTACGAGAGTCAGTCTACGCACGTATAGTTAGCAGATTCGAGACTTACAGCCGGTATGATTGATAAAATCTGTAAAGACAAATCTGTCCGGTCGGTTAGCCAGTCATTCTCAACAGCTTGCTGGGCACCCTTACTCTCCCGAGCTGTAGTTGGGCGATGCGCACGCCAACACCGTGATGGAAATGACCGCAAACCCGGTGAGTGACCAGATGACTAGATCTCTCAGTATTTCCCAAGTCCATTGAGGAAGGCACCGTCTTACAGGCACTTCGGGTGACCAAAGGTAGAAAAGAGTTCATCAAGGCGTTGATGATGAATCCTGCGATATTGTAGGCGATGTAAATGAGGAACTGGTGCCAGCGCTGGGCCTCGTAGGTCTGCGCAGGTTAGAGTCAGTCACTGTCCACAGGGCTGCAAGGCAAGTTCTTACCGGGTTCATCAAAGAAATCACACCCAGGATCAACTGGCTACCCAGAAGGCCACCGGTAGCCACCAAAGCAACCTAGATCGTTCAGCCCGAGTTCCAGTAAACCCTTCAGGATCAGCCACCTACCCAGCCAGAGACATTCACCCAGCCGGTGATCCAGGAGAGAATCGGCATCCATCGTTGCCAGGAGACTTGAAGCGCTTAGCACAACCCAACCATTCAACTTCCTCGGCAAACTTACTGACTATAATGTAACCAAAAGTCAGCACTCTCACGTAGCCCTCTCCAATCCGCAAGACACAAACTCACCTGCAACCCAATGGTACTGCCCACCGGCCCTAGAACCCCATCAGCGTCTGTCCTTCAGAATCTTCGCGCCGAGTACTAACGTAGGATACGCAGAGAGAAACTCTGCGAGTGATGACGCGATGCACAGGTTACAGATCCCCGCAGTCAGCAATCCTAGCCATCCCCGCCGTCAGCAACAATCCCAGGAATGTTAATAAAAATGCACAGGTGCATCGTACCCCAGACTACACTCGCACTGCCTCCCGATGGAAGACTTAGTGATAAACTCGCAGAGAGAGCCGTCCATGACTGTATGCCGAACCATCAACGATCAGTCATTTATATAACATCCCTTCCCCCGCCTGATTCTCCTTGTCTCAGATTCGAAGTGCAACATACGTTGAGAATAGCAAATGCCAATCCCAACATCGACCTATACAAGCAACCCTCATCAGTATGCAAGGAGGACCATCGGGTATAGTGGTTGGCCGAGGGGCACACACAGCATGGAGAAATTGCGATCCAACTCGGCCTTGTAGCCCATGGCCGCCAGCTGGGCGTCATCGTCACCGTGGTGATTTTTGATCGAAGACATTCTGCCAGGTGAAAGCGGATCAATTCTTCAATCCAGGGAGAACTGGGAAAGAATACGGAGAACAGAGAGGGAACAAAATGAGACAGGAAAGCTTTGATCGATCGGAGTAGAAGAGAGAGGGGGGAAGAAGGATGAAGACGAGCAGCACACCATAACACAACACGACTGACATACCCCCCAGCTAAAATACTACCCTACACTACGCAGTTCGGCACTTACGATCATCTCTCACTCAAAGGCCCAGAATGACTATACTCGGAGTCTACGGAGTAGTATTACGGAGTATCTGGATAGCAGTAGGGGAGGATACCCGTGGAATTTGCCTCAGGACCTGGCATATCACTTGACAGTTTACCTATCTATCTTTCATGTCTACTCCGTGTGGAGTATATTATCTCTCGATCTCCACAGCCGATTGCGGGGAGGATAAAAAAGCAGGATTGATTGTTACTTTGTTACATAAGAGACATGGGGTAATATCTTCAATCTTCAATCTTCAATCTCCAATCTCCAATCTCCAAGATAGATAGCGCCCTATGGAGAATGCGTACCCAGTACATCATGGATGATAGGTAGACTACCTAGGTAGTACTCAGTCAGCGTGGTATGATGCAATTAGAATGGACGATGATCCCAGCCAAGAGACTCTCAACAGTGATTTGCGGACATCACCGAAACATGGCGCCGATGGCCAGTAGGAGACTGGGAGGAAAAGGAGGCGGACGGGGCGAAACGGGGAGGATCTGCGGCATCCTGAGGGCTAAGTTCTGCCAACCGCAACTGCTAAGCTGGGAGGGAAAGCTTGTGCACGCCGAGTGAGGAGCATAAATTGTTAGTAACACTCACTACGGAGTACCCGAGTATAACTTAGCTATCGACGGAGGAGTTCCGAGGTTAACTAGGATGGAGACTGGAAGAGACTTATCAGAGCTGGCAGTATGTCGCTTCTCCAATAGATAACAAACTAGGGAGAAGATAGGGAAGCTCGGGAGTCATCATGCTCTCTCAATGGTATACAGCATCCGATGCCATTAAAAATGTACATGCAAATAAATCCAATACCCATCCCTATCTATTGAGACGAGTCCACCAAGTGGTCCGTTCGGACAATGTAGTCCTCGTCCCCGTTCGCAACAGGCCCATCCTCCGTGTAGCCATCGGGTTCTCCTCCTCCAGCAGTCAAGGCCTTGTGCTTTCCCTTGCCCTTGCCCTTGCTGCTGATGGAGTGCCCACTCGCACTTCGCGCCATCGCCGACCCCATCTTTCCTTTCCCTTTGCCGTTGACAAGTGGGACGTGATCTCCATTCATGACTGGCCCATCCACGATACCGTCAAGCTGATGTCCCAGCTTGAGGGCTTCCAGGGCGTCGCCAATGGTTTGCGGGGGCTTGGAACCGGATCCCGAGGTGTTTTCAGGCTCTTGCTTCTTGTCGTCAGACTCGAACGACCGCCGAATCCGCTCGAAATGTTCCAATTCCTTCGCGCTACACATCGTTAGCAAGCACTTTGCTAGTAGTGGAAAAGATATATATATAAAAAAAAAACACTCACCTGACACTAGGGACCATCTCGCCCTGAGCCCGGGTGAAATCGGCCTCTGTCACCATGACAGCAACGTCATCCGGGGTCGCAAGATGGTCGAAAAAGTAGGCCGTGCTGACCGGTTCGCCTGGTAGCTGCTTGATCTTCTCATCCACTGCAGTAGCCTTGCGCGTGATGGCCTTGAGCATCGCGTCCGAGCATAACGCATAGAGATCGGCTCCGGTGTAAGTCAGGGGCAGTCGGTCGGCGACGCGGCGCAGAGACACCTCCGGGTCGAGATTGAACTTGCGTGTCAAGGCCTCCAGGATGGTGGCTTGTTTCTCGTGCGTGTCGGAGACGCCCAAGTAGAGCATCTTGTCGAAACGACCGGGACGCAGCAGCGCTGTATCAAGCAGATCCGGCCGGTTGGTCGCGCCAATGACAAACACACCGCCACTATTCTCTTCGCCTCCATTCATGCCATCCAACTCGGCGAGCAGCTGACTGACAATGCGATCCATCACGCCACCGCTGTCGCCCTGGTTTCCACGTTTCGGCGCCACCGAGTCCAACTCATCAAAGAAGACGACACAAGGGCGAGCGTCACGAGCTCGCTGGAAGACTCGTCGAACATTCGCTTCGGATTCACCAATATACATGTTCAGCAGCTCGGGACCCTTCACAGAAAAGAAATTGAGAGAGAACTCGGTCGCAATGGCCTTGGCAAGTAGGGTCTTTCCAGTACCCGGCGGACCATAGAACAGGATACCACTGCGTTTCTTCATGCCCTTGGCGAACAGCTCAGGCCGCTCCAGCGGCAGCTGGATGGTTTCCACAAGGGCGTCCTTCACATTGGTCAACCCACCGACGTCGTCCCAGCTAACATTCGGAATCTTGGGTGCGCCAATGGAATCGGCGAAGTTCTTCCGTGCGGCATCGACTGCGGCGTCGAAATCAGCCTTGGTAATTCCTCGTGCTGCATCACCACCGGAGACAAGGACGTCCCTGACGCTGACCTTCGAGCCCGCGTCCAACTTGCTTGCGGTCTCTGCTAATTTCTCCAGACGAGCAGTCCGGATCGCTGACGCGCGTTCGACGACATCCACCAGGTCTCCAGCGACGAGCGCGGCGGTCTTCAGAGCCACCGATCCCAGATCAACGTCGGGCGCTAGCTTGATGCTCCGCTCGGAGACAGCGTTCCGAAGAATACCTTCACGCTCCTTCTCTTCCGGGGCAGTCAGCTCGAATTCATGAGTGAACAGACTGCGTATTCCTTCGGGAATCTGCTCGACGTCCGTCGTTGTAGCAATGACAACCCGTGCGTCTGCCAGGATCTCGCCCATTGCAGATACTATCCGGTCGGCTGTCAACACCTCAATGTGCTTGATGAGAAGCGCGGTGCAGTGCGAACCGCAGTGGAAGGCCCGCTCAGCTCTTGCTTTGAGATAGGCTTCAGTTTTCACATCACCGCCATTTGCGCCCCCCTCCGTCAATATATCGTACGCATCAATTGGGAAGGTATGCAGGCCAATATCCGCGCAAGCGCGCGTCGCGAGCGTGGTTTTGCCAATGTGTCTCTGCTGCGACCGCAAAAGTATCACTACCGGCTTCATGCCCAGTTGGATTGCGCGAGGACTCGTCGCCACGGCCATCAGCTCACGGATCCGCTTCTGCAAGGGGGATACGAATGATGGCGGTGGCTCGACAACCAACCCGTGAGGGGTTGGTACATCACTGACGGATTTGGGGACGGTCTTGACACCTAGCCAATATTCCCACCCATTATCTAGGGTGCCAGGGATTTTGCTGACGTCGCTGCCAGCCTGCACCATCCGGGTTGTCGCCGTGTCAATGACGGCCACACCGCCCCATTGATCTTCCCCGGCTTCATCTTGATCGTCGGGCAGGGTGGGAGCCACATGGGCTACACGGAACCAGGCCACGCCGATTTTCTTTAACCCGGAATTGGCAGCCTCTCCGGTCTGATTGAGCCGTGTAGTCAAGTCTTCATCCGCAGCGCTACCATCTGTAGCCGCAGCACCGGAAAAGACAGCTCGACCGAGACCCTCGTCGACACTGATGCCCACGAGATCGCCACTCTTCACGAGTCGCCGTTTAGATTCAAAATATTGCTTGAGACCTGCAAATAAAGCGGGCTGGAGAACACGGTCCATGGAGAGCGGCGTCGACACCTTGAGGAGATTCACTTCCTTCGCCAGAGGTGGTTGGCGGACAACGCTGGTCTTCACTTGGTGCAAGACGCCAGATCTAGATGCCCCTGTTGCAAATGCCATCGGCGAGAGACGTAGATATTTCGGATTGTCTAGATTGTTGAGAAGCAGTGGGGGGACATATACGGATGGAGTCAGGCGCACAGGAGGGCGTTGTGAGATGCTGGGACGGCGATCGGACGATTGGTTGATCGAATACCGAGGCTTAGCAGATGGAAGACCCGGCAAACCGTAGATCTTGACTGCTCGCCAATCCCCATTATCCTCCTCCTGCTCGTTGAATGTACCAAGATTAATTGACGAAAAGAGATTCGTTTGAGGTTCCTCAGTAGCCTCAATCTTCACCCAGTCGCCGGAGAAACAACCGATCTTCGCAAGTGTGCTGATATCCACATAGATGAATGACCCCGTGTCATCGTCTTCGCGAGGCTTGGGATGCAGGAGCTCAGCAGGGATCCCACGAAGGAGACCCTCCGCCTTGAAGACCTTGCCAGATGCTCTACCGCCCGGCCGCAAAGTGGTCGACGTGAAATTTGACGCAACGGATCCCGGGGTGTGATATCCATCAAGGCGCCGACCACCAGCACGAGGGGTAGCGGAAGTGATTGAAGACATGACTCCGGAAGGAGGCTGGGGGAGTTGCGGGGCCGACAGCGAAATCATGTCGTCCAGCGAATCATCCGAGGTATCGCTAACGTTGCCGGCCGAGTCCTCGGTTTCCGAGTCGTCCGGGGGTGTTGCGCTTTCCAATTCCGCCCCACTCTCGGTAGGCTTGTCTTCCGCAGCAGAATAAAACTGCTCGTTAGACGTATCATCCGCCTCATCTTCGGCGACCTGCTTGAGCAGACCGGACGTAGACCGTAGGCTTCTCTGCGCCCTCTGGCCCGGCGGGCGCGCTTGGATGAGAACAATCTTAGTTGTTGGAGCAAGTAAGCCCTGGGAGACAGGTTCGCAGAATGAGATACGGGCAGGAGGAGGCGCAGCGTAGGTGATTGGATGCGGTGGTAGCGGAAGCGGCAGTACATCGCCAGTATGCACCACCTTCTGTGTCCCGAGAGCCTCTCTGACCGCTGCGGTGAGTCTTTCCTCCGCGTCAGCCGCTGTCTTTTTGGAATATTTCTTCATCTCGAGACCCTTTCCGCCCTTTGCCCACATCCCGTTCGGGCCATGCGCATTTGTGGTAAACCCGCCTCCAAACTTGCTTTGGACATCATCGTGGTTCCGAAGCAAGTCCCGCTCAACCGTGACAAATACAGTGTCTAGATGCAGAGGAACAACGTCCAGAGCTCGGATCTCGACGACACGCTGCGCTTGTAGGGAGTGGCGCGTAGGATCAAGTTTGGTCAGGGTCTGGATGAATGGCTGTAGGGAATCTGCCGAGTCTGGGAAGAGCACCGTTGAGTGGGGGAGGGGAGCAGGATGAGAGCGATCCAGAGACTCCAACCTGACGGGAACGATCGTCCAGGCCAGATCCTCCACCGCGCTCGACCCAGGAGTATACGGCGAGATGGCGAGATAGCGGATTCCGGTGTCGTCTGCAGCCGGTTCTAAGAATTAGCAAGCGGACACACAACATGGGCCAAAAAAGACCCTTTCTGTGAGAGTATCCGCAAGGCCGCAATTCTCACTCACCTGTGACCGAGGGCGGCTGAAAGAGGTCGTTTGCCAGGTCATCCGACACAATGCCAATGCTCCCGCGCAGTTGGCTGTCCAGGGCCAGGCGCGCAGAGATGGGTGCCCTATTGCGCAGGCGCCGCTTGGCAATGTTTCGCCTTCTTCGCTTTGGCTGCTCAGCGGCCATATTGTGATGTTCGAAGTCCATACTGTCGGGGTGTAATGGTGTGTCCGGGGAAATCGCCGAGGTTAGAAGAGGGTGCAAGCTCGAGAGACCGAGGCGGATGGTGATTTTATTACAAGATCAACGGCTCATCTTTACCATCCCAGGGCCGTTGATATAAAGAGTCCAGCAAAGAAGGGCCTGAGATGTAGTCTATGTGATTGCGGGCAAAGGATGAGGGCTTGGAGAAGAGTCCGGGGGAAGTGAGTGACTGTTCGGCACCGCCCGAGCGTTCTGCCACTTCCCGAAGCCGAGGTCCAGCTGCTTCACGAGACCTAGTGATCAAGAAAGCATAGATCTGGGAAGGGTTTCATTATCAGGAAGAGTGAGATAATTATCAGAATGCAATACATCTGGAAGGTCAGTAGTAGCTCTACAACGAAAGAAGGCGGTAAGAGCGATTCTATTCCCATATTTCCATAAGGCTGCGTTTGAACCTCCCCCACAAAATGGTATCTTTTGCCTTCTCCGCCATCCAAAGTATTTTTATACCTCATATAGCTCTATGGCGAGTTCCTTATCAACAGACTTCTCCCTCATGGGGGCTATATAGTATATGCCCACCAGATCCTCTCTGTTTCGTATCAGCCTAATCATCCTGTTGACAGTCCTTATACTCAGTAAACAGCAAGAACATTCTGTTGATCTTAGAGAGCATCACAAATAGACAGTATGTACATCATCTGGTAGCTCTTACAACAGAGAGCCAACACCCAGCCCATAGCTCCCGATCAGCCCTGGCTCGCAATTTAAGCGTCTTGGTCTCGCAATTGGACTCAATGGCACGGCCGGACCAAGCGAATCACATTCTGGGCGGACATTATTTTAGACTGGCGTATAGTAGTACATCACAAGAAGCTGATATATGGTATGCTTCTCCATTAAGGTGCTACAAATGTCTCCAGATGAATGTTGATTCACCCTTATAGATGGTTGACTTGATGCTAGTCATCAAGAACTTCTATAAACTATATTATTATAATGCTAAGACATCCACACACATTATAGATGAGATCCTTAAACTAAAAGTAGTAGCTGAAGCTAACTAGCTAGATACTTACTGGGATTTCAGGGATGATATTAATATACTTCATGTTTCTGGACTTAAATAAGGGTTAGGTTATTAGAGATAATAGATTATGCAGTAATGCTAGACTAGATATTATTTTAGACTAGTGTATAGTAGTATATCACCAGAAGCTGATATATAGTATGCTTCTCCATTAAGGTGCTATAAATATCTCTGGATGAATATTGATTCACCCCTATAGATGGTTGACTTGATGCTAGTTAGCAAGAACTTCTATAAACTATATTATTATAATGCTGAGATGTTCACATGCATTATGGATGAGATCCTTAAACTAAAAGTAGTAGCTGAAGCTAACTAGCTAGATACTTACTGGGATTTTAGGGATGATGTTAATACACTTCATGTTTCTGGACTTAAATAAGGGTTAGGTTATTAGAGATAATGGATTATGCAGTAATACTAGACTAGATATTATTTTAGACTAGTGTATAGTAGTATATTACTAGAAGCTAATATATAGTATACTTCTCTATTAAGGTGCTATAAATATCTCTAGATGAATATTAATTCACCCCTATAGATAGTTAACTTAATGCTAGTTAGCAAGGACTTCTATAAACTATATTATTATAATACTAAGATGTTTATATGTATTATAGATGAGATCCTTAAACTAAAAGTAGTAGCTAAAGCTAACTAACTAGATACTTACTGGGATTTCAGGGATAATATTAATATACTCTATGTTTCTGGACTTAAATAAGGGTTAGGTTATTAGAGATAATGGATTGTGCAGTAATACTAAACTAGATATTATTTTAGACTAGTGTATAGTAGTACATCACCAGAAGCTGATATATGGTATGCTTCTCTATTTAGGTGCTACAAATGTCTCCTGATGAATGTTGATTCACCCCCGTAGAAGGTCAACTTGATGCTAGTCAGCAAGGACTTCTATGAACTACATTATCGTAATGCTGAGCATCTTGAACAGGGGGGTTCAAATTCGGAGTTTGTCCGGCGTGCGGTATGCATACGTAGTATACCCGGGGGTATTCTAGCACGACATTCATCTGCACCTCGCGATTTATTAACAGCCCTTCTTTGAATGCTAGACGAGATGGATATCGAGGCCACGATCTAAGATGATAAGGGGATCACTTGGAGCACACTAATTTTGGGGATAGACCGTCATCGTTGATCGTTCTGAGGAGATGCGCCTACGCAATCCTAGCTATATTTGGTATGCTCCAATGGGTCAACGGAGTATACTGCAAGTGCCCAATGTATGGTGCGAAGCAGATGATAAGAGTCGCAGAGCTTCCTGAGGTCACTTCTTCACAGAAGGGCAGTGAGACTGGGCAGTGCCTGGATTAGCGAAGCTTGGGTGTGATGACAGTGTCGACGGCTTCAGGCAGTACAATTCCATTAGCTTAGTGCAGAATCATTAAAAGTGCATACCTATATAGATGTAGGCATCGACTTTTTGATTGAGGGGATTGCGCGGACAACGCGTGGAAGAAACAATCAGGAGATGATGGCTCTAAGGAGACTATCTAGACAACGAAGGTACCAGCAGTAGTTCGATCTAGTACCCGGAGAATGCTGTAGCCTACCCTGGAATAGAACAGTTGTCGCAATGCCTCGGGGTACTCGGGGTACACGGTACAAGGGGTTAGGTGACAAGCATCGAAAGTCTCTAGCTAATCCGGGATGTCCGAGAGCAAAAAAATAGAAGACCAGGTCAGAGGACAGGGGCACCACCGATCACTGCGCCGAGCAGATGAATCTGGGCTTGATAATTCCGCAGGGTACCGAGTTTCTGGATATTGTGTTGGCAGGGATTCGAATCGAATGCAACAAGATTCAATGGAAGAAAAACGGTTGTTTGATTTGATGGACCTGGAATCTCTTTTACAGGTGGCAGACATATTATTATTTGAGAGGAAGAGAAAATGAGCCATGGACCATGCCAATGGAAGTTCGACTGCAAAGTTGCGCTTATGAGAGTTGGACATCCCTTTATGATAGTGTAAGCCAGTAAGCAACATCCCACTTGTGGCGGAGTCGGAGTATCTGCCACGCTGTTTACAGTAGTGTTCATTGCAGTTCTTTTGCAGCTACTGTAGTAGACTGTTCCCCAGTCATTTTTCGTTCGATCATTTGATGAGAGAAACAAATACAAAAGCTGATGGGAGTGGGACAGTGGCCTTCTAGATTCCCGCCTCCTCCTGTCATGCACAATATGCACCAAGCCACCAACAGACAAGGACGATATCTCGGGAACAGTCACCGACATATCAAGACTCTCCAAGGAATATGATTGGACTGAGGCGCATAATGAGCGGTCGACGATGCGGACTAGAAGATGAGGCTCGTAGACATCCTCCGCACATAGCCACCGACGTGCATGGTGGCACGACGAGATGCAGCCAGTGCTACGGAGTACTGGTAGTTAGATAGAACTTGAGTAGTTTAGTAGTAGCCTGCATTACTTTAGTGTGTCAAAAAGGATGAGAACAAGTTACAAATACGAATCCAGCAGGTGTTGGTTGTTGTTGTTGGTGGTGGTGGTCTTTTCAATCGACGCCCACTGGCTACGAGGCTCTTGCTCACTGGACAAAGAAGGGTGTTGGAAAGCGGAAGATCAACAAATCAGTCAATCCCAACTTCCCAAGATCTCACCCCCTCAACTTCAAGTCTTCAAGTAACCTGCTTGTCAAATTTTAGTGTTCTCAACAAGAATTGAACCCTGTTCGAAAAGGGGCCAGTCCGAGATGGAAAAGTGAGACATCCCTCGCGTCTAGAGGAGTGGCTACTGGCTACTACTACTTGCTGTCCAAAAGGTCCTCAGAACTTAGAAGAGAATGGCCCTGAAACGGTTAGGTTGCGGACTTGCGGCTCTCTCGCGGTCGGCGTCCCAAAGTGTCCGACTCCGCTGGTATTGTATTTTTCGGATCATGGAACTGTCCGGCCCGTTCACGTTTCACACTAGGAACAGGCAGTGCAATACAGAAATGATACATTGTTACCACTCGACAAAGAGACAGTGCCCCTTTATTTCAGGGAATGGTTAACTACTGACAGCGACTCCCGAGTGACGATTATTCCAACGACTGTGGGTTTCCAAGATTAGTAAAGACGACGGGAGATGCTTTGGATTGACAATGTAAACTCATCATCATTGTCGAATTGTATCACAATTCTAGACGATGCTGAATACACAATAAATACACCGTAAAAGATTACATAGGTTTACCACATCAGAGGACAGAGACAACAATAAATACCGCTAAGTGACTGCGCCGATGACTGATAAGGTAAAGCGCCAGTTGAAATGGGTCATCAATGATCATTGAGTGTAAGCAGGCCAATCAGAGTAAAGAACAACCCGACCACACCTTCCCTATCTCAGCCTAGCGTGCTCGTCTATCAGGCAGACACCTGAACGTCGTCGAAGCCGCCGCAGCCTGCGGTCCAACAGGTCCGCTGCTGGGCCAAAACGGCCTCCCAGCGCCTGCTGAGGTTGTCCTGCTCATACCATCATCATCATCAATAATCATCCATCCTCGCTGTCTTGTCTATCTATCCATCTATCCATCTATCTATCCACCCTATCGCATTCCATTCATCCCATCCATTTTTCTTTTTTCATCATCCTCCCCCGCCTGTGAGTTCGATTTTTGCTATTCCCTCTTTAATTTTCGTTTAATTATCGCATTTGCCGTTGTTGTTATTGTCCAAAGTATCCATCTACTTGTACCAAGAGGACAAGAGAGAGTGAGAGAGGTATTGGGACAACAAGGCCCGCCATAAGTCTTCCCATAGACTGCTCGATCCCTCGTTATATGCCTTCTCATCCGACCCGTCTCAATCATACTTCTACTCCATCCGACCACGTTTCTATATCACATTCATATTTGTTCTCCATCGCCTTTCATTTATCAATCCATCCATCGTCCAGGACAGTGGTCTCCATCTCATCGTGAGCCCGCTATCAACGAGCACTTCATCCATCTCAACCAAACGTGCAACATCCTACAGAGCACTGCATCGCTGCCATCGCCAACTCATCAGCATTCTTCCATCACAGTGAGTGCCGTGGCTCTATTCAACTATATATCCTCCAGCTACTGCTGCTGCTGTTGCTCGACACTTAATCAGGCTAACTTCGAATAGACACCGCGCCATTGACTCGCATGTACGTCATTTGCATCGCTCAAAACAATCATCGCTTCGAATTCATTTGATTACTCCGCGTGTGAGTGAGTCACCGCAGCTGGTCAGCATCCGCGCTACCCTGTTCGCTTCCGCTGACCTGCGAAGTCTGTCTTCTCTTGTGACTCGTGCTTGCCTCTCAGCCATGTCTGCTCCCCAGGCTGAGCCGACCCGGATTCATCCGCGTCGCCGGCCCTTAAAGACAGCACCTCCCTCCCTCATCACGTCCGCATCTCCTGAAAGCCATGATGGTCCTTCGAGTCCGTATTTGAGAAGGGCAGAGACATTCCACTCGCCTTCCCCAGCTTCAGGAGATCAGGATCCGGTCCTTAACTTCCGGACCCTTCCCCGTCGCTCTCCTACATGCCCCAGAAGCCTCGAGGCTATCGCCGCCGGAGAGCAGCGCATGGCCAACATCTTGAACCACCTTGACCTTGACTCTCTTGATGCCACCGGTCCACTCAACTCTTCTAGCGACAACGACCTTCCTGTCCCTCGAGGTGTTCTCCAAGCTCACTTCGACTCGGAACCATTGGCGGATAAGCCCACCAAGCGTCCACACTCGCCCCAGATGGAGCCTCCCCGCAAGGTCCGCAAAAGCCATTCCCATGCCTCGGATAGTGGGTTGGGCACCTCCCTCGGAAGTGAAGCCCTGTCAGCATCCAACAAGAGTAAAGGTATGTTTCAGACCATCACTTTCCCCGCTCTGCGACATCCACTAATAGTTCGGCTACAGTGAAAGCTGGACAGCTGTCCTTTGAGCCCCAAGTGTCTGGCATGTCTGGCTCTCAGATGACCCAGTCAGCCATTACCAGTTCGATCTCTGCGATCAACCCTAAGCAAATCGCGAAGTACCAATTGGGCGCGCGTGCTTGCAAGCAGATAGAAAAGAACCTCCTTGTTCCGATTCTCGGTGAGGAGAAACTCAAAGCATTCCACCCACTTGTTCGCAGTGTTCCTCAGCGGATCGTCAGTAAAGAAATCAACTGCCTCCGTGATCTTGAAAAGACACTCCTGTGGCTCGCTCCGGTAAGTGGATTTCAGGCAAAAGGCGTTTGGTGCACTGCTCATTGTTTTTATTCGGTTTGAAGCATTATGCGACCACCAGGGCGTCGTATATCGGCTTTTGCGAGTTTACGATTCAGTGTCTTTATTCGACTGTTCAGCATCTCAACTCTCGCGATCAACGGCTGCCAACAGACCGGCCTTACACTAACGGCTACTTCCTTGACCTCGTCGCACAGATTCACCAGTACGCAGCAATGATCAATGCATCGCGAAACCAGATGTCTTCCAACGAGAAGCCAGCACGGGCTAGTGCCTCGAGGTATATTCTTACCCACTTCTCTCGAATTGTTGTATGCATTTAACCATCCCAGTAGTGACCCTGTGACATTGGAAGGCGGGTTGTCCAAGAATGGACGACCTGCTGAACTCGTAGTTCACAAAGACGGCGAAATGATTTCACTACGCACCGGAAAGCCCTATGAGGAGGGCGCCACACCCTCGATCAAGCGTTCTCTGAGCATTGGATCCGTCGATGAGGGTGTCGAACGGTCCATGGCTCGTCGCAAGAAGAATGCTCCTCCAATGGACATTAATCAAAAGTGCAAGGACTGTGACAAAGTCTTCAAGCGACCCTGCGATCTGACGTGAGCCTTCCCGTTCCCCTCATTTGTTTTTCATTAGTGGCATGCTGACTCTCTGCCAGGAAACACGAGAAGACCCATTCGCGGCCGTGGAAGTGCAACGACGACTCCTGCAAGTATTTCGAGGTTGGATGGCCCACAGAAAAGGAGCGAGATCGTCACATCAATGACAAGCACTCTAAAGCACCCGCTCTGTACAAATGTACCTTCGCGCCCTGTAGCTATCAGTCGAAGAGAGAGAGCAACTGCAAGCAGCACATGGAGAAGGCGCATGGCTGGGTCTATGTGCGTTCTAAGCATAATGGCAGAAATAGCAAGAAAGCATCTACGAGAGCCGCCTCGCAGACGCCTAGCATTGCGACTCCAAGCTCAAAGGCTCAGGAGATCCTCACCCCTGCCACCCGTCCTACTCCTTCGCCATTCGAGTCTGTCGCTTCTTACCCACAAAATCCACCCTTCTCGTTTGCCGATCCTCCCACGCAGACCGCCAGTGAAGATTTCCCGCTCTTCACCGAGACCGGCCCTTATGCGGATCTTGCTGGTGGAGTGAATGCTTTTAGTCCGCTACCGACCACTTCATTGGATTTCCAGGCGTTCCAGTCCCAGCTGGAAGCAGCAGATCCCAATGGTCTGATTCTTCCGTCGGACTTCCAGCGCCAATCTCTAGACTCTGCATCACCGGTTCCAGATCTGGTTGCCACATCCATGGGTTTCGATGGCTCTCCCATTGCATCCACCGACACCAGCAGCTTGAACTTCGACTTGGATTGGAACCAGCTCGAGGTGCAGAATCTGGACGAGGAGTTCACGACTCTGAATATGCAGCTGCTCACACCACCTAGCTCATCCGAGGTCAATGCGTTGAACTCCTTCTCCCGAGACCCGTCTATTTCCAATGCCTCGCCACTGCAGCACTCCGGTCTCCCGTTCTATTCTCCCAGTCACTGCCATATGGACGAAGGGGTGGCGGGTCTGCAGGAGCACACCGAACAGAAGAAGCTGGATTTCCCTCTGTATGGACACCAGGCCAATCTCGGACTCGGTGCGATGGACATGTCCCATCCGTGCCACCTGCCCGGCATGCAGAACCTTGACCAGATGTTTCCTCCGCTCGATGTCCAGGACAGTATCGCTTACATGAATCAAGGGTGGCCACAGGATGTTGATATGGATCTTTTCTAAAATGCCAAAATGACTTGGATGTTCTGTCGTCGCTCGTTTTCTCTGCGCCGTTTGCTTTTGGAGTTTGGGACCTATCTGGTTTGGCGTCTGTTCTTTTGTGCTTTTGGAAGCGTGTCTCCTTATACGCTAGAGGATCGGCAATCCCTGGCAACTTTCGACCTTGCTGGCTCTCTGCTTTGACTGTCACTCTCCACTGTTCTGCGTTGCTCGGAGGTGGCCCTCACAAGAATCGAACTCACGGGGGTGGGACACTGTCCGCTCCCTTGATTAATTGGTTATGCTTGGCTTGAATTGGCTCTTGTATACAAGGATAATTGACTATGCTATTGTTTATATGTATTCCGTTGGTCCACCCTGTTTCATTGAGCGATCTTCCTGGCTTCAGATCAGATGAGTGTTCTGCCAATCACTCCCACTACGGGGAATTTATCTCATTCAATCCTTCCCCCCAGGAATCATGTAGTCTTGCTAAGGCTAGGCGTAAGCTCGTAAGATCTTCAGAATTAATTGGACAGTCGAGTCCGGCCGAGTCTCACGTGTCTGAGACTCTTCTGGGTATCAACTATCGACGATGCCTTTCTAGGGAAAAAGTATGCACACATAGCGGGGCTACAGGGCTGAGACCCCCAGCTGGACGTGTTCGGACTCAGTGGGACTGCAAGGAAAATACTGTTATAGGAGAATCGAGGACCAGTCAGTTGAACTCCGTACAAGGGGAACAGGAGTCTATACTATGGAGTACTACAAATTAGACTAGGTAGCCACATTTCGGTTGGCTGGTGGATAATTAATGGATTTGTCACTGGCTGGAAGGAAGAACTGACGACGCTCAACTCTCCTCCTGTGAGTTCACGGTTCCTCGCTTCCTCCTCAAAGTTGTCGACTCTATTTCCTCATATTAGTGGACTTTCTTCCTTCTTGAAGAAAGCTCTTAATTATTTATTGTTCTACTCCTTTTGTTCTCTGTAGCATTATCTCCAGAGAGTATCTTCTCTCCCAGCAAGACAAAAAGCGACGAGTCCTGCCCGCTTGGCATTGGATCGCAGAGACGTCATCCCCCTCCTACCCCGAAAATCAACGACTCTTGTGCCAGCATATTAGGCAGACGGATTCCGACCATCTCGCATCCGAGGCTGAATCTCTGTCGCATCTCCGTCTCTCATCCCAGAATTGTTACTCGAGTCTGAAACGGAAAAGAAGAAAAAAAAAAGAAAAGCAAGCAAACAATCAAGATTGAAGCATAATCTCCCCCCCCCCCCCAGGTCCCTGGCTCAAGCACCATGCTTGACGCGAACCCCTCCTCCCAAGCTCCCGACCGGCTCTCAAACGGATTCCCTCAGCCAGTCGGTCGACCCTTATCGACTTATACCCCGCCAGGCCAGATCCTGACGGGGAAGCAAGAACACTGTCAGCAATAAATTCACCCCCTTTTTCGTGTTCTACCCCCACTGCTTGGTGGGGTTGGAATGCTGGATTGCCTTTGCTGACCCTCCCCTGCCGCGGTATAGACCTCAAGCGCGAGCTGATCGCCCGGCAAGTCCGTAATGAGATCACCGAATTGAACTCGCCGACCGCCCTGCACCGCTTTGGGGCGCCCTTCAAGTCGGAGTACGGTGAAGTCGCCCCCGTCGATTCGGAGCTGCCTATTCTTCGATATATCTTTGTGCATCACGTGCGCCGGTTTCCGTTCCTCGACCAGGCGCGCGAGAAGGAGTTCTGGCAGGATAAGTTGCAAGTGGTGCGTGTTCCTAGGTCGGGGGTTGTTGATGTGGGATTCATGCAGGGGCAAAGGAAATTGTGGGCTAACGATTCGTTTCGTTGGGAATAGTTTCTGGAATCGTTCGCGAAGAAACACGTCTCATCTTCCGAAGACCGTCTCGAGGAAACTAAGCGCAGGAAGCTGGCGCGGAAATGTGAGAAACTTGTCGAGCTGATGATGGTGTCGGGCATCCCCACAGCTTCCGGGTATGAGGAGCGGATACAGTTCTCGGAGATGGAGGTGGTGGATCGAGGTGCGAATGAGAAGGGGCTTCTGGTTAATATGCCCGAGGGGCACGCCATCCATGGCTGGGACGTCAACGTTGCTGCGGTGCGGGTGACGTCGGTCAAGCGGACGGTGCGGTACCATCAGCATGCGGTGAGTGGATATTGGATGGATGGAATTTTGAATGTTTGGCGGAACGCCCGGCTGATGGTCTTTTAGGAATTCATCCTCCGTGTACGACGTGAGGGCAAGCCCGACATATTCGTGGCCAGGCGATATGGGGAGTTTGTGAAGCTGCATAAGAGACTGCGACACGAGTTTCCTGGCAAGACATTGTCCCCTCTTCCGAGGAAGAACAAGACATCGACCGCTGCGAGCTTCTTTGGCTCGGCGGATGACGATGATGCCTCCATCTCATCTGTGTCGACGCAGGGCACAACTGAAGGATACAGTGGTCGGACGCTCGCTCCAGGAAACCACCACCATCGCTCGTTGTCCCGATCTTCGATGCGGTCTACCAAATCCGCCAGAGTTTCAGGAGAAAATCCGAGAGAAGCAGTGCTCTACAGAGAGGAACAGCGGGTCTCCCTTCGAGCATTCCTTCGCACCTTGCTGCAGAACAACCGGATAGCCGAGTCAAAGGCCATAGAAGAATTTTTGACTGCGCAACCGATCACTTTGAATGAAGAGGAGACAATAGACATGAACAAAAGAAAGGAATTGGACGCCATCAGGATCGAGGAGCAGAAACGATTCTACGAGATTGCAAGACAGCGTGCAGCGGAGTTGGATGTCTACATGGAGAAGTTTCGCCGCGATATTGTGGAGAGCAGTAAGTGTCATCCTTCCAGACACACTGGGACTTGATCTAACCGACTAATCTTGGGATCTAGACGGCCTGACAAAGTTGTTCTCTGAGATTCGTGAGAAGAATACCATCGCGGAGTTGAGTCCTCAGTATCAAAAGTTCGCTGAGTGGCTTCGGATCGAGTGCGTTAATCACCATTCTCAATGACAGTGACAGTCACTAATCAAATTGACAGGGTTGCCGCGACCATCTACCACCTGTTTCTGGCCGAAGACAACTCCCCCGAGCTGTTCGCACAGGCTAAGAGGATACATTCCCTTGTTCCCTACACTTTGATGAAGAATGTCATCCGCATCGCCAATCCCGCGGCGGTGATGACTGGTGTCCTGGATCTTTTCCTCGCCCAGCCGTTTGGATCGCGGTCTCTCCTCCAGCGTATCTTTTCAATAGCGCTGAACGACGGCATCAAGCAATTCCAGAAGTCAATCGATGCGCTGGTCGCCAAGGTTGATGACCCTATCCTGGCTGGAAAGCTCAAGGCCTTTACAAATGCCGATGAGGATGTCAAGAACGAAATCAGGGAAGAAGCTGTTGCTGAGGATGTGGACTTGATCGTGGCAATTCTGCGATCAGAACTCTTACAGCCCGAGATTACCCCCGAGCAGGTTGGCAAAGTATTCAACGCTTACGTCGCCTGGAATCATGCTGTAGACAATGTGGACCTCGAGATGCAAGAAGGAGCGCAGTGGTTTGCAAATATGAAGCAGCTGCTGAAACTCTACACCCGACAACGCGACAAGGCCATGATGCTCAGCATCGTCGAGGAACCGGTCACGCTTCAGTTATTCCGGGATCTATTTACTATCTTCTACGAGCCTCTGGTGCGCGTTTACAAGTCTGCAAATGTATACAGCAGTATCACCGACTTTGCACAATTCGCCGACGACGCAATCGCCGTCATTGAAAAGTGCCAGCGGCAAGACGTGTCCGCTGATCCCAACCAGACCGTCCAGGCTTTCATTGATCTGTGTGAGCGTCACCAGGATAACTTCTACAAGTTCATCCACGAAGTACATCTCCATGATAATGGACTGTTTGGTTCCTTGATGGCTTGGATTGAAGACATTCTGGAGTTTCTGCGTCGTGGACCTCATGGGGGAAAGCTTGACATGAACGCCCTGCTTCATGGAGCCAAGGATGTCGGCCAGATCGACGAGTCCAAAGCCCTCGCAGAGATCGACTCACTGATCAAATGGCACGCGGATCGAAAGCGCTGGCATTTGAATAAGACGCGGCAGAAGATGGCTGCGGAAGGAACTGGGAACGAGACCTTTCCTGGCAGCTCAACCTTCCGGAGCAGTGATTTTGGCTTAGACGAGGTATGTATTTGTGGAAAGGCTATTGAGGAGTGCTTTTCGTGTCTAACTGCAATCCAGGCCGATCTTGAAGACCTTGCCATCTCTGACGACGGATCGGAACAGTCTGAGGAACTGGAAGAAGAGGACGACGTTGATCCTATCACGGCCGAGCGACGCCGCCGCCACAAGAAACAAGACCACCTGCGACGTACTGCAGGAGAGCCAGTGAAACCGGAGGTCCAGGAGATTCTCAAGCTATCGGAGCCGTTTGGGGCCATGTTGCGACAGGTACTTGCGGAATAAGTGTGTAGCTTGGGGTGATGATACCGCTGCGGATGATCTTTTGAGTACCATTCTTGTGGTTTGCATTTTCACATTTATAGATAATCGCATAGAATTTATAGCTTCCGAGTTAATATAATTGCCACATGATGGATGGGTTGTTGTCGGATTTTGCTTACGTTCTCCTTCCCATTCGGCACATGACCTTGACTCAACTTTTTCTGAAGCACATCTATCTGCTACTTACACAGTCGGTCAAACATCCATCATCTCCTTTGGTTTCACTCTATCTGACTGAAGTTCTAACCGACACCGAACCACTATCGGCATAGTGGAGATCAGCGAACGGACTATCGTAAAGATCTCCTCCCCGCATTGTGACGTTGGCTTATCAGTTTCCATAGCGACAAGCAAAGTCCCCAGCTGCCAAATTCAAACCCATCGCCCCCCCTGATGCTTCACGTGTCATCATCATGTAATGTGAGATACTATATCATCGCTACAGCCATGCTTTCTCCCCAGAAATCCGCCGTCGGCGGCCTTTCGCCTCGCACCGCCGTCCCGCTACGGGGTCTCTTCCTCGACGGCGTCTGGAGGTGCAACTGCCCCGAGCGGCCGCCGGCGGTTAAGCTCCAGACAAAGAACCATGGAGTCAACCATGGTAGATGGTGTATGTCCACCCCCCCCCTTTTAATCTCCAACCGAGACACCATAAAGATGTACGCTGGGAAAAGGAAAAGAAGCCGATGCTAAGTTATCCGCCAGTCTACACCTGTCAGAAACCGCAAAACAAGCGCTGCAACTTCTTCCTCTGGCACAGCGACGCCGAGGCCCGCGAGAAGCACACCGTTCTGGCCAACTCGCGCTCCGAACCCGGCTCCGCGGCCGCGACGCCGACTAAGGTCCAGCCCCAACGATTCGCGAACGGTCTCCCCACGCCTCAGACGGATGTGAAGGTGAGGTTCGGCTACTCGCCCGCTTCCATGCCCGCGCCTACGCCCGCGAAGACGGGTAAGGCGAGGATGATGCGGAGGATACGGAGGTTACGAAGCTGCTTGGGCGGCCGCGACAGCCGAATTTTGGGCTCGGGGGTGAAGGTGGAGGTGGAGGTAGGGTTGGGGCTGGGGCTGGGGCTGGGGCTGGGGTGAGGAACGGGGGAAGCAGAGGCGGAGGCGGAGGCGGAGGCCAGGATGGACCGCGTAAGGCCGCGCGTACGGAAACCTATGCGTCGCCTGGCAAGAGGAAGCTATCGGAGATGGAGGATGAGAGGGGGGGTAGCTTTGTCTCGATGACGCCGACGTTGGTCTCCTCACCGCGGACGGGGACGGGGATGGGGACGGGGCTAGAGCTAGGCGCGGGGAGCCGGTTGCCGCCGCCGTCGTCGGCGGAGATCTCGATGACTCCGACACCGACGCCTGGGAGGTTCAGGAATGTGCTGGAGGCGGATGTGGGTGGGGATTCGTCGAAGCTTGCGCTTCAGGCGTTGAAGATCCTGGAGGCGCACAAGGTGGTGGTGCCGAAGCAGGCGCAGGATGAGCTGATGGGGCTTCTGAACAGGCAAGATCTGAAGATGAAAGGTATCAGCCGTGGGCGGGACATTTCGCGCATTGCGCTGAAGAAGAAAGACGAGACAATCATGAGACTGAATGAGAGAATCGCGAGCCTGGAGTCGCAGAGGGAAATGGATAGGGCGGTGATTGATGGCTTGAGGGGTCGCTGATTGAGCTTGCTTCGAGCAGGTAGTCGGGAGGGAAGGGAGATTGTGTTTATGATACCCAAGCTGGCAATGTAAGTATTTTTTATTTTTCTATGACCTTTTTATCTTGTTTGCATTTGAGTTGTTCTATACCAGTGCTACTATGGAGGTATGTCTTTATGTGCTGCTGTGACCTTTCTTAACGCTGGGTATATTCCATTACAACAGTACAATATATATATAGTAAAGAGACATTACGCAAATACTGTATGAGGTAACTGAATTCATCATCTTCTTAGAAGAACTGGTCTCTTCCTATCCCAGGAGTCTACATAGGACTACTATAACCTGTCACGTGACCGATAAGATCCTTGGACGATGAATAGAGAGAAAAAAGATGAGTCTTTCCCCCGCTATAGACGAAGAACTACCAAAACAAGAATAGAAACGCAAAGCACATTGATGCCTTATAATCCATAATCAGATTGAACACACGCACCCAGTATACCATATAAACTCGCGTCGTCCATGGACCCCATGAGCGACTCCAATTCGCTCCGCAGCAGCGACCTCCCCGAAATGTTTCGACCCCCGGTGAACCGCGCGATGCGCGTCCTCGACCGCTCGTTCTTCCGCAAGACGATCCCGCTCTCGGCCGCGACGGTGTTTCAGAACTCGGATATCTCGAAGGTGCGCGGCGAGTTACACAAGAGCAAGGATCTGCTGACGCTGCCGCGGCTCACGTCCATCCGGGACGTGGCCGAGCAGGACGGCGGGCAGGTGAAGAAGGCGCTGCTGCTGCGCGAGGAGATCAAGCATGACGAGGCGGCGACGTGGTCGCCCACGATCAACGAGTTGGTGGAGAAGGGGAAGGTCGGGCTGCGGCCGTATGAGCTGACGCTGGACTACGATTACTGGACGTATGCGGACATCATCTCGTCGATTCTGCCGGAGGACGAGCTGCAGGAGATCCCGCAGGGGTTCACGCAGGTGGGGCATGTGCTGCATCTGAACCTGCGTGAGCAGTATCTGCCGTACAAGCATCTGATTGCGGAGATCCTCATGGATAAGAACAAGGCGGTGCGGACGGTGATCAACAAGACGGAGGATGTGGGGTCGCAGAGCCAGTTCCGCACCTTCCCGTTTGAGCTGCTGGCGGGTGAGAATGACTTGAATGTCGTGCAGCACGAGCAGGACTGTGAGTTCCGCTTCGACTATGCGCGCGTGTACTGGAACAGCCGTCTGGAGACGGAGCACCGGCGGCTCGTGGAGAAGTTCAACCAGGGTGAGATGGTGTGCGATGTGATGGCGGGCGTAGGCCCGTTTGCCGTGCCAGCGGGCCGCAAGAAGATCTTTGTCTGGGCGAATGACCTCAACCCGCATGGGTACGAGGTCATGCAGGACGCCGTCAAGCGGAATAAGGTGGAGGGGTTCGTCACGCCGTTCAACAAGGACGGCCGCGAGTTCATCCGTTGGTCTGCGCAGGAGCTGCTTGAGGCCGAACCCGTGACCATCACGATTCACCCCAAGGTGCGGCGGGACAAGAAGACAGGGAAGCGAGTGGAGCAGGCGCCGCCGCCCCATCCGGAAGAGTATCACCGGCCCCTGTTCTTCGACCACTACGTGATGAATCTTCCAGCGACGGCGATTGAGTTCCTCGATGCGTTTGCCGGAGTCTACGCGGGCAAGGAGTCGCTATTTGCCCCGCAGACTTCTCAGCGCCTGCCCATGGTTCATGTGTATTGCTTCTCGGGCCATTCGGAGAATGAGTTGGACGACCACATCGACATCTGCCAGCGCATCTCCGAGCGAATCGGCTACACCATCACGCCGGAAGATCGGGTCGGCGGCAGTGGGAACGAGAGCCTGGAGTTGTCCATCCACAATGTCCGACTGGTCAGTCCTAAGAAGCAGATGTTCTGCGCTAGCTTCCGCCTGCCTGCCGAGGTTGCCTTTCGGAAAATATGATTTACAAGCTACGGGGCGTGTTATCTAGCGGTAGTCCTCGCATAGCATGAGGCGTTGGGATTTGGTATATTCTTTGGTAGAGTCGTAGTCGACGAATCTGATACCCTCAATATTTCTGTGGTGGACTTGTATGGGAGTAGCAAGCAGTATTCCATAATCCACATGTCTTCAGGGAAAAGCTGAAAAAATAAAAGGGAAAGCGGTATGCTCCCACACCGCCTCATACTGCCCGCAAAACATCCACGAAGTTTTCCCGCTCCGCATCACCTCCCACGACACCTATCACCAACAACAATCCTAGAACCGGATCTCTCGCCCTTACGAAACGAAACAGCTCACTCCGCCACTCCACGATCAATCCCCTACTGCCAACTCCCTCATCATGAGCGTCCAACTGCCCCCCGCCACACACCGCAAACGCACCCTCCCGCAAGGCGAGCTCGAAGCCGCCTCGACGCTGAAACTCGGCGCGGACCAAAACACTCACACGCTCTCGCTCTCCGAGGCGCGGCTGGTCATCAACAAAGTCCTCGAGAATAAGCGCCGGGGCGGCAAGAAATACGAGGAACCGGAGTATGTTGTGCTATTCTGCTCCAGCTGTTTTGATATAGTTCAAGGTTAAGAGGGGGGGGGAGGAGGGGGGAGACATGTGAATGTGAGGCTGATCGCGCGGAACAAATAGAAACCTCACCAAGACGCTGGACTACCTCGAGGTGTTTGCGCGGTTCAAGGACGAGGAGAATATCAAGGCGGTGGAGCGCTTGCTGAACTCGCATACGGAACTGGAGATGTTTGAGCGGTCGCAGCTGGGTATGATTTTTGCCTTTCTCTCTCTTTCGAAAAAACGAAGGGGAAAAAAAAAATCATTGCTGACGGGGGACAGGGAGTCTGTGCTGCGATAATGCTGAGGAGGCTAAGTCACTGATTCCGAGTCTGCAGCATAAGATCTCGGATGGGGAGTTGCAGGAGCTGTTGGATGAGTTGACCAAGTTGCGCAATTTCACCGAGTAGGGCTAGCGCATTGGGTAATGGATGGCATTTTTTTTTTGCTTTGCGGGGGTTGTGGCTTTTGTCTGGATAGCATGGAGCTTTTGGGCGTTTTTATTTTTCTTTTCCTTTTTTTCTTCTTGTTTGAGGCATACCTGTGGAGGAATGATTGCATGGATAAGGCATGTACAGTTAGTCCTATGCTGAAGAAGTCCTTTCAGACTGTGTCAATGACGGTGAAGTATAAAGTCACGTGTTTTGGTGGAGGAGATCGAGGGCTGATTCTGGTCAAGACCAGAGTAGAGAGAATACTAGACAGGGAGTCTGGGCTTACCGAGCGGTTCAACCCTTTGATCTACGATAGGTGACGTTGTGATTTCTTTTGCTCAACGCGAGGCCAAGGTACCCAACTACGACGTCTCTACATGCACCGTGATGGTATGATTGACAAAGTACAGAGCCGGAACCCAGGGTAAAATGAATGACTTCGAAGATGCTTTCAATTTGCAATTCGAACACCCTCACCACAGGCTCATTGAGGGGCATTTCATATCTATTCAGGGAATGTACCGAGAGACTGACAAGGAACCGTTAGCCACCAATGTAAGCATCGAGTTCCTCACGACGATGTGCTATCACTCTGGTATGGAATATCCCAAGCTCCAGAGTCATCTATCTTCACGACGAGTCCCGCTCTGCAGTACATATAGCCTAGCCTCCTGTTTTGAGATTGACATATGTGTGACCGAGGATGCCCAACATCGGATGGCCTCCGTAGATATCAAGAAATCAATCAGCTCATATGGCTCGAATGGCAGGATGACGATGGCAACAACTGATTTTGATACTAATGAGGATACGTCGTGCAAGGACCACTGAGAACCACAACGCCGCCTTTGATCTCAAGGTAATCCGTGATGTTTGTGGCTAGCCACCGAGACCTCGACGGGCAACCCATGGAACGCTAAGACCGACAGGATAGAGACCGCGGTACTGGGTGCTCACAGGTAAGCAGCATCCTTACAGGCGGTGGATAGGGCATCGGATGATTATCCAGTTGTTTTTGCATCTGTCCAAAGAGGACGACGGATGCCAGGACGACAGGATCACTTTGGATACATAGGGATAGAATCATCGGACAGCCTGGACAGGATATACTGGTGTCTTGTAGGGTATGACTAAGCCGAGGCAGAAATTAGAGTGCTCATCAGCTAACTAAAATAAGAACGGCGAGAGTCTTGGCGTGCATGGCGATTTGCTCGGTATTCCGGAGATAGTTGACTAAAGGAATGGCAGAGAACGTAGTACGTAAAGCAGGATGAAAAGATGAATGCTTTTTCAAGGTATGGAGGACTTCTAGGTATCATCTCGGTACGAGACTATGACAGTAGGTACTAAGGTACTGTATGAGAGTCTATGACTGACTGATTTGACTCTGGCTGGGCCAGAGCTTCTCAGGACGGACGGAGCAGTGCTGCCCGAGATGAACCAGACCAATGGGACCCAGGCTAATATATCAGGATTGGATATTGTTAGAGCCGGACTAACCGCATGAGGATAGGTGGGATGTGGAGAAAAACAGCAGGAAAGAACCAGCTGCAAGGGGCCGATCCCCGTTGCAGTCCAGACCCGATTGGGAGGATTACGGGTGGTGTGATTGGAGCAGAAGAACACGTTATCAGAGCAGTGTGATTGGCTGAGATGCTCCTGGCTGTCCTTTGATAGGTTTGACTAGTACTGAGACTCCCATTATGGCTTGAACTTACTAAGTTAGAAGAGGCGATCTAGGAGATACAGACCCATCAACCACAATACATACTCTACCTACATGGATACATATAGGTTATCTCCCATTCAAAGATCCGGACAGGACCAACTGGGGAGTGGGAGCAGTACTGTTTCCCATGAAGTGAACTTAGTACCTAATGAACCAGACCTATCGTGCTGAGTCAACCTCCCCAGGGATCGAATTCACAGTACGTAATCTGTCGAAAGGTGGTGATGACCCCGGTCCAATCAAGGGTGGAGGGCTTATCTCGGGAGGCAAGACGATGGACGCAGCCAGCGACCAAGACGGGAATCCATCCATCTTCCATACAATCTGTTACGTGTGGGAAAAGCGAAGTCGAGATGATCGCATGGAGAGAGTCGGGATCTTGTTGGAGTGTTGATGTTTCTATTATCCAATCTTTTCGCCATCACATCCTACTGTCCGGAGCGAAGTCATTCAGTCCGGGAACTCTTGGATCTTGGATATAGTAAGTAGTAGTAGTAGTAGTAGTAATAGTAGTAATAGGGAATCCTATAGGTAGTCAAGAGTTGGGACTTCCCCAGACATCATCATTACTATCATTATCACTATCATCATCATCATTATTTCTACATCTATCATCTCTTCTAGTAGTAATAGTTAGTAGTAGTAGTGTTGTATACCACTGCTACCACTGCTACCACTGCTCCTCTCTCAGCTTCATCCCAACAGCCTGTCCTCCGCGGAATGACGGAGCGGACTATCGAGCATTCGAGACTATTGCAGCTGCTGCTTGGAAAGTCCTCTGGATTCCTCTTCAGATAACTTCGTCGCTATCCTCCCCCATTTTCAAACCACTGCTCTGCTAGACACCGTGCCAACTGGTCACTGCTCCGGTTCCGCTCTCCGCCTCCGAAGATCGATTGAGTGAGTACTGAATCTATCCAGATTCAAGAGACAATCCAACTTACTCCTTGTCTGCTTCTTTCGACGGAGTACGGAGTACAACTACTATCTCTCGCTTCTCTACTGATAAGCTTCTTCTCCGCGGCTCGTCCGTATCCCGTATCAACGCACGTCACCTGCGTTGGCAGCTTTTCGTTGGCTGCTTGGAGCACATTGAAGCTATTCGTGCCTGCATCACCTGTCCAACACTCCACTAGAGATCCCAATCTCCAAGCCTCTCCCTTGGCTGCTTTTCTTTTCTTTTTTCTTTATTTTTGTCTTGCCGAGATTCTTGCGTCAAGCGTCCGGAGTTTCCGGTTACGTGACAAAATTTAATCCATTATACTTCTTTTTCTTCGGTGGAATCTGCATACTTCCAATCGCATATTACTACGACTACATACTTCCCCCGTCTTATCTCTCTATCTCCCACACACCCCCCCAGATCCCGCTATCTCCGTTTTCTATCTGCATCGTCCCTATCGGGATCCTTCCTTGTTCATTTCCCCCCCCCCCCACCCAACCCCTCCCCCTCAA